TATTGTATGACGAGAATCAATAAACGGAAGGCATCAACCACCATTTACATTATATGCTACTTGTGAATGTCTACTTATTTACTAATCATATTTTTTCGATGGTTATCGTGTTAAACAATGTATATAATTACTGCTACTTAAAAGATTGTTTCAAAACTAATTAAATTATTTTACACGGTATGTTTTTTTTTTTTACTTTGATAAACGAGTTATTCAATACTTTAATTTAATTAAACTCGTGTTATTGTTTTTTTTTTTTAATTTAATTTTTTACTTCATTTTGAAAGAATCTAATTTTAATATCAATTTAAATTATTTAATTCAAAAAATACTTTTAGATATACGTGTAAAAGATTGACGAGAGTGTTAATTTTTCTAAAAAATTAAAAAAATTTACTTATTTGTTTAAAAAAAAAAAAAAACTAAAAGTAATCGAATTTTTATACTGATAAAACGGTTAAATTAATTCAAAAGATAAAATCTTGAAACAAGATCATTTTGAAAAATTTGATTAACTTGAATTGAGTAAAAATATTCTTCAACCACAAAATTTTCCTTAGCTTGAATGAATTTTACATAGTTCAGGAACTTTCTTATATTATTCAAGAGAAAAAAAGTTTTCAAAATGATTTTTAAAGTTCAAGATTTTTTTTCATCATTGTATTATGTTGTTAAAAAGTCAACAAAATCTGATTGAAAAATTCAATATTAACTCAAAAGAAAATATCGATGTTCTAATTAGCAAATTGTCTAACTCCATTTTAGAGAGTCTTATATTTGTACCAAAAAAACAAGTAGTTCAAAATTTATTATCACTTTAAAAAACCATTTAATATCATTAGTATCTAATAAAGGTATACTATTTTGGTTTGAATCATTCAAATAATTTATAATTGGACTATTGTTACATCATAATGTTAAAAAATCACCTTAAAAAAAAATAAGGAGTTAGACAAATTGCTAATTAGACCGTCGATATAATCCTGTATTAAAAAGTTTATCTGACGTTTCCATTGTTGTCGCTTTTCGTTGCTATGGTGACTACTTTGGCAACGGTTACCATAGCAACGGTTACTATGACAACGGTTAAATATTAATGAGTCAAATTTGTAAAAATAGTGATTAATTAAATTTTCGATAATAAACATTTTGACACAATCGTCTGCCCAATTTCAAAACACAGTAACTAATATTTTTTAATTTTTTCTACTTTTTCTTATTAAAAAAAAGTTTACCCGCCAAATTGATGAAAAATTTGATTTATGAATAGACAATACTTGAATATAAATATTATTAAGAAAAAATACTTGAAATTAAGGTCTAAAAGTTATAAAAAATGCAGCAATACTAAAAAAAAAAAATCAGGTATAAAAATTTTGCAGTTACTGTGTTTTAAAATTGGGCAGCCGAGAAGCGCGCAAAGTGCGTTTGATTTTCTAGTAAAAAAAAAAAAATCCTAATCACATGAGAATATGAGTTTACATTTAATAATAAAAAAAAAAAAAAAAAAAAAACAATTTTCAAATATTTTACTTGATTACAAAAGAGTTTATAGGAACAAGCATGTAAATACATATCCAACAATTACTCTTATAGATACGCATGCAGATTTAAGTACACACGACACGTGAAAGTATCTAAAGCAAGCGTATGATAAAAGAGATCTGTGATATGAGTCAGATATCGGCGATTCAGCAAAGATAATCACCGCTGTACGACCTCGCTCTTATATATATGATATAACATATTGCATATTGCATACGTTACTTCTATCTCTTTGATACTACTTTACATACATACCTATATACATACGCAATGTATATTAATACATATACTTAATACAAGCTCTGGCAGTGGTTATACACGTGGACTTCAAGCTTCAAGTTCACTTGGCAAATCGAGTTGTTAAAATGAATGCATATCTGTCCAACTGATTTAGATTTTATGCCTTGTTACTTATACTATTATATATATATTTTATGACTAATTTATATTACACATTATTTCAGTGTGGCTTTAATTAACTTTTATTAATTTAACATCATTATCATTGTGAATGAGTCATTTACTTGAACATTGATGAAGCAATACATTAATTCTTTTAATTAAAAATTTTAATTTAATTTTATATTTATTAGAAAGGAAACAATTAATAAATAAACACTGAAACGGTGAAAAAGATGGCACTGAAAACTTCAAAACTATTTTACACGGTATTCAAATTAATTAGTTTCATAATTACATTTATTGATTTGATTTTTTACTTTACACTTTGGAGATTAGATGATATCCCTTTAAATACAACCGTTGTAACCCATTAATTATAAAAAAAAATTAAAAATTTCTTGAAGATTGAATACAATTCATAATTTTAAAATGTTAAGCCAAGAAATAATAAATAACAGACACTTTATCATTCGGATATCAATCAACCCATGCAATAAAATCAATTAAAGACAAGTGAACAAAAACCGAGTTAATTCAATTGATCAAAAGAAATTGGACAAAAAAATTTACCGGAAATTGAATTGAACTAAATTATAACGAATGGTACACTAAATTTACTGTTAATTGTTTATTATGACAACCAATTGAAGCTGATAAATATTTTCTGATAATTGCATTTTTTTGGAAGAGAATTAAAACGAGATTTTATATTCGCTTGAAAAGCGTTTCAATTTAATTGAACTTGTATTTACTGATAAAATAGCACAATTTAAAGCAAACATTCTGCTGAACAGAGAAAATTTAGCTTAAATTCGATTTCAATGTTGAATTGGATTGGAAAACACAAAAGCTCGACAGTTAAACTTCTCTCGGTTTATCTTCAATTGAAGCTAGATTGTATAACTATAATGTGCGTACCAGTTAACTAATTTCTAACTCGAGATTGAGAATACTACAAAATATATATATGTGCATCTATTTTTTTTATAAAATGAAAGTGGAACATTGGACAATGACGAATAAGAAAAATCCTATAAAAGTCGAAGCTTACTAATACCTTCACATTTTATATTTGCTGTTCATTTGCAGCCAATTCATAGTTTTTTTGATTCACAATATACTCGAGGTAGTTTGATTACAACTAAAACTGCTGACGGAATTTAAAAAAAGTGAATTGTAACTACGTATTCACAGCTAATCTAATCGATGAACTATTCATGTCGAAAAAACAAATTCAATTTAAAAAATCCGAAGTTTTACCACCGGTTTGCGAAAGTACTACTCGAGACTTAATTGACCTATTTTTTTCATTAAAGCTACAGATTATTGATAACTTTAGAACGTGACTATGAAAATTCAATTTTCATATAATAAAGTTAATTAATAAAAGTTTGACAATGTTAGGAAATTACTATCGATGTTACTACGGCGCTTGTTAAAGAAATATGTCATGTATCAATCGGATAAATTTTTTTTATACCATAAGTAAAGATAATGATCGATAAAACTTACACTAACAATGCAACGATGTAAACATTTCGTATTAATAAAAAACAGATGCGGCTTCTTTCTATTATTTTTTTCCTAAATTATTCTTATGACTTATATGGGTGATTCTCACATAACTGTGATTTTTACAACTTAAATTTTTCAAAAATTAAAAATGTTTCCCAATTATACACCGAATTAAACCTATAATATAGTTCTTCTACAACTACAATAAAACGAAAACTATGACAAAAATTGAAAATTTCAACGTCACGGTATACTGGCATCAAATACATTTAGTGGATATTTTTTATAAAGAAGTCATTTAATTTACTTTTAATGAAATTTATATGTTAATGTTCGATTATTTAGCTGTCAGTTGAGGTATTACGAATCGAAAATAATTTTCTATGTCCTTAAAACGTTAAGATCTTATAAAACTAGAATTTCGAAAATCGGACTGTAAACAATAACTTTTCAATTTTTGGAACTTTTTAATTTCTGTATCGAAAAGTTGGAAATTGATAATTAATGATTTAAATAGTTTTATTTATAAAAAAATAAATTTGTATTATCTTTTGACACAGTACTGACATTTTCAGTTTAAATAGCAACTGTAATTTTTTGGCTATGAATTTTATAATTTCTAATAAACGGATCATTTAAGTTATTCAAATGCTCTGAAATTCATCCTTCGTTATTAAAAAATAAATCAATACTTGGTTCAGATTATCAATACCATGGTACTGATAAGTAAATTTATGACGTATCTTTTTAAAAATTGAACTTTATTATAACATTAACTCTTGACTTTTTCATGCACGTTACGTTGGGAAATACTACTAATTTAACATACTTTCGACCTGGCTTACCAGTAGTTTTGTCAATCTAGAGGCTTCTGACGTACGAGTCGTAGAAATAAAAATTCTAAAATTCGCTTAAATTTAAAGACACGATTGATTGTGTGATCACATTTGATAGATTGGTCATGTATAATCAGTAAGAAAATGGACTTAAATTAAATGTATTAAATTCACGCAATACCATCCATACATGAATACTAGTAAGCTGGAAGTATTGCAAATATTTATTCAAATGTTGAATGAAAAATAGTAACATTAAAAATTCATGAGAAGCAAAGAATAACTGAAAAAATATGAGAATCGAACCTGGATCTCCCTGATTACATGTCAGAATATCGGCAAATTGTTTCATTTTTTTGTGAATTTGAAATTTTCCAATTGCATTGACTTGAATGGGATATCACTATGCATACTGCTAAAGGCTTGAAACTAGCTTATTGATTGAGACTTAAATGAGTACAATAAAAAAATTAAATTGATTCAAGAAGACAAAATCTTAAACCAAAAAAATCATTTTGAAAAATTTCATCATCTTAAATCAACCAGAAGAGTTTTCCAAGTAAATTTTACCTGATTCAAGACGATAAAATTTTTCAAAATGAGTTTCTGATCCTATATTTTTATTCTTGAATCAAGTACATTCTTGTCCAGTGTACACGATAATAATTGTTTATAATATAAATAATCTTTATTAATTTACAGAAAGAAACGGCTCAATCGGCAGAAGAAAAATTACTCGAGATGAGTACAATGGCTGAGACTGAACAACGACTAATTGAAAGACGTAAATTACTGACAAAAAGGTGCAGCGAAAGTGGCTTAGACCGCCCGGGAAATGACTCTATTCACAAACCTAATGCATGGGAATTTTTCGTAAACCGTGACTATCATCTTATTTGGTGTAACATATTTAAAGCTGCATCTACATCCTGGATTTATAATTTCAACCGGCTTGCAGGGTATGTATTTCAACTCTTCATCATAAAAAAATTAATATTAATAACTAATAACATGATTAATAATTTTAGCTATAGTCCACAATTTTTGAAAGCATCTAAAGCGGTACCAGTGTCTTTAGCAAGGCAAAGATATCCGAGGCCGACAGCCGAAGAATTATCACGATATTTAAATGATAGCGTGAGCTTCCTTATAGTCAGACATCCTTTTGAACGTCTTCTTAGTGCTTATAGAGATAAACTCGAACAAAGTTTGCCTAATACGCTTCACAGTAAATTAGGCGTACGAATCATAAATCAATACCGTTATAAGGTGAGTTAATAATAACCAATATAATAACTTAGTTATTAATTAGTATCAGAAAGTTAGTTTAGTGAAGTAATTAATAAAGAATTAATTAGCAATGATATTGATATTGATAATTTATGTTTTCCGACGAAATAAAATGACAAACTTTTTTTTTTTTAATTTATTTAAGGACTTGAAACATCGCACGAGACGCGGTCCTCGTTACCCGCTCTTTGAAGAGTTTGTGAGATGGTTACTGTGTGAATGGCAAGCTGGTAATGAACTGGATATGCATTGGACACCGATATTAAATTTCTGTACACCTTGTCAAGTTCGATTTGACATTATCGCTAAATTTGAAACGCTTCAAGTAAGTTTGATCGACGTTAATAATTAATAATAACATGTAATAAGAAAATAATATAAAATTATTTTGTTATATTTATATAAATATAATTAAATTACTAATTCTTTGTGGATTATTAATAAGTAATGAGTATTTTGTTTTATAGGATGACCAGAATTATATTATTAAACACGTGCATTTAGAGCATATGATAAAGCCAGAATGGAAAAATCCAGCGCGAGGTGCTCAAACAAAAGACGTTATGAAAAAATACTTTGTGCAATTATCCAAAAGTCAAATAGCTGATCTTTATGAAATGTTTAGGTATGTTAATATTTTTTTAATAGTTTTGCAATTGAACTTAAGAGTTCTTGATCATTTAAGTTTTTGATTCAACATTATTGATAGGTTTTCGAATTGAAAAATTAAAGTTTTCTAACAAAATTACTGAAGTAAATTCAATAAGAACTTTAGTGTAGAGTTTTTTTTTCAAAAACTTTTTTCAACTTCTAAGTTACAAAGTTTACAAGAGTAAAATAGTTTTTTTTATTTCATTTATTAACAGATAAGTAAATTAACTTTCGAAAATTTTTTATTTTTATTCATTTCAACTTTGAGAAGTACATTATTTTGATATTAAATTCAATTTTTTATAAATATGATAATTGAAACTTATTTAATTTTTTTTTTTATTTTATTTTTTATTAATGCGGTATTTTTTCATCAAAAAAATAAAAAGTCATAAATAAATTTCAATACTTTTTAAAAATAAATTGATTTGCAAAACATCAATTTTTTTAATTCACCACAAAATATAATCGACTATTAATGAATATTTTTTTACAGATATGATTTTGAACTCTTCGATTACTCTCCAAAAGAATATCTAGCCATTGGAAAAGACATAACTATTTCTTCAGATTGTAAAAAATAATAAACTTAATTTATTATTATTATTATTATTATTATTAAAATAATTTTTAAAAATTGTTGATGAATCGATGTTAATTATTTTAAATAATTATAAAACATCGTTATCATTATCATAAACCAAAGTTAGTGAATATAAAACAAGAAACATATTTAAAATGACAATGTTAGCACAATTGCAATTTATTAATGTTTATTATTTAATTTACATCTTAAATGCTTTTTCCATATTTTATAATACTGACAGTTGAGTATTACTGTTAATTGTATTTAATTACTTTACTCTACCGTTAATTTATATACCTATTTAATTCACTTGTTACCAATTAATTGTTAATATAAGTAAAATTGCCCAGCTTCCATTCACTATTACAGTGAAATCAGCTATAATTGCACACTACAATAAATTTATTAGAGTTATTAATTTGAAATGGCCTAATAATAGTAAAAAAAAATTAAGTACACAATAATTGAAATTAAAAATTTAAATGAAATAAAAAATCATCGAGGCTTTTAATTAAATTTTTAGAATTTAGTAAGAGTTGTTATTGGATTGTAAATATGTAAATTTTTAAATAATAGACTATTAAATATATGTTTTTAATTAGTAAAATAATTTCCTTATTACCTATTATTATTGTTATTATTAACTACATAATTAGTATCGTAGGATGTATTCAATAATATCCGAGACATTTGATAAGCATCGTTGAACATTGAGAGAAAAATAAAAAATAACGCTAATTTAAGCTATTGTTGTAATTCACATATAGAACAATTTTTTTCTACAACGACACGACCGTGACATCCATTATTAAAGTGAATTATGCAATTGTAGATTACGCATTCGGTCACTATAATTTTTGTTATCATCTAATACCGGTCCTGGTAATTGCCATGTGTACAGTCATTCGGAAATTATACCTCATTCTGTTGACAACTTGTACTTAGTAATTATATTTATGTTAATATTAAAATTACTATTATTCTCAATAACAGTAATAAAATTAATTATTGATAATTAATCTTAAAGATGTTTATCGATCGACGAATTTTTTTTAATTGTCGTCGATTATTCTACTTTCTAATAGTTTCGTTGTTTGTTTGTATCGGTATCTATAATTACCGCTACGTAGAGCGTCACCGTAAATATGAGGTAAGTTGTGTCTCATTAGTAAAGACTTGACAATTTTTTGTTTGTTTGTTTGTTTGTTTTTTTTTTTTAAGTACGAAAGTACCGTGATCGAAGAAGAGTTAAAGTTAATATTATTAAATTTAACTAATGAATTATCTACTTTGGGAAGTTTAAACGAACGCTTTAAAGAAAGACATGAGCTGATGCTACAGAAATGCGAGGAGTATCAATTGAATGGTTATAATGGCACGAAGAGACAACCTAATTCATGGGAGTTTTTAATTAATGACAAATATAAACTCATTTGGTGTAATGTTTTCAAAGCAGCTTCCACCTCATGGTTTTACAATTTTAATTTACTTGCTGGGTAATGTTTTTACTTATTAATAATAGAGTTGTCACGCAATTTTATTTCCTGAATAATTAATGAAAATTGATAAAAAAATTTTAATTTTTTTATTATTTAAGAAATTTACCTGAGTCATATGAAAATAATTGTTGTGTGATAACCCTTCAATACAATATTGAAAAATAAATAAAACTATACATAAATTTAACATTCTTTACATTTACAAAAAGATACAAAAAAGAATTTTTGGACAAAACTAAAGAAACACCAGTATCAGTGGCCCGTAAAAAATATCCAAGACCTTCAGCTGAAGAGCTTTATGACGCTTTAAAAGATCATTTGAGTTTTATTATTGTGAGACATCCTTTTGAAAGGCTTATCAGTGCCTACAGAGACAAATTTAGTTATCCATACGATAAATATTTCAGGCCACTAGGAGAGAAAATGATAAAAGCTACAAGAGACAATGTAAATGTAAAATTAAAAAATTTTTTGTACTTTAATTCAATTAATTAATTGTTAAACTTAAAGATGTATCCTGACAAATTAAACTCATATCCTCCGACATTCAAAGAATTTATTAATTACATATTATGCCAATGGGAAATTGGGACGAAAATAAACGAACACTGGATCCCAGTTAACAATTTATGCACTCCTTGTCAAGTTAATTTTGATCTGATTCTCAAAGTTGAAACTTTGAACGTAAGAAATCCATATAATTGATTAAATAGTTGAAAATTAGAAAGCTTCAGATGATTTAGAAATTTAACTTTACAATTAGAAACTAATTAACTGTATAAAAATTTTGACTATCTAAAAATTAAGATTATTTCTAAATTATCTGAAACACTTGAGTGAATTCTAAAATTTTAATCATGATAAAAAAACAATGAAAATCAAAAATTTTTTTATTCGCAGGAAGATCAAAATTATTTAATAAACCAAGCAAAGATACAAAATATCGTAAAACCAACTTGGAAAAATCCATCACGAAATGAAACAACTAATATCTTAAAAGATAAATATTTCTCCCAACTAGAACCAGACCAAGTATCTCTGCTTATGAATATGTTCAAGTTAATAATTTTTAAAAATTTATTTTAATTATTGAAATCTAATAACAACAACTAATTAAATTCATTCAAATTCCAGACTTGACTTAGAGCTGTTTGGTTACTCAGCAAAAGATTACGAGAAATATTCTACAGGAAGTGAATTTTTACTTTCTAAATTAAAATGTAAAAGAAAAAATGAATTTATTGATTGAAAATTTAATTACCTTTTAGAATTATTTTCAAGATTAACTCCTATCACCCACTTGTCATCAATAATCCTTTGCCAAACATCAGTGACGATCAACGGCTCCTGAAAATCTTTGGTCATTTTTTTCCTCTTGATAACTGGTTCATTATTAGCATCATAAAGCTGAAAAATAACAATTAATTACAATATCAAACAATTCTAATTAATTAATTTATTAGTGAGAAATAAATTTGATACCTCATCATCATCATCAGAACTTTCGCTGTCAATAACGTACTGACATTTTCTGTAAAGCTTCTTAACAATTTTATCACCGAGAGATTGCACATTTTCCGTTTCATTTGTGACATTTGCGATACAATCTTTGACGTCATTTAACTGTTTCATCAAATGATCGTCTATGGGGTTATTACTACAAGATACTTCTTTATTAGCCCCCGGCTCGTCATCGCTTACTCCGAACATGTCTTCATCTTCCACAAAATCCATCTTTTAATTTTCTTCTTTCTTTTAAAAATTACTGATTTGCACTTGCAATTCTTAACTCACTTTTAAATAGTCAACACGCTTTTTACTTATACTTATCAACATATGAGTTACGTAGAATAAAATTGGCGGTTTCAACAAAAATAAATAATCAGCTGATATTAGTTGCGAATAATTGATACTAGAGGCGTTGTATGACAAAATAGTTTTAGCTCAGCCTATTATGGAGGGTAGAGGTACAGTACCCTCCATAGTTCAGCCGGAAATATTCGAAATATTTGACATATTTGAGTTTCGTTTGACCTTCGGCCATTTTCGGCTAAAATCGTTCCCAGCTAAAAAATTCAAAAATTCATTTAGTAGCATGCATCGTTCATGACAATACATCAGATGTAATATATGAAAATTAAGTTAGCCGACATCTGAAAATTTTTAGAATTTTTTTTTATTGAAAAAATTATCACAAAAAAAATAAAAAAAAATTTCATTTGTAAAAAACTTGAAAAACTGTAAATACAATTTTTAAAAAATATTTTTTTGTTCTAATTTAATTAATTAAAAAAGTCGGCTAACTTCAGTATCATTGTAATATTGAAAATAGCAAGTAGCTTGAAATCAAAAAACTATTTATACTTTTGAGTAACTTAAAAAAAAAAACATCCTTTAAATGCCTATTGTTGTCAGTATTATGGAATTATTAGGTCTATCAAGCTAGCATGGACTCGTCCATCAGGCATTGACTTATTATTCAAGCAACAAAATTTATTTGAGGTGCTAAATTTGTTGCTAATTAGTTGTTCTACTTAGAGAATATTGTTGCTTGTTTAGATTCCGAGAAATCAATAATAATGACCGTCCAAGATGGGCTCTGTCACTGCTAGCTCGATATGCCTGGAATTATTGACGAAAATTAAACATGTATAACTCAACTGTTTGTCCGTGAATTTGAGAATCAAAAAAGAAAATAAATTTTTTTGCAATCAAAAAATTCTAAAAAACAAAATGAATGTACAGAAAATATAAATTATGAATGTATAACATTTAGTTAAACGGATTAATTAAATCAAAACTAACAGACAATTTTTAAGTTTTGTTAAGTTAGTAATGAAAAATTAAATTCCATTTACAGAAATTTTGAACAAATGCAAATACAAATTTTTTTAAATATTTTTTTTAGCATTAATTTGATTGATATAGCAAAAACCAAAAAAATGGTGAAATATATGCTGATTTCAGAATCATTATTTAAAAATTAACACAAGCCTCAGCAAAGAAATACTATTATATAAACGGGTTGAACATTTTTGGCTAGTCATTATCAATAATCTGCTACTTCTTGATCGAATTATCGAGAATGAAGGAGATAAAGCTCTATAATATTGATTCAAAAAATTTGTTAATGAAAAATTAAAAAAATTTAAGCACGCTTATTTAAACTTATTTGCTAATAATAATTTAACAATAGCTTAACGTTTATTCTTTAAAATTTATTTGGTTGACAAGAAATTATTTAAGAAAGATAACAATAAAAATTGACTGCGTGATCATTTATACAATTGAAAACCTGAAACAAATAAGTAATAAATATATTAATATGTTAGTTTCAATTGAATTAAATATCAAATTACTATTTAAATATCCTGCTTTCATCATGCCGGCGCTGTAAACAAATTCTGTGAATGGGGAGTAGCAAAAAATTTCAAGTTCTATTGTTAAGTATGGGAATTTTTCTCTATCATAAATTTTAGGGTATAGACGAATTTATAATCACCAGAAATTCCCAAGGAAAAACTTTTAGTACTGTCCTGTTAGTTTAGACATACCGAGAAAAAAAATTACTTTGTTAAAATATCCTGTTTAAAAATATTGATTGAAAAGAATAAAAAATTATGAAATTCGAATTCTTTTCAATAATTTCAATTCTGTTGTTTGTATATATAGATATATAGTTTGCATGGAGTAACTGTTTTTCAATTCTTTTCAATTAGTCTCCTTAACCAGGGTAAATTTACCTTAAATGTAATGGTCACTTATTCTATAGAATAAAATACTGAACGTTTTGGAATATTCTTTACAAAACTAGGGAACCCAGAGATCTCCGTTTATTAATTTTTATTGTCATATTCTTTTAAGAAGTTTATTTTTCAAAACGTTCACTAAAAAAAGGAATTACTTGAGTACCTAAGATTAGATCATTAAAGCCAAGCATCGAGGTCCAGGTGGGCTGCTAATGACCCACTCCAAAAGTACGAACATCTCAACCAAGGGAGTCGAAAACCAAGGAAAAAGAAGACACAAAAAAGCAAGACTTTAGTATGCCACACGAATATTTTCTTCTACGAAAATTATTGTCGGTAATTTTTATTTTGTAACCTATTGAATAATAAATAATAGATTTGCGCGCAAGGCAAATCGAAATTTAACTGAAATAATCTGAGTGTTTTAAATTCATTAAACATATATTATTAATTTTTAATTATTCAAATTTAAATCTACTCTCCCGCCGTTATCTATTTACTGCGAGTTGAACGCCCCAGCGCGTTCCACTTGTGAATTAAAAGAACTCAGTAAATTTACTATAGCCAATTTGGGGCTAGTGTGAGTACAATGAGTACATTACAATCAAGACAATCAATTGAGGCAACAAGTAATAACAACAAAAATACGTCCAGTAACGTCTATAAAATATTTATACAAACTTTGATATTATTTAAATATTATTATACATTTACAAAGTATATACTATTATATTTTAAAATAGAGACAAGACTACTTTCACATTTTATATATTTTTATTAAATTAAGGTACAGTAATGGTATTAAATTTTTTGGTTAGAATTTAAGAATTTATAATTATTGCCACTTTATTAATAATTAATTAATATCAAATTTTAGTTAACACAATGGGTAAACACGAAGTAGGAACACCAAAATACATTGCCAACAAAATAAAATCTAAAGGACTCCAAAAGCTACGGTGGTATTGTCAAATGTGTCAAAAACAGTGTCGAGATGAAAACGGGTTTAAATGTCATACAATGTCAGAATCTCATCACCGTCAATTACTTTTATTTTCCGATAATGCAAGTAAATACATGGACCAATTTTCTCGTGAATTTTCTGATGGTTTTTTGAATCTATTGAAGCGTCAGTTCGGTACCCGGAGAGTTCTGTCAAACCGTGTGTACCAAGATTACATCACAGATCGTCAACATATGCACATGAATGCGACTCAGTGGTTAAGTTTGACGGCTTATGTCAAATGGCTAGGTCGCACAGGAAAATGTGTCGTTGATGAGACAGAGAAAGGCTGGTACATCACCTACATAGATCGGGATCCGGAAACTCTGGCTGCTGAGGAGAAGAAAGCTAAGAAACAAAAAATGGATAAGGATGACCAGGAAAGGCTGATGGATTTCATAGAGAAACAAGTGGAGAAAGGCAAAAAAGAAGAAAATAATGAGACTGAAGAAATTACGCCGCTCATACGCTCTGAAGAAGATGGTCCTTTGGTACTGGATATTAAGCTAAAACCTAAACCTTCTTTGCTGATGGGGCCGCCTTTAGGGTTACCCAAAAAGTCAGTTTTAAAAATTAAAAATGAACCTGAAGACTCTGATAATATTAGTATCAGTGATTGGAATGGAAATAATCGCTCCCGGGAACCTAGTGAGTGCAGATCGACCATAAGCTGCAAGAGAAAATTTGAAAAAGACGAAGATTCTAGTCAGGTTAAGGATGCTCCAAACATACCGTCAACATCTCAAGGCTGGTTACAAGAAAATTTAGTGGTAAAAATAATAACCAAAAGTCTCGGGTCAAAGTATTACAAAGCTAAAGGCGTAGTACAGAGTCCTGTGCTCGAGTCTGGATTTGTTGGGAAGGTAAAATTGACATCTCCGGAAGAAGTTGAAGGACATATTATTAAGTTGGATCAAGAACATCTGGAAACGGTGATTCCTGCTATAGGAAAACAAGTATTAATTATTCAAGGAAAATACCGCGGATCTGTAGCTACGGTGGAGAAAGTGCGGGTTGAAGACTATGCAGTCGACCTCAATATCATTGAAAATGATAAATATGTTAAGAGAATTCCTTATGAATCTATATGTAAATTTATAAAAAAAAATTAATTTTACAAATGAAATAAATTAATGTAATTTATTATAACAGTTAAGAATAATAAAATATAATTTTAAGTATAAAATTTTAATTTTCCAAATTAAACATTACTTTATTGTAATCAGCTGGCCTTCGGAAATTATAGTCATTTATGTGGTAAATTTTGCCGTTAATAACATGAGGTGCACGTGTGATATCATTTGCAGCTCTTGGATACTTCTGTGAAGCAGTACCGGCTTTGAAAACTACTTTTCTACATTGGTTGGGGAAAAATGTTGGTAATATTAATATACAGTCATTATCCTTTTTGTGATGCCAGATTCTGAGGACATGTCGACGGGCCATTAAGAACAAAAATCCATTTATTAATATCAACCCTGAGTAGGATAGAATTACTTCAGACTGATCGTAAATAGTGAAATTGCCCATTGTTCCTTCAGATTCGTTAGACTTTAGAAATTCAATTTCTTCTTGACGAAAAATCGTGTAATACAAGCCATATAAACATGAGGCAATAATCATATAGGTTCCATGGTAACAAAGATATACAGACGTTTTAATTGATGTTTTATAAATAAGTGTGTAATCCTTTGATACTTGATCTCGCAAACGTAATGATTTTTCGGCTTTTTCTGATATTTCTTTTGGATTCATATAATCAACTTTCATACCTCGGGTATTGTTTTTCTGAATTTTCACCCTTATTTTTGTTAGTCCTTGATGTAAATACTTGTAATCTTTTATTTGCATTAGTCTCCATAATGTTGTCATCTAAAAATTAAAATAATTAATATTAATATTATTAAATTATCAATTTGCAATAATAACTTTTGAGTTTTAATATATGAATATACATATAAATTACAATTCTTACCCTGTAATTTCACAATCTAAAACTTTTTTTTATTCAATAATATAAAATATTTGTAATAAATTATGATTTCATTGGTTATACATTATACAAGTAATATATATGGAGAGAGAAATATCTCATGTGTGATTATTTATTATTTTTAACAACAATTTAGTTCACTGATTGATCAACAGAGGATCTGAAAGCAGAAAACATCGAAAACATAAATTCCTGTAGAGCAAGAGAGATAGGAGGAAAAGAAAAAGGACAGAAGAAAAGATTCATTCTTGAAGCTTGAAGCCGGGGAGTGATTTTTTTTTTAGTACTAAGAAAATGGCGGCGAGTATCAAAGGTGTTTTTAATGACGAGCTGCAAAATGCTATTTTAAATAGCAAAATATTAGTTGTGGGTGCCGGTGGGATCGGCTGTGAAATCCTCAAAAATTTGGTGATGACCGGATTTAAAGATATTGAAATAGTAAGTTGTAAAAAATGTTATTTATCAAAGTTATTTGTACCGCGTCCGCATGTCGCGTCTAGCTTCTCTATTTCTAACCATACTTAACACAACTGTCGGATATTTATGTACTTTTAAACAGTTTTAAATTTTTTATTATTTATTTTTATTTATATATGTATTTCTATTAATTACAGATTGATCTGGATACAATTGATGTAAGCAACTTAAATCGGCAGTTTCTATTTCAAAAACAACATGTTGGTAAATCAAAATCTGCGGTTGCACGTGAAACAGCGCTAACATTCAACCCTGATGCCAAAATAACTGCCTACCATGACAGTATTACTTCGTGAGTATTTATTAACATATTTTTTTTTAATAAAACAAATCAGTTTGTTACATTATTTTTTATTAAGATGCTGAAATTAGCAGACATCTGACAATTTTAGGAATTTTTTAAATCAATCAATTACTATAAAAAAAAAATTATTAAAAAAAAATTATGACACTGAAGTTGACAGATATAAGAAATTTTTTTAGAACTTTATAACAATTAAATTATTATAAAAAAAATTTAATTAAAAAATTCCAGATGTAAAAATTATTAAAAATGTTTAGAATAATTTTTTTGTTGTTATTGATTTGTTAAAAAAAAAATTTTTAAATTAACAGCTGACGGCTAACTTCAGTATTATAAAAAATTCATAGCTTTAAATATTTAATATATTTAAAATTATACTCTTTGTAAAACACATAATTTTTGTGATACAAATAAAACACTTATCTATTTAAAAAAATTCGCACTTATAACTTTTCAAAGTTTCTACATGTAAAATTATTTTGATTATAATTTAATTGTTAAAAAAAATCTAAGAAATTGTTAGATGAATTATATTCAGTATCATTTTTTTGCTTATTCAATTTCTGTATTTTTTTTTTTTTTTTTTTTTTTTTTATAAATATCTCAACAATAGTTATTGCCAAGTACTTATTATTTATTAATAGTAGAAAATTAATTGAGATAATTTTTTGACAGATCTGACTACGGATTAAATTTCTTCAAGAAATTTTCTCTGGTAATGGGAGCTTTGGACAACAGAGCAGCCCGTAATCATGTCAATCGTATGTGTTTAGCAGCTGATATTCCTCTAATTGAGTCAGGAACAGCTGGATACAATGGACAGGTCGAGTTGATTAAAAAAGGATTAAGTCAGTGCTACGAATGCTTCCCAAAACCTCCTCAGAAAACATTCCCAGGTTGTACAATCCGTAACACACCTAGCGAGCCTATCCACTGCATAGTTTGGTCGAAACATTTATTCAATCAATTATTCGGTGAGGAAGATCCCGACCAAGATGTTTCACCAGACACAGCCGATCCTGAGGCTGCCGGAGATAAAGCCGGTGAAGAAGCTTTAAACTCAGACGCTAATGAAAAAGGAAACGTCGAGCGTGTGTCAACTCGCTTATGGGCCCATTCGAACGGTTACGATCCCGAGAAACTTTTTGCTAAATTATTCCACGATGATATTAAGTATCTGCTGAGTATGGATAATTTGTGGAAGAAGAGGACGCCTCCAACACCTTTAGATTGGAAAAATTTACCCGATGAAGTCGCTGGCTGCAGCAAAGACACCGATGAGGGATTAAAAGACCAGCAGCGATGGAGTATTGCTAAATGTGCGCTAGTCTTTGGCAAAGCCCTTGAAAATTTAAAGAACAAGTTAGAAGAACTACGCAAAAAATCACCAAATGATCATCTAGTTTGGGACAAAGATGACCAGGATGCCATGGACTTTGTTGCAGCCTGTGCAAATATTCGCGCTTACATTTTTGGTATTGCTCAAAAATCTCGCTTTGACATAAAGTCAATGGCCGGTAATATTATTCCCGCAATTGCTACTACAAATGCGATAATTGCTGGAGTTGTTATCTTACATGCATTCCGTATCTTGACTGGTAACCTGAAAGCCTGCAAGTCTGTTTATCTGAGACCGCGACCCAATCATAGGAATCAATTCTTGGTGCCAGAAAGAGAAGTTAACCCGCCTAATCCAAAGTGTTACGTGTGTGCTCCAACTCCTACCGCTGTTCTGGCGTTGGATACCACCAAAATGACAATTGCCGAGCTTAATGATTCTGTACTGAAAGAAAGATTAAATATGATTGCTCCAGACGTTATGATTGATGGTTTGGGCAAAATTATAATCAGCAGTGAGGAAGGTGAGACGGAGGAAAATAATGACAAAATATTAGAGGAGCTCGGTGTTAAGAATGGATCGATACTTAAGGTCGATGATTTCCAACAAAACTACTCGCTAACTGTTAATATCGTTCATCGTGACAAGCCTGCAGTGCGGGGAGATGTTCCCGACTTTTTAGTGGTTGCAGACGAGCAGGATCTTAAACCCAAGGAGGAAGAGGAACCTAAAAAAGATAACCAAGTGCCATCGACTTCCAACGGTCAGGTCACTGACATTATTGACGATGATTTGTTGGAAATAATTCCAGATGATGATGATGACGACTTGATGGAAGTTGTAGACGAAGAAGAATTACCAGCCAAGAAAAGAAAGACTGTATCACCTGGACGGGAAGTCCCATCAATAAAGAAACGAAAAACTGATCGACAAGTTTCTGATGATGGGGATGATTGCTGCGTTATTGAGGACACAAATGAAGTCACCTGTATTCCACAAAAAAATTCGCTGAAAAGAGTTCACAGCTAGACTATTTTAAGACGTTCTTTCTAATTTGTGTGATGATTAACATACTGCACTAAATTTAACAATAATGATATTACTCTTAAACAGATGAGTTTTATAATGACTAAATTCAGTATCAGTTATTTATATTATTTCGTTTATCGGTCTTAACGCAGTCAATCGTTATCTTTTTGTAACAATTTCACATAAAAAGTAAGTTTGTAATAAATAAATAATAAATAAATGAATTTATTTCTATTTAATGTTATTTATTTGGTAATACAAGATTTATAAATACTGTAGTCGTAATCAAACATCTCAAAATCGATTTTGTATCGTTCGAATAATTTATTAAACATTTCTATTGACAATGATGATAAATAACTGCATGTTTTAGGGTAAGTCGTTATTCCATCGTGACTCTTTCCTAGTCTTGGTAGCTTCCATCGTCTTTTATCACCTAATTTAGTTAATATATAATCAAGATCGCTAGTCGTATAATTGTCTAATTTTAAAATATAATCAAAAGACATTTGGCAAATTGAACAATGAGATTGGTATTTACTCCAGTGAGGATCATCTTGCTCATCAGGCTGCTCGAGAAGCCAGGTCACAAATTCTCGAAAGGTTGGGATCAGTTTGAGCCTACAAATTTTAAATATTCAATGACTGGTGAATATATTATAATTAATATTGTATTTAATTGAATTACCGTCGATCGTTGTAGAAAATTTGTTCTAGCGGAGTACCAGTCGTTTTATTGAAATGAAATAAATTAGGCCGTGTGATGTAAAATATTCTAGGTACATACATCCATGCTTGTGATGTATGTCTGGTATTATCTTCAATTCGACTTCTGTATGCAGAAACAAGTCGATCAAAAGGATGTCTTACTGCGATAAATTTAAACACATCGGTATCGTCAATTAAATTTAAAAATTCTTCCAAACTTTCTGGAACTAATACTTCTATTTGTCTATAAAAAAAAATAAGTAATTATGAGTATATTTGAAAATATTTTCTTACGACTTTTTTTAAAACAAAAAAGTTACTTGTAATAATTTCCAAGTATTTGAACACCACGCAAATCAGCAAATAACTTAGTAAAACTTGTAGAAGCAACTTTTCTTATCCAACAGAACAACGAATTGTGTCTCGATGAATAAAAATAATGCATTCGTTCAAGTGCTGTACTTTTGTTATATTTTTCACATACACTATAAACACGCTGAACTGCTGTATCAATTATCTAAAATTATACACAATTATTTTAATCATTTCAATAGAAAAAATTAAAAACTTACTTGAGGATCAAGAGTTGTATTCAAAGTTAGCTCTTCAAATTCTTTTTTCTCCAACTCTCGATTATTGATGACCAGTGGTATGGTTTTATAATGATTGATCCTCACTTTAGAAACCCGTGAAGAAGTGTAACTTATTTTCAAAACAATTAACGTGATGCAAAATAAAATGTATATAAAAATACAAGTCGAGTATTTAAGAAAGTATTTTTTAAAACTCATATTTTGGAAACTGGTCGTCAGCAATCGAAAAGGCTTTAGTTAGAAATGACTATCCATTTCCGTTCTTCTCTGATTATACCCATCGCTCCACATGTGTGAGGATGAAAAGAACAGATAATAATTTATCACAGAGAAAAGATACATTTTATATTCAAGGACTAAGTTATTATTCCAGTAGTGAGTATTATTATATAGAAAATATAAAAATAAATAATGCCATTAAGAAGAAATGTTAAGGTAGAATTGATCTTAAGAAATAAAGTTTATTTATTATATCAAGTCATTTTATTTTAAAGGTTTGAGAGTATTTCACAATAATGACAATACTTTCGTACAGTTACAATTATTAATTGTTTTTTATTTTTCTGTTTATATCAGGATTTATTCATTTATGAATTTATTGTATTATATTTTCATGCAAATTCTCTCTTGCACCCACGAATGGATTTAAAAAATCGCAGTACATAGTACATAATAAATACTTTTTTCTACAGAATTTATTATGAAAAAATGACCTGAAGACATTTTACGACGCGCATTACATTATTAATAAATGAATTAGTTATATGTTTAATTACCATCATTAATAATTTTAATCTGTTTTTGTTTCGCACAAAGTGTAAAAAAGTTATGGAATTATGGACGTATTTTTGTAAATTTCCATTAGTACAATTGACCAAGTCCAAAAATTTATCAAAAAAATCTATTTTTTTTTGTCTTTGTGTAAGTGAGAAAATTTTATTCAAAAAATTGTTGCTCCAGTTAATAAAAAACTGGTTGGTCATTTAATGTTTACAATTAACAAACATACAAATTCAAGTACAATTTCATTGTAAAGTGACAATTGTAGTTTTTCAATAATTATTATCATTTTAAAAATTCAATAAGATTATCGTTAATTAAATTAATTGTACAAGAGAAAAATCACGGAATTATTCTATTTGATTCTTATGTTTCTTATTTGACTTTTTATTTTTTGTTATTTATCATTTTATTAATATAATGTATTTACTAATTTATTTATTTATAATAATATATATTTATAAAAAAATCGAAGACTCATGTGATGACAACTCGCGTTATCAGGCTACAACATTTACACTACCATCATACTATTATGACACTATTTTTATACTATAATTATTTTTTACGACAATTTTTTTTTTATTTTTATTCATCAACTGTAGTTTCATATGACATTAAACAAAAAAATGATAAATATATATATATATATATATATATATCCATATGTATATATTTACACGGTAGCATTTTTCTCGTCATTAATCATGTTATCCAGTAATTAAAATTATTTTATTTCTCAATAATTATTAATTGAATTAATAATCATTGTACAATAATTAATAAATTATTGTATAAAATTTGAATAAGTTAAGGCTGGATAACAGATAACACTGAGAATTATAATCAAACTTACAATTAATATAAATACGATTCACGTTATTCTAATGGGAGACGCCGATTATCGACTCCGGTCATCTCAAGCTGACAATTCAATTTGTAAATTTATTTCTAAGAAGCATTACTTGCAAGTAGCTGTTTAATAGAAAGAAATGCAAAGGAAAATATCTTTTTAATTTGGATAACAAAGACTGACATCCAGAAGTAATTTCGTTGCGGAATGTCTAGAACCGTGTAAAAATAACGCTTGAATTTTTAAATAATTAATTAAGTACTTGAATATGTGTGCAAGGAGAAAAGTAAACCAAAGGAAGCTTACGTTAATGCATTAAATAATTTATTCATCCGGTATATGATATGGAGGATTCTTTGAGCAAAAATTATGAATTTAATAACGCAAAGTATACTCATAAATTTTTAATCGTTCGTTATTTTGTTAATGAATTTTTTTTTAATTATAATTAATTTCTTCTACAAATTGATACACACTAAATTAACAACTATATCGGCGACGCTTAGGCGCAGCAAGGAGGTTCTTCGTTGATATTTTTTAATTTTTTAAAACAAATAAAACACATTCACATATTTTTTCATCAACTTTCGTGATAATGTTTAAAAAAATTAATAATTAATAAACTATAATTGTGATTATTACCTATGATAATACCATAATTATCTTGAAATTAGTCGTCAAAAATAAATAAACTTATCCGGTATATGTATACCTAGGTACGAAATCCTTAATTACTTTATAATTGTTATTATTTTGTTTAATTATTCTTGATAGTTTTCATGTTAGATTAATTTTTATTATAATGATCTTACGTTCTATTATTTTTATAACTATAATTAATATTATTTTAATCATGCAATATGAACATGCGACGATGTGTGCATTACCGTTAAAATATAAAGTTAAATAGATATAAGGAGAAATTAATATAAAATAAATGGCTCATTGGTCGTAAGAAAAAAAAAAATGAAAAAGAAAACGTAATAAACAAGCATAACAAAATTAATTAAATAGCCACGTTAATGACGAAGTAACCTTCATAACGATAAATACAAAAATATTATAATTATAAATTTCAACAACTACGTTAATCGACTGATAAACTCGTAAAATTTTAATGTTTTTACTTCTTAATCGTCGCAGAAAAAGAAAATGACTACAAAAATATAAAACAGAATTAAACGGAAAATAAAAATAAAATAATATCTATATATATTTATATATATAAATCGAAAAATACTTGGGCGTCCACCACTGGGAAGCTCTCGTGAAGGTACCACTGAGAGTAGCACAAAAATTTTGATAATAACAAGCTAAAAAGTTATAAAAAAATAATACACAAGTATTATTGCGTTATTACATTAAACAGTGAGCGCTTTTTCGTTCTTTCAATATTAATAATCATCATCATTATAATAATAATAATAATAATTATTATTATTACCATCATCAGTTAAAGTATTGTAATCATTAATTAATTAATTAAATAATTCATTAGAAATAATTTATTTTTTTCGTGCAGCTTTCTCGGCTTTTTTTCTTACTCGCTCAATTTCTTTTCGCTCTTTACGCTCACGCTCAGCCTGACCTCGCAATTCTTTGAGTTTTCTCTTAAGGTGTTGCTTTTCATCACCAAAAATTCCCAATGTTTTTAAATCACGTGACTCTAAACGTAAGAGACTACTACCATTGATTCCATTGTCGACGAAACGTGAAGTAAATCGTTCTAAGCCAATCCCAGTCAGCCATTGACAAACCTTCAAAAAATTATAGTAATATTATTAATTATTTTAAATTATTAAGAAAACAAATTTTTCATTATTAATAACAAACCTGTTCTTTAGACCAATCAGTAATGGAAGCAGTTTGCCAGAATATTTTTTTATCTAGACCAAAATCACCGGGATTGGGAGGCATCCAAACTTCAGCCGAGTCGACGCTGCCGATTTTGGACGGACTGGGCTCAATAGCTGTCGGGCTTATAGATCCGCCAGATGATAAACTGGATGGTGAACCACCTTGGTGATGCCAAGGCGTATTACCGGGTCCTGCTGGCATTGGAACCGAAACGATTTTAACCCGTTGACTCGCCTCATTAACAGCCTGCCGGATTTCCTCAATGAGATGATGGCCGACAGCTGTTGGATCACTATGCGGATTATTCAAGTCCGTAAAATCTCCAGAATTTTCACGTGATGAAGACATATCACCACCTAGTCGCCTTTCTCTTTCAGCTAATACTTTTTTGAGCTGTTCAGCCAACGACGGCGGATGCCCAATCAAACTTTTCTGCGACGCCGACCAGCTTTGTTCAGTCATTGCTCGTACTTGAGAACTTATTGTGCTGTGCTGACGGATCGTCGAGTGCGTTGATTCAAAATACTGTTTACTTTTTTGAGAACATATTGAAGAACTGCTTGAATAAGAACTTAAGTTTGATTGCTTCAGTGACTCACTCGTCGATCTTGTGCTGGTATCATGGGACACACCACCAATTTTAGATGAATCTTCAGTATCTGTATTATCTCCCGACTCGTCTAATCCATAATCTGAACTGCTGTTACTTAATCCACCAGACCGTTTTGGCAATTGACGATTAGCAAGACCTCCTCTGCTCGCTAATTCTGCTTTGTTTTTACCGGCTGAATTATCTAGAAGACGGTGGGCTGGAATCGCTCGATCTAATTCTTCCTTTATCGGGATCGGTAGCGGTAATTTTCGTTCAACAGTTGCCGTTTTATCTCCGTCGTCTGGGCTACTCAGATCCGAAGTTTCTGTATCAGATAATTGGCAGCTTGCCGACGAGGGAGGTGGTGGTAATTGACGTCTCGATAATTGGGGTGTTACTATTCCCTTAGTCGAGCCGTCGTACGGTAATCGGACAGGCAAACCAAACCTTGTGTGCGTCTCCGTCAGTTCAAGCTCCAGTTTAATAACCTAATTACAACAAAATTGATTAATACATACTAATATATAAATAAGTAAAAAACTATATATTAAATAAATATAGATAATAAATTTACCCGATCTTTGAGAGTTTTGACAAGCGCATTATATTCGGTATCTTTCTCTTGAAGTAATTGTTGATAAAATTCATCTCTCGCAGCAATATCAGTTCTCAACTCTCGCGCCAATCGCTTAGCCCTTGCGTATTTTTGCTGGAACGTCGTCGTCTGTGTTGTGGACTGCGACAACATTTCTCGAGTTGCCGATAACTCTTGTCGGGTGGTACCGAGTGCTCTCTCGGATTCATGCAGTCTTAGTCTCGATTCTCGTAATTTTGCAGCATATTCTTCACTACCAGCTCCGCTATTCTCCAACTCTACCAGCTAAATAATTTATTACGTCAATTCTTTTTTTTAAATAAATAATTTATAAAACAAATAAATCAACACAACTTAACTACTCTTATAATTTCATGACAAAAGAAAAAATGTGAGGAAAATATAAATAAAGAGAAAGTGTAAATGAAAGATGATTAAATTTTACCTTAGCCTTGAGCGTTTCCACTTCTTCATTGGCAATCGATAGTTTAGATTGAGTCTGCAAGCAACCAACAACACACACAAATGCATAAGCAAAAACCCGAGATAAAAAACTAATATCGCGTAACCATTCGTTGAAAATAAATAAAATAAATTACGTTTACTATTGACGGAAAATAAAAATAAAATATGTGCAGCTATGTGTACCTATATACTATACTAATTACTAAGTAATTTTCACTAGTGATTATGCTATTGTCTTTGTACTAAATAGTAACATACAAAGTATACAATATTCACAATAAAAGCTCAATGAATCTACTGAATAGTAAACTAAAAAAATTAATAATGAACTTAAATCACAATGAATATTTATTTGCATTCGATTATCTGAAGAACTAGAAAAATACCTCTTGTAGAAGAACTCGCAGGCTTTCCACATCATTTTGAGTGGTAGCGTGTCCTACAGAAGAGCTGATAATCGGCGAACGACTTCTGTTTGATGGAGAAAGATAACTCTCTATTGGGCTGTGAGGTGGCTCGCCTTCCGAGCAAGAAGACATCGTCGGAGAACTAGGTATTCCTCCTACTCTGTTGGTGCTGTCAGGCGTGTGTTCTTCTCTTTGAGGACCTTCTGGTGACGCGTCTGAGAAATTCAGTCTTCTACAAGAATAACTTTAGATTATTTTGATGACAAATTGAAAGAAAAGAAACTAAAATAAAGTTTACGTTACCTGTTGGTAGCATTATTAGCTTGCTCGCGCTCCAAATCCGCCTGGAGACTCTGTCGTATTAACATGGCAACTTCAGAATTTTTAGGATCTCGCTCTCGACCAATAACAAACCGGACTAAACCTGATGTATTCCTCAGTACTTTGGCAGCATATGCTTGCGTTACGCCGACTAATGATTTACCGTCAACCTCAACGATCTGATCATTCACTTGTATTCTTCCCTCGCGTGCAGCCGCGCCTTTTTCCGTGATTGTCTTCACAAATATACCGAGTTTTTCAAGACCTGCATCGGCACCTACACCCATACCGATTATGCTCAAGCCAAGACCCTCTGGACCTTTCATTAATTCAACTGGAAACACCTAGAATTTTTTTTTTTTTCTTTTTTTTTTTAAATTAATAAACTCACTGTTAATGGCTTAACTTAAAACTAATAAAGTGATTTCAATATTCCCTCAGCACCTCAAAAGAACCTCGGGTTCATTTCAAGGTGGCCGGTGTTGTCGTCAAGAAAAATTTTGCGAGCAAGGATAAACCATCATCGGGAACATTTTATTAATAAAAAAAATATACATATATTAATGTATATATCGATACCCACGTTCAAATAAGTCATATTCCACATTTAGAAAACTTCTAAGCAGACTGTAAAAACGGTTTATTTTTAACATTGATTAAATACGATTCAACGAATGAAAATATTTATTTAAGAATAGCTATTAAACAATTTAACCCTTAAATTTTTAATATAACGTGCAAAATATTGTTATGATTTTATTTTTCGAAAAAAGTCGTCAAATTTTGTGGTATACGACATATTAGAACGTGGGTATCAACATGTATATTATACTAATGGATGTACCATCTAAACACTTACCTCCATCTTTTCAACACGTTTTTCCAACTCGTACTCAGCACTAGCAGCTACGGGATCGACGTCCTCGTTACGACGATCATACTCATTGACAGAATGCGTCGAATATACTCGCATCGGGCGTGTGTCAAACGAAACCTTGCCACTCTTTTTAACAGCAACTGGTCCCAAGTCTTCGTCGTCAGAGTCCGGAAGGCCTTCAACTTCCATCCAAAAGTGTCCATCCTCATAAAAATGTTTTCCATCCTCTACATGGATTATTTTACCCGGCACTAGTGTCACTTCGTCCCGCTGTTCAGTCTCCGTGTCATCATTAGCCTCATGAGTGTCATTCAAACTGCTAACAGACCCGAGAAGCCCACTTTCGCTGCCAGTTACAGAGCCAATTTGACTTTCCGTCAGTGAGTCTATTGTCAAATCACTGCGCGAGCGCTGCGAAAAACTGTAGTCCTGAGCAGTACTATTAATTAAACTAGTATCTGGTGCCGATAGTACGTCTGACAACCAGTCCGGCGTGTTATCCAACTCTTCTTTTTCTTTATTATCTCTTTCTCTTTCGGGCTCTTTTTCTATTATTTTTTCTTCAGGAGCACTAGTTATCGCAGATGGATCAACTGCCGCTGGAGACAGTAACCTGGCTATTTCCTGTGCCTCCTCATCTGACAATAACGCAGATCCTTGACGGATTTTTTTTTCAAGTATCCGCGAACTCAAAAGATTTTCCGCTTCATCAGCCGTCATTGTGTCTGGTGTCACAATATTTGACGCCAATGGGACACCACCTTTTGTTACTGGAGTTTCAAACTTTTTATTATTCACTTGATTAGTGTTAATTAATTCTGGCGCGTGATGTTTTTTCTCATCCAAATTAGTGACAGTCTTGGATTCACTTGAATCGGTGTCTTCATTGAGACTATTCTCCGATTCATGTTTATGAATATCAGTAATAGAAGTAGTATTATTAATAATATTATCTTTAGATTGAAATTGAGCAACCACCGCCGATACAAGTGAATGAGTTTTAATTGATACTTTAGATACTGTCTGATCATTATTTATTTCAACGGATCTCAATGCTGCCAATTGATCGGCCTTCTGTTTCTCAAGTTCCCACGTTGTTTGTATTTGCTCGGCAGCTTCAGCGAGTGACACTTTATCAGTAACATCAATACTTTCCGCTGCAGAACCAACATTTGAACAAGTATTGGTCAATGAATTATTATTTTTCATAGAAATATTATGTATTTTACTATCAACTTTGCTACTATCAACTCGGTCAGATGAATTACTAGTAAATTGATTGGCGGAAAGACTTGAAGATTGATTTATTGGCTTTTCAAGTTCGACAAAACTAGAACGTTTCTCAACAACAATAACATCATCTTTATTAGCTACCATGGCTGTAACTAGTTTTTCTTTTTCTCTCATCGACATTTTTATTTGATCATTTTTAGCATTTGAAATAGTTTTTTGGCACTTTTTTTCATTCAAAAATTGTTTTTCTTTTTCTAAAGCATTTTTAACACTAATAACACGCGACGATGTCTTGCGTGCCGGCTGTTCTTCAATCGCCACAGAATTAGTCTCTGCACTGAATTTTGATTTATCTTTTTGCTCGATATTTAATTTAATATTCTGGTGAAGTAATTCTGGTTTTGGTTGCGACTGTGGTTTATTATCTTGCTGCTGCTGTTGCTGTTGCTGTAAACGTTTTGCATAGGGTGATGGTATTGGTATATCCTTATGCTCTAACGGTGGAAACTCTTGATCAGAACTGATTACAGAGGGTGGACGTTGTCCCAACCCGGCGGCGGGTAAATCCATCCTCACATGAGACCGCCGTACAACAGTTGCAGCATCAGTCTCTACAAATTTCTCGGCACTTCCTACCTCTTCCTCTTCTTCCTCCTCATCACGTACCACCTCTGTGTAGACACTTGGTTTGTTATTAGCCTCCGCCTCCAGGTCATAGCTGTTGCGTCCTTGAAATTATAAAAATAAAAATAAAAATATTGGAGAGCATGAGAGAAAAAGTGAGAGAGTTTAAAGATTTATATTATGTTTATATTTATAATTTATTTATTATTGGAAATTATTAATATAGTTTGATAATGCTACCTCGACAGTCGATGCAGAAGAGACGAAGGCATATGGTTCTGCGAGGTCGCCAATAATTATTTCGTCGCGCCGTTTTAATGGACAATTACCTAACTCTTTTTAATAACCAACTATTTGTTATGTTATTTAGAGACCCATTGAATTTAAGTTTGTTTGTTTTTATTTGAATATAAAAATACTACCGAAGTTTTAAAATATGAGAGATTAATATATTAAAATAATAAGAATAAAAAGAGGCAGATGTAGACGAAAAAACTAAAACTAATAATACATTTAAAAATAGTAAAGCACTCAGTGAGTCTACAAGTATCATCGTACAAGCTTTTAAAGCTAAGCTCTCTAACATTCGAGATTTAAATCATTGAATTATCTCCTCAACACCATTAAAATAATCTATAGTTGTCGATCGTTTCACAGTGTGCTCACTCGAGGGTACTTTAACACGTTAGATACGCGTAATGCGTTTGCCTTTGACGGTCAACGCGCGAACGAGTTAACGAGTGAAAGCGCGACGTAAAAAATACACGCGGACCCGTGTACCGATGATACCGCCGAACGTGCGCATACACTAATTTCTATAAATAATATATCCCCCGGCGAAGACGAAATTACGGAGGACCCACCAACGAATAGGATGTACTGAGACAAGAATAAGGTGGTAGTGGTAGTGGTAGAGGAGAAGCTAGAGATCAAGATGAAAATGAGGATAAAGATGATTATGATAGAAGAGGAAGAAAAAAAACTAATGGATCGCGAGTGAGTATCCTAAAAAATACTGTATAAATACTAAAGAACAGTTATTATTATTATTATTATTATTATTATTATTATTATTATTATTATTATTATTATTATTATTATTATAACAGAGAAGGGGAAAGTTTTTCAAATCTATGAACATGAAAATCATATAGAGAGTGTACGTAATGGTTTATTCGGATATTTAACTTTTACCTTCTCTCTACTCGGTAAATTTTAAACTGGCACGCGTCCAAAAAAGTTTAAGTCACACGAGGTGGTGGTAAACGCGACGACCAACAGTCGAGACATAGTATTTTTAGATTAAATCCATTGCCATTGAACTTTTGCGTGGGTGTCATTCACAGATAAACTCTTAATCACTTTTCTGCTTAACAACAATAAATTTAATTACATGTCGTCATTCTCATTCTGCATCTCTATTAATAATAATAAATTAGTAATACTCCTTTGAATAATTTTTAACTGTTATATTAATAAAACTTGAATAAATAAAAATATTCAATTACCATACTGAAGCTTTTCCGGTAATTCTTTCTCAGCTTTCTCTTCTTTGCTATCTTTAGATGGTGAACTGGGTGAACTCATACTTGATGAAGCGCTATCGGTTGCTGATGGTGGACGTAATTCGTTTTCCGGTGACCTGGCGCGCTTTGACTCGGCAATTTCGGTATGAGGTTTCGCCCAGTCCGGTCGAGAACTTGTGCGTTCAATAATCTCAGCGGCAATTGCTGTTGTTGGTATTGTTGTTGTTGTTGTTGTTGTTGTTGTTGTTGTTGTTGTTGTTGCTGTTGATGTTGTAATTGTCGGCTTTAATTCGACAACATTCTTGAGAATCTCTTCGTTTTTAGCAAGCCAGACATTCCGCCATTCGGATGTTTTCGGTGGAGCACGCAGAGGACTCGCCGGAAGAATCGGGTAATCGTCAACCTCCAACAGATCGTGCTTTTGATTCCCGATTTCTTCATTATGTTCGGGGCTCGATGAAGAAGATTCTTTAGACAACTCTCGAGGACATGGAAGAGGTTGACGTGTAGGACTAGAATTGATACTCCTCGATAAAGGACTGCTGACTTCCTTACAGTTGTCTTTAGGAGTCAATTTAGACGATGTGTCTAAAACTATTTTCTTAGCTCCCAATGGTTTTTGTACCGTCGCATACTCAGGCATTGGTTCGTTAGACTTAGGTGGCTGCTTAGCATTAACTCCCTTCTGTACGACCGCGTACTCGGGGATAGTCGGTGACGTGTCGAAAGATTTGTTTACTGTAGCGTACTCTGGGCTCACGGGCGAATCTGATCCTGTGGGACTCGTAGCAGCGAAGCTCACGGGTCGCTCTTTCTTCACGGCTGACGAATTCCGTGTAGGCGGTAACGGTGGTGGTGGTGACATTGCCGGTGAAGGTCTTGACGTGCAAAAACTTGCAGATCTCGTGGCAGGACATGGTTCCGGAGATTTCTTGAAGTCAATTTCCTGATAATCCGACTCTATTGATGGGTCAACAGTGTTATCGTCAATCAGTCTCTTTGAATTTTGATTTTGTATCGAGGTCTGTACGATAGATCTATTTGGATCAGAATTATAACGACTAGGTCGTGTTTTAGAGAAATGACTCGTCCAATTTTTTTGTTTCTCAATCAATTCTTTAGAATTTAATCGTCTTTCCGGTTTCTCCGGTTTCTCTACTAGTTGTTTCTCGTCACGCCGATTTTCTTTGCCATGAAAATTCTTTTCGAATTTTGACGCGACTCCGACACGTGGCTTGATTCGCTGAGCAGCATTGTGATTATCCACGGCATGATGCCCATTTTCGAAGTGACGCTCGGCATTTAATGCCGGTACACTGGCACTCCAATTACTTAAATGATCACGACAACTGCCAGGTGGCGAAGGTGATGTAGGACGCGGTGATCGTGCTGGAGATGTACAGCCTGATCCAGAATTTGCTGAACTAGATCTTGATCTCAATCCATGAAAATTTGTTGGTTTTGTAACACTGAAAAAAAATTATTGATTCTTAATTAAATTTATTTTTATCAACTTTAATGTAAAAAAATAATTAGGTTAAAATTTTTTAAACATAATAGTAGCAATTATATTTTGATAAAATTTCAATTATTCATATTAATCAAATTATAGTTTATAAAAATTAATAAAAAAAATTTTGATTTTTAAAAACATTTATCTCGGCAACAAAAACACATTTTTTAATGATTCATAATTACAGCTGCCTTTATCTCGTATTAAAATGCAAATTGTCGATATTTTTTTTCTTCAAATTCAATTTAGAAATATTGACACAAATGTACGACTCGACATTTGTGACGGTAAAATGTGTCATAATACGAAGCAAGATACTTATTAGCAATTAACAAACAAGTTGTTTTAATAATGTGAATTTCGTTAGCTTAAATGATATAAATTCAAGAAATAAAAAGTGATATAGGATGAAAAAATGACTTTTGACGCTCCTTATCGCGACATTTCGACAATAAATATTTCTTTTCTCTTCCTGTTTAATATGCGACTTTAAATCATGTTGATTCAAATTAAAACATCAAAAACATATTCGACAAAGAATAAAATAATTTTTTTTTTACAACTGTGATCTAAAAAAAAAAACTTGAGCACCTAGTTTCAAATTTCGTAATCCACAAAATTAGGGGCATGGACTTTTTTACGGCAGTTATCGGTCTTTACTACAATTTAGATTTATTTTGATAAAAAAAAAAAAACCTTAATTAATTATTTTTAAAAACTAGTTCTACTAAATGTCGTATCTCTTATTAAAATGATAAATTAATCAGCTTCTAGTATCTCTTATTAGATTAATTTTTCCCGGATTACGATATTTTGAAATTAGGGCATCGACATGAATAATCTCGTCACCACACTGGTATCTTTGAAATGAATGAAAGTAAATAAATAAATAATAATAATAATAATAATAATAACAAGAGTAATTTTATACTTTTTTTAAAAATAGTTTCAATGTAAAATATTACTCACGGTCGATTGGTCTTGTTTTCCTCACCAAGCTTTTCAAACAAAGCTCGTGCATTGTTAAACCTCGCGACATGGCTCTCAGTCCTAACAACAGTCACTTGAGTTGGAGAATCAGAGAGAGGCGCCGGTGGCTCCTTGAATCCACCCTCCGGATGAATTGTCGTGGGTCGATGATGATGGGCAAGTCCCTCGTGCTGTGGCTTTGACTGGAATATATTCGCAATCGCCGACACCTTGGACCCAGCGACCCGTTTTTTTTCCTCAATCGTTGTCATTCTCTTCAGCTTCTTCTTTAGCTTTACATCTAATCCTCTCGCCTCATCGGTCTCCGTCTCAGTCTCTGTTTCTGCATCCGCCTCCACCTCCTTCGTCTTCTTCTCGAGTCTCTGCTGGTTATACGATCTCGTGATACTTTTTATGACACGTTGTAAACGTATCACCGATAGGAGCAACTTCCGAAATACGATGGAGAGGGAGAGATAACGCAGGGTATCGACCATACCTGGATTCCTCCTCAACTGTCCAGTTCTATTGTCATGATTTTTTTTTTTACATTTTTTAAAAATATATACTTTTACTCTACGAAAGCCAATTTAATTACTTAGCAAGAAAATTAAAAAAAAATATTAATAATAAAAAAATTTCAAATCGAATTTTTCAGCTCCTGAATTGAAAAATTTAATTTTTATTGAAAAAAAAAAAAAAATCATGATACACTGTTAAGTGCATGCTTTTATAGTTCTTTCGTGCACGTGCTGATTGCGTTATTTATTGATCGTACCACACACTAGTCTATTAATATTCTCGATAAACACCAAAGAAATGAGTGAGTGAGAGGCCAGTTTAAGGCATCTGACTAGTGAAAAAAAAGTAGCTCAAGGGTAACTTACAGACTTACAACTACTGTGTAATGATTTTAAAGAAAAAATCAACTAGCTCAGATATGATACAAAATACAAGAGCGAGGAAAGGATCTCTAAAATAATAAAAACAGCATTACGTTAGAAAAAGAGAATTAAAGTGAAATAAAAATCTAGGTGTGTATTAACACGTACACGTGACGAAGCCGGTAGCCTGTAGTCTGGACTTAACTGTTATACTCGACTCTGTCTCTCGGTACTGATCATTCTATACATTCTCTCTATTCTACTGTACTCCTATATTTTACTACACTCCTTCATCCACCATCCACCGTTCACCGTTTCACCGCACACCACTCTACTCTATCAGGCTGTGCTTCTCCTGCAATCAATACTTGAATCCTGGTTTGTGTGTCTGAACTTGAGCGAGCGCTACAATCCACCAGCCCCGAAGAACCAGGAAGACTAAACTGAAATTTCCTATTCTGTACTCTCGTTTTCTCTATTACCGGCTTTTTTCGTCTCATTTTCCCCGTAATATCCTTTTCCATACATATATATGTATTCATACATTATCACAACTAGCATGCTAATATATATACCACTCAAACTACTGTCTTTATCATCATCTACTGCTCTTTTGCTAATTCGCCCGTCAGACGCCTAATAGATTGCACTCTACACTCTAGACTGGATAATTAAAATCCCGGAGCTAAAAAGCGAAATTACGATTCATTAAAAAAGTGTAAATAATAAGAATAAGTCATCATCAATTACTGACAGTCTTTGAAATTTAATCAATTTTTACGAGAAACTTATTATTGAAATTAAGTTTTATTTTAAAAGAGAAATTTTGAAATATAATATGGAAAGCGATGACTGAAATTTATTCTAGAAATTACCAATAATCTTGAAAGTATAAAGAGCTATTACTAAATTTTCCAGATCATCACCACCAATTATACTTTCATTTAAAACTTCAATCAATTTTTAATAATAATTTTACAAGCTTTAATATGAAAAGAATTTTTTATAAATACTTATGACTTTCCAGATGATTTCCTTTAAAATCAATGGAACTAAAAATTAACTAGCTTTTGAATAAAAAAAAAAAAAAAAGCAATTATTGAATTCGATAATTAAAATACCAAGTGTGTAAATAAATAAGTGTGTGATAATTAATCGGAGGTTTTATATACATAAAACCGTGATAAATAAAGACTGAATTACATGTAGATTTAAACAATGAAAAAATACCTTCACGAGTCTTTTCTTGGTTGCTGATCTGAATACTAAACAACTGTGTAATTTATTCCTTATAAAGATCTAATTAAATACATTAGATTTAATATGCGTGAAATTGCCAGTGAATATCGATAATCTATTTAAATACTTTCATTATTATAAGTACAACTTATTTTATTATCTAATTACTGAATCAACTATCTAATTAATTAACTTATTATTTATGTTTTATAATTATTATTTTAATAACACGCTAGCTCGCTATCAATCATCAATATCACAAAAATTATCACAAGTTTATTCTTCTCGTATTATTTATCGAGTGCTTATCAGTAATAAGTGTCCCAGCCCAGGTAATTATTTTTTCTTTATCGTAATTCAAATTGTAAAATTCACAACAGCCACGAATAAATTTATGTATTTATAATATAATATATACACAGTCAATAAAGAGAGGGGAAATATAAATGTAACAATTTTCAAATAGTACAAATTGTGTGTGTATGCTTTACATTATTCATCATGATTATGATTATAATTATTATTATCATGACTATGACTACGTCTTTGACTATGATTATCATTATGATAATGACTTATGAAGCTATATGTCTGATTAGAAACGAAGAAAAATGATACTAATTACCAAGATTAGACAATTGTAATTATGCAAATATAAATAGCATTCCAATGGTGACAGTGCTGGCCATTGACCGTTAAATTCAAGGCCGCGTTTAATTTAACAAAATAAATCAAGTAAAAAACAAACCAACTAAGACTTAACTTGCTAAAAATAAAAAATTAAGAATATGAGAGATATTAATCAGTGGATACTTTAGTCTTAACTTGCTATTCGTAAAACCCCGTAGTTAACTGTTAGAACATGTGAACAAATTTTATACATTTTCCTCGTTCTTGATCATTTTTTTCGGCCTTATTCAAGTTACCGAGCACTTGGAGTAACATATGAAGTCACAGTTGTTGAGGAGGAACAAAGGAGATGGTCGTGTACGTGTGCAACGAAGCATTAAATAATTATACATGTTATATATATTATATACTTTAAATATATTAAATAGAAAGTCCTATAGGGATATGTAATATTTATATAAATATTAATGTCGAAGCAACGTAACAAAAATAAAAGTAAAAAATATACGATGATGATGATAATAATAATAATAATAATAAATTTCTTACCAGCGATGTCACCATGTGCAGAAAAGCATTTCTCCGGCGTTAAACGTCGGAGACGATTTGTCACCGCTTCCGGAGTCTAGTTGAATTGAATAAATATTTTAAAACCGCCGTCCTCGAGGTTTAGATTTTTTTACAAATTCTTCTCGTATCAGTTACTACAGTTTCAGCTTACTGAGACATTCTGATGACAGTCTTGAGTTTACCTGTTTAAATTTAAAAATATCAACAAAAAATTTTTTACACGTTGTCTTATGTTACATGTATGCAAACTATGAACACAACATACAAGTCTAAATAAGTAAAATATATTTATTGGAATTTAATATATTAATAGATATTTACGAAATAAAAATTTAAACGAGTGCTGATCGGTGTGAGTAATAAGAGAGAAAGAATGCCGTGACACTAAAACATACAATCTATCGTTTTCTTTATCTTAAACTTCTGGACAACATTGTCTTCTTCTTAAACTTTTTACTGGCTAGTATCGTTCACTCGCTCACTCTTGTTAAAGTACGTACTTAGGTACTTGTGTACGGAGTATAGAGTACGTACATTACTTTATTTTACTCGATCTATCTATCCATCTTTTTCTTTACCCGTCATTCTTCATGTGCGTTAATGTGTGATGTGTATGTGTATATTAGTACACCACAATCGCCCGTGCTCTTTTTTCACACGATTGTGTTGTGTGACAGACGCTGATGTTTAAGCCGAATTTATTTATTGTCAACCTGATTTGATAGTAAATTCACAGTATAGAGAGAGTTAAACCTTTAAGAGATTATCTAAATATATTTACCAGGATGTTAAGTATCACACCGGCTACACTACCAATTACTTTTTAATAAATAATTGTGCGGCTACGCGTTTTCGCCGAGCAAAAAACACACCTTCACACAACCGGCTGGAAGGCAGTAAGCCCGTGTCAACAACCTATGAAAAATGAATGAGACAAGATGGTTTTATTTTTAATTTCTTCCTACACTTACAGATGGCGTAATTATACAAAATGGCTGCGTAGTTGTTGATTTAATAAAAAATTCATAACTTTTTTTTTATTTACTAGTTATTACTAAGTAATTGATTTTGTTAAATATTTAACATTAATTATTATAAAATCAAAATTTTACTATAATTATGCTTAATTTTATATATTATAATTATAATATTTAAACTACTTACTTAATTGGAGGATTTTGAAATTTCCCGCGTAAATCAAAAATTTTAATGGATCCTTTTTTTGCTAATAAACTATAAAAAAAAATTTTTATGTTGATAATCAATATTTATTAACGCTTTAGTGAAGTGTTAAGAATTTTTTGTACCAGAAAATTATTGTTTTTATAAGTATGCAAATTATAATTACAAACGATGTTTTATTTTCATTATACATTGACAATAACATTTTTTTTTGACTATATTATAATTATTTATTATTGTGACTGTTAATTAATAATATACTCAAAAATTATTTTTAAAGAAATAATTTAGAAAAGAATTTATTTTATTTTATAAGTAATTATTTGATTTACTAAAGGGTTATATAGAAAATAATTTTTCAAATACCTGCTACTACTTCTCGCATTAGAAAATTTAAATTTCGCGCTCTATAATGAAATAGCAGTGGTAGAGGTTTAAATAAACTCTAGTCTATAATTTTTTATATTTTTATAATTTTAATATTTAATTTGTATAAATATTTATGACACTGAACTTAGCAGACGTCTAAAAATTTGTGATTTTTTTTTATTAATTAAATTACAACTAAAAAAATTTTTCTAAAAAATTGCACTTATAGATTTTTAAGTTTTCTACATGTGACAATTTTTTTTTAAGTTTTTTTAATTAAAAGTTTTTTAATAAAAAATTTATAAAAATTTTGAAATATGTCGGCTAACTTAATTTTCATAATTATTTAATTTTAATTTATAAAAAATATTGATATAAGAATCCAGACATTACTGTGCTCACAACTGCTCACGTCTATACCAACCTAAGAAAACTTATTGAAAAATAGTCATTGTGAGTCCCCGCTGGACATATTATGCATCATCGAAGATGCTTCTCTCTCGCTTTCTGGCTCATTCTGGTATATCAAGACAATAGTGGAGTGAACTAAAGAAATAAATTCATGATAATTTTCGACATTTTTATAATTTAAACAAAATTTTGTATTAATATAATTAATATTTTGTTTATCTAATAATTAAATCGTTAAATCTCACAAAATAAGTTTATAGATTATTGGAGTCATCGGTAGTGATCACGAATAATGAGTATTATAAAATACGTGTTGCAATAGCATTTTTCGTTTGTTGGATGGTAGCAATAATCTCTCGGGAAACGCTAAGTTGGTGAGGTGGAAAGTGGTAGTTTTTAGTAGTGAAGAAAATAATTTAAAAAAAAAAAAAAAAAAAAAAAAAAGAACGTACTTACAGAATAGAAGTGTAAACGTAAGTGTGAGAGGGCAAGAAGCCACATCATATAAAAAGAGGCTTCGTTCTCAGTTACTGGACTTATGTTGTTGTTGTTGTTGTTGTTGTTGTTATTGTTTGCAAACAAAGCACGAACTTATTCTACTGTCATTGTTGTATATTTTAATTGAACGAAAAATTTTTAATAAATATAATAAAAACGGAGAAATTAAATTAAATATATGCAGGAAGAAGGACGCGGATTTATCAAGTGGTGTCCAAGATAGCCAGATCATCTTATTGAAATATTTATGAAAGATCTATTATAAAATTACATTGATAATTTGATAATTATAAATAACTAAAGACCCAGAAATCCCTCGAATTAGCACTTATGAACTTTTGTTAGGAATTTACTTAATTAGAATTAAAGACTTGATTAGATTTGCAACAAAATATCATTTATAAAATAATTAATTATATTTTACAATTATTCAAAGCTTTAAGAGGAGGACTTAGTGTTGTTTTATTATATATATTAATATATACGAATATAACATGTAAAAAAAAAAGAGTATATGATATGATAACATTTTATTTTGAACTGCATCGATAAAAAAAATACGTAACGTGGCTCACCACGCAAGTGGCCTTGAATAATAATAATAATAATAATAATAATAATAATAATAAATATGTTTATAATATCAAGTAGTCTTATAAATCAGCAGCTATGGTGCACTTATTTAGTGAATAGTATGGAACTATTAAAACCCTGTCAGAAGTATGGAACATCATTACTTTTTACAAATGATTTTATTTTATTAAAATCACCAAGTTGTACATAACAAAAAATAATTAACATTATTAATAATTATAATGAAATTGATGCTAAATTAATATTATTATTTTTTATCAAAAGTTATAACACATTCATAATAATATTTATCATTAATCAATAATAATAAATACTTAATAATGCAGAGATTGAATAAAAATAATTATTAGCTATGCGAAATGATAAAATAACTTTACAAAATATAATTGATGGTGTTGAGTAAATAATAAAATATTTCATGTTTTTTAAACTATTTATTTACAGAGTGCATTTATCAGCAGCTGATATAAAGCCTGGTTGAGAAATTGATGCAGATAAATCAGGATCTGTAATCAGTGGATATTCCTGCAATTGGAATTGAATTAAATATCACTGTTTGATATAAACTGAGTTGTTAAAGATGGACAACACCCACGACGGAGATAACTTGAATCTGAGCAGCGGAGAAAATGATATTGGGGATGAATTGAAGATTGGAGCTGACGAGACTTATGACACACGAAGCGAGGTATCATCGAGTTCCTCGGACTCAGACTCGAGCCAGCCCAGTATCAGTTCTGTGTCCACGAAGTCTTCCCGGGGGGATAATAAACGGAACCGGCGAAGCCGAGGCAAGCGTAAGCACTCTAGAGATTCCAAGTCATCGAGTCCTGAGAGCAAACGCGCAAGATCTAAGGATAGTAAAGCAACTACCAAAAATTATGATTATATTACTAAACTTAATTACTTGTTTAGGGATGCCAGGTAGTTATTTTTTTAAGATAGTGCTAGGTATTGATAAATGGATTCTTTTTATTAATTTTTGTTATTTTTGTCTAGATTTTTTATTATAAAATCTAATAATGCAGAGAATGTTACTCTGTCTAAAGCTAAGGGAGTGTGGAGTACGCTACCGCAGAATGAAGCCAATCTCAATCAAGCTTACAAGGAAGCAAGAAATGTTTTGTTGATTTTTTCAGTTAAGGAATCGGGTAAATTTGCTGGTTTCGCGAGACTCAGTACTGAATCTCGGAGAGATTGTCCGTCAATACAATGGGTAAAAATTTGAGAAATAAAGACTCTACTTCCTTTAATTTCAACCGGATATAATTTTCTAATGCTTTACAATTAAAAGATTTATATTTATTATAAATGAATCTTTCGTATAGTTATACAATAATTCTTTTAGGTATTACCACCAGGATTGTCAGCAAAAGCCCTTGGCGGCGTATTCGAAGTAGACTGGGTGTGCAGAAAAGAATTACCATTCACGTCGACTCTTCATCTTTACAATCCTTGGAATGATGGAAAACAAGTGAAAATAGGCCGAGATGGCCAGGAAATAGAACCACGTATCGCTGAAGAACTCTGCAGACTTTTTCCAGAAGACGAGGGCATCGAAATGACTCCGATATTACGCAAGGCTAAGGAAGCAGCTAAAAATGTTGTTAAATCGCCTCGTAGAATCCGTAATGGTCGTCCTGTTATGACAACGCGGTTTTTACGTACTCGTGGAAATGCCCGTGGCGGACGACGACTTTTTTTAACTTCAAGATCACGTCTTGCTTCGCTCGCTAGAAGTGGATATGGCCCAGACCGAGGAGATTACAATCACCGCTATCCGAACTGGTTCAATCGTGACTCTCCTTATTCTAAGTTCGTAAAATTTTTATAAAATGAATTAACTCACTAATTAATACTTTTTTTTTTTTATCTGCTTCTTTTTATTAATATATTTTTCACTTGCAGAGGATACAGACCATCAGGCTTAGGAATAGCAGCAGCTGCTGAAGCATACGTAGCAGATTATATGAGAACAATGCAACATCAATTGCCGCCGTTGCCACCATACTCGAGTTCTCACCCTTACGATGCTTTACCTCCACCACCCCCACCGCCACCACCACCACGTTATTACGATGGTCTACCGCTTTACAACCCTCCAAGTTCGACTATTGACAAACGCAGTTACGAACGCAGCGTCGATGAATTTTTGTGGAGAACATCCAACAGTCGTCATCACAGTCGTCACAACGACCATCGATCATCTCGTGATCATCATCATAGACATCGAGAGAGGAGATAAATTCGTTACTAATAACGCATCTCCTACTGCTTATGGATTAAGTTAATATATAAGAATAATAAAACTAATAATAACAATAATAATTATGCTTGATAATAGAATCAACCTGATATTTATTAAAAATCAGGTATTAGTCTTAAGTTAAATATTAAAATATAATTAGAATTGTAAAATTACAAATCCACAAACTCTGTTCATATCATTTTTATATTTTTCTGTGAAAATCAACGACTATACAAAAAATTTATTTGTTGACAACGTAATTTTAATAAAGCTACAGTAAATATTTTTTAACTGTTATAGTTTTAGATATGAAGCAGCAATTTATAATACTGAAGGTATTTTCTTTCCTAATTAAGCAGAAAGTTGTAAAAAATTTTTTTACCTTGAATTTTTATTATATGGTACTGCCGTGATATAGTAAGCTAAAAATGAAATTATTTTAAAAGCTTCTTTTCCGATTGAATGTTTATCTGGTTGTAATAATATTAAAAGAAAAAATAATTTTTATTTTTTGTATTTTATATTGTAACGTCATACTCTGTAATAACGCCTTGTGTGGAGTTAAAGTAATTATTAAAAATAGATTATATACCAATTGGTGTAATAAATAATGATCCTCTAATGCAAATTTATCATTTTTTGGAAATTTATTCCACCTGTTAATTCTCTATTATATTTATTATTGATACCAGTTAGTTATTAAGACAAAATAAAATCAGTAGCCAATAATTTTAATTAAAGTAAGGTTTGATAACAAAGATTATTAAATTATTTTAGATTAAGTTTTTATTTATTTAGTAAAATTTGACACAAAATTTATTATTTATAGCTAAAAAATAAAAACTCGATTGTCTATAACACACACGTAAAAAACATTTTATCAATTGCAAACAAAATATAAAAAAAAATTATTTATATTGGTAACGAGTAAACTTCTGGATAAAAAATAAAATGCAAACTTATACTGGTGATAAAAGAATAGCTTGGATACAATCAAGAGCTGTTTGTGATGGATATTGCAGACATTCGAAAATGCGTTTTTCTTGAGTAATTTTCTCGAACGAACGTTCTTTGGCAATTATAGCTCTTGTAAAGTTATCAGACTGATCTTGTTCTAACTTATTTTGAATGTTAAACAACCATTCCATAGTAGAATCTGTGCATTCGGAACACCGACCATATGCAGCCATTTCGTACATCTTGACTGTGAGCAAAAAAATAATCAGTCACATATATTTTATCACGAGTAAAAATAAGTAATAATAATAATGATAAAAAATTATAAATAAACTTACTTTTTAAATTAGGAACTATTAAGTTGCATTCATCTTCGAGGAAACATTTCATGATTTCTCTTGTCAAATCATCAATTGGGTAATCAGCTAAAACTTTTCGAGTCAAAGCGTTGTCCAATTCTGATTTTTGCCTTGCATCTAATGTTCTTTCATAATTTGATTTGATAGTTCTCCACTCATTGGGGTAAAATTCTTTAATGTTACGGAAGACTGTATTTACTCTAATTCTCTGGTTAATGAGGAAATGACTCGTGTTGCCTTGTAAATAACTAGATAATGCATCTGTAATATACAAAAAAAAAAAATATAATGAACGATTTTTAAATTTAAAATAAAGAATATATAAGAAAAAACGATAATTTTTAGTTAAAAATAATTTTTCTAATGCATAAAAAATTGTGATACTGAATTTAGCAGACATCTAGCAATTTTTTAGATTTTTTATAACAGTTAAATTATAATGAAAAAAATTTAGCACAAAAATTTCACATGTAGAAATTTTAAAAAATTATAAGCGTGATTTTTTAAAAATATTTTTTTTTTATAATAATCGATTTGTTATAAGAGTTTTTAAATGTCTGCTAATTTCAGATAACACTAAAGTTAGCCGACTTTTTAAATTTTTTTTTTCATTAATTAAATCAGAACAAAAAAATATTTTTTAAAAATTGCAATTACAGTTTTTCAAGTTTTTTACAAATGAAATTTTTTTTTTTTGTAATAATTTAAAAAAAAAAAAATTCTAAAAATTTTCAGATGTCGGCTAACTTAATTTTCATTAATTTCAGTATCATTAAAAATTTTTGAATTTCATAACTTACGTTTAGTAATTTCAGTATTACTGTTGCAGGGTTGGCGATCTAACAAGCAATCAAGCTCTGGTGCCAAATACCGACGAACAGAATCTGGAACTGGCGGGCTTGCAATATGAGTAGCGGTACGTCGACCCTCTACGCAAAATGCGACGAAACTCAAAACAACGATTGCTTGAATTTTCATTTTCACTTTACAACGCGGACAAAATTATTATTAATAATTCAAGAAGTCTTCTTTTTGGAGGAAAACAACTCCATCTGGTAATTGAGGAAGCTCACGCCGATATTTTATACAGTTTGTCGGTATGAAGAGAGGCAGGGGACGAAACAAAAACCCTTGAAAATGTTTTTTTTCTATTTCTCTAAATCCCACTTAAAAGGGACGTTTGTATAATATTACAGAACTTGATATAATAGCAGGAACTTGTTTTTTTTAAATATTAACATTTTGTGGGTTTTTTAGACTATTCTCAAGATAAGAGTCACTATAAAAATAATATTTTATTAAAAATCTTTATGGTTATCGATAATTTTTATTTTCAACAACTTTTATGGCTATCAGAAATATTAACATATTATACTTAGACGTAAAAAAATATAATTTAAGTAATGTGATAGATATGTAAATAAATTTAACAAGTTTATTTTTCAGATTTATTAATTAATCTATGTATCGAAAAATCTCCTACTTGAATCCGGGTTCTTTAAATTTAAGTGAATTGTTTACAAAAAAATAATTCAAACTTCAATGTCAAATCATTAACACGATTCAAAAATTATTCTCACGCTATATACATATAATAAAGTCAACAGATGTTTTTCAAAAACTGCTTTTAAAATGTAAGCGTAATAAAAACTTATATATTTTCCAGGCCTTATGTTATGTTTTTAAGATGAAAGATCGTGATTTATGAGAAAAAATTACACTTTTTATTACACCAGAAAAAAATCTAATAAATTTTGGAGTTTCTTTATCCCAACATTTATTTTTTTTTTACTCTAATAGTTTTCTTTATCTAGAGGATCTTGAATGTTCGAGCAACAAAATAAGAGATTGATCTAAAGTTAAAAAAAGTTTTAAAATAAAAAACCATAATTTTCTAAATTATAAATTTACAAATTTTTAAATGCACTTAGTTCGTTAATTTTTCGTAAAATGACATCAATATTTATGACATTAAAGTTAGCTGTCACTTGACAATTTTTTAATTTTATTTAACAAAAAGATTTGTTCTAAAAAATTATTTTCAAAAAATTGCATTTTTTATTTATTTAAATTTCTAAATGTCAAATTTTTTTCTTATTTTCTTATGCCGTAATTTATTTGTTATAAAATCTTTTAAAATTATTAAATATGCGCTAGATTATAATTATCATCAATATTTAAATTTAAATTTAAATTTACTAAAATAAAGGTTTATTTCGGAATAAAAGTGTTGATCAAAAATGATACTGAAATTAGCAGACATCTGATAATTTTTTTTTACTTTTATGATAGTTAAGTTGATTAAAAATAAAAAAATATTTTTGAAAAAAATTGCACTTTCAATTCTTTTAAATTTATAAATGTGGAATTTTTTTATTAAAATTTTTTCATAATAATTTAGCTATTATAAAAATCCAAAAAAATTGACAGATGCTTGTAAATTCCAGTATGATTTATAAAAATTAAAAATTTCAATGAATATTACAATTTACTAATTAGTCATTATGAAATACACGGGTAAGTTGTAACGGAAGTTGTATTAGATTATGATAAGTTTTTATTGGTACTTTTGCTACTCAAATAAATTTTTCTACACAATATATATTTCTCAAAAACAATAAATTTAATCTAATCTAATCTGAGACACTAAACATTACAAAATGTAATTAGGTTTTTCACAGTAACTCAATTTATCATCTCGTATATTATTTCAAATTTTAAATAAATAAATCTTCTATTTTTATCTGATCTAACAAAAATTGTCGTATAAAATTGATAAAAACTACATTTAAAATTCGCACAATAGATTATTTTATGATAATTAATCGCACATTTATTCTCATTTCATTAAAGTTTTTATTTATATGCTTAAATTGCGTGACGAAATTTTGTCAGCGGTTTCACTCAGGTGGTTTTAAAAAAAACAACTAATTTTTTGTCAAAAATTTTCTATATCCAGGATCTATGAACTATCGAAAAAACTACGGAGTACTATTTTACGACGCAATTATACAAACATATAATTTTGCACGTCAAGTCTTGGGCCAAAATATGTAAACAAAATAAATAAATAGATTTATTCAATATAAGCATTTTACGACAATTAAAAATGAAAATGAAGTTAATCGACATTTCAAAACTTTTAGAAATTTTTTATTGAAAAAATTTAAATTAAACAATTTAAAAAAAAATTTCACATCTAAAAAACTTGAAAAACTATAAGTGCAATTTTTTAGAAATATCTTTTTAGTTGTAATTTAATTAATAAAAAAAGTCAAAAATTTTTAGACGTCTGCTAACTTCAGTGTCTTCAATTAAAAATAATAAAATCATTCAATATATTAAACGATGCATGTAAAGAATATAGCCTATATCGAAACTTTTAATGTAATGTTTGATCGATAACTTCATGCTCGTAAACTAGAAATTTATATAAATAATAAATAAAGTTGTTGCACTTCTCTGATAAGTAAGATTAATTTATTAATTTAATTAATAAACGATAAAAATGCCACCTATAATAGTAACCGATTACACTTGGCGGCAAACAGCCGAAGAAATAATAATATCAGTGCCAATTAGAGGTAGTCCCAAAGATGTTAATGTTTTTGCGATTGACAACTACGTAAAAGTCAGTATTTACATTTATTTAACAATATATAAATTTATTAAGATTTTTTTTTTTAATAAAATTAATTATTTACAGATGAGCTACCCGCCTTTTATACTGGAGTTATTTTTATGGAAAAGTATAATTGAGGAAGAAAGCCAGTGTACTTTGTCGGAATCACAGGCTGTACTGATCTTAAAAAAGAGCGAGATAGATACAGACTGGCCGAGTCTTATTGAAAATAATTTAAGTAAAGAACAAAAACGCGAGTATCGAAATCAAGCTCTGGAACATGCTCGTCTGTCGGCTGAAAAACGTCAAAATGAGAAAAAAAGTTTGTTTTAAATATTTAGATTAATTTTGTCACTTAAAATTTTTTGTTTACTTGATAATTATTTCCAGCAAAATATCGAGAACTGGATCGACAAGCAGTGAAGGAACAAATAAAACTCGAGTCGAAGGTGCACAATAAAATTCAAGAGGTTCGAGACTCTCATAGAAGAGAAGCCATGGATGAGTTTGAAAATTGGCGGAAAAATGCAGAGAAACCAATTCTTTGTAATGAGAAAGCAGTACTACAAGAAAACAGGAAGTCTTACAAGTAATTATCGTTATTTTCAATACTTTATTATTTATTTTTACGTAGAAAAAGTCAATGGGATATAATTCTTGACATTTTTACAGAGCTCCACTTAAGTGGTTCAAAAGCGAATCTGATGATCCCCGGTCGACTGAATCCCAATCTCCGAAAGCAATAGAAACTGTTGATAATGAAACCGAAGAAGAAACTGCTCCAGCTGCTGAAGAAATAAAATCTTTTGGTGGTAAAGATCATTAACTCAGTAGCGCAATAGAATTAATAACCATAATACTTAATAAATCATTCAAAATCCAGCTTCCCTGGGATCCCCTTCAACTGAGAGGTCACCGAGTCCATTAGTACAATCAGTCATGCAAAGTAGTATCCTTGATACGTCTTACAGAGAGCGAGAAGCTGATACTAAACGAGGAAAAGAAATTATCGATAAACTTCTAACTGGGAACTATCGTATTAGTAATAAAAAAAACATCTTTGACAAGACTGACGTAAGTATTCCTGCTCCGAGGCAATCTGGTAGGATCACTGTAACATTCTCGGAACGTGTGTTTCCAACTCCCGCTAGAGAAAGTTATCACTTACAAGAAAAAGAAGTAAGATGAGTCAGATGAGTGATAAAGACTTCTTTTTATTTTTTTTTTTTTAATTTTGAAGATATAATTTCAATATTTTTTAGTGGCTTGAAAAACAAGCTGAAGCACGAAGGAAATTTGGATTTGCTTCTGAAGATTTAAGACCTGAAGAACAAAACCCGCAGTGGCTTAAAGATAAAGGAGAGTACGTTTTAATTTTTTTAATATTCATGCACATAGCATAAATTCATAAAAATCATGCTGATTTTTATTAGCAATAAATATTTATAAATTCAAACAAGTGAATTAAACAAAAGTAGTTTTTAAATGGGACGAACTTTAATTTATTAATTAATCCCTTGCACTTCTCAATAATAAACATAATAATTATAAAATAAGAATAAATTTTACTACAGTTTAAAAATGATGTAATTTAGTTCTTATATCAATGATTGATAGTAGGAAACTAGTAATTAGTATGCATATATATAAATTATTGACTATTCTATGAATCATTTGAATTTTATATTTTTTTCTGTAGCGAATTCTTCAAGGTCGGCAACTATTTAGCGGCAATAAGTGCATACACTCATGGTATTAAACTAAGTGACAAGATGGCAAGTCTTTATGCAAATAGAGCAGCAGCTCAATACGCTCTGGCTAATTATCAACGATGTGCAGAAGATTGCTCCAAGGTATTATTATACTGTTATTTTTTCTACTCAGGTTTATTATGTTAAGGGAGCTTTTTTAAATCAAAACTACTTTTTTAAACCATTGATAGACATTTAAAATAAGTTTTTTTGATCTACGACATTTATTTCTATTAGTAATAAATTTTGAAGATTTCATATTAATTTATTTTATTGACTCTGTCAGATAGTTTGCAAAAGTTATTAATAATTATTATACAGAAATTATTTAATTTGAAAGTTAACAGTTATTACTAATAAATAAGTATGATTAATTTTCAAGAAATTTTATCACATTTAATCGGGTTAAAAAGATTTTTATTTCGTATATTTTTTACATTCTTTATTAAAATTTTTTTATGAAAAAATAATAATATTATTTATTAATATAATAATAATAATAATAATAATTTAAACAGGCTTTAGAACTAATGGAACCAAAGTGCGAAGGTAACCGTGAATCACGAGCCCGGTGTCATGCACGTTTTGGTGCGGCCCTCTGTAAATTATCGGCACCTCAGCACGGGATTCCAGAATTAGAGGCAGCCCTTAAATTATCTCCCGACAACGATACTATTAAGCGTGATTTAGAAGTGGCAAGAAAATTCTTTGAACTCGCCAATTAAGTACAATAATAACATTCGAAAAACACATTACATAATTTTTCTTTAAACCATCACAAGTTATAAATATAAAAACATTTTACTTGAAATGTTGAATTAATAATAATTTAAAATTTATAATCATCAATTAAAAATACTAGTAGAAATTTTTTTTAGAAATTTTGAAAAGGTTCCTTGTCTTTATCAACACATGCACATTTGACATGTTCCACGGCGTGAATTACTTCGTGATGCCGGTCTCGCTGCTGATCAATCCGATGCTTGACCATAAATACTAAGCTTACATTCCGAGTCTGAATCGGTCCACACACTTGGTTTTCTTGGGGACAACAGCCAGCACCTTCACAACGAGACAAGACTGTTGAAAATGGGTAGAATATTTCATCAGGACTGGGGCCTACTGATAAAAGTTCTTCGATCCGCACCGCTCTTGGTTGAGGTAATGAACATCTGAATTGATGAACCAGTTGTACATGATTCAAATAACTGCTGTCCCTTAATAATAAAAAAATGAATCTAATTAATACCAGATATTATAAATCAATAGCACAATAAATTACAAAAAATCAAAATTATCTTACTTGTGATTTATTTTTGATTGACAGCCCAAAACTCCAAGGATCAAAATTAGACATAATATCATCATAATTGATTATTAATAATAATGAAAATTAAAAATTGAATAACACTGTTAATATAATTTCTTCTCTTTAGAATCACCAGACTGACTGACTCAAAATCTCGTTCGTGACTAAACGTTCGTATACTACTCAAGTGAAAACGAGAGACTCTTCATTTCACGAATCGCCAACCGAGACACTAACGTTGACCGTTGCGATGCTGAATCCTTTCAACCACAGCTTCTCCAATTCATCGCTATATGTACACGAAATGTATACAACACAATCAACAATCCCGCTTGTATTTATATATGTATATACACCAAGACCGTCCATTCACATTTCTGGTCCAGTGAAAAAAGAGTCCACCTTAACGACAACCCTTTCAAATTATTATTACTCGTCAACAGCTTAACACATTTGTACCTCCTCTTATTTGATTTCTTTCATCATTACACGAATCCTCAGGCGTTTTATTTTTTTACATCAGCTGCTGGTGGCGAAGAAAAATTCCAGGAACGTCAAAGATTATAGTAATTATTTTGGTCCTCTGCATTCCAACGGTAAACTTTTTTTTTCGGATATAAATTATTTTTAATTTTCTGATTATTAAATTTGATATCATTTTAATTAATAAATAAACAGAATAATTATCAATTATTTGTACTCTATAAAAAAAAAATTAGATGATATAATTTATAGAATTATGAAAAAGTCAATGTTTCCAATATACCGTTAAAATTTTTAACAAAATATTATACATTTTACAGAATCTGAAAGTGACTCCACAGCTGACGTCACAGAACTCGCATATTGACACACATTAGATCGTCTATCACATAGTCTGGCTTTATCACCTCGTTTAAATTTGATAGCCCAATCCCTTGATGATGAATCATCATTCATATTTGCCATTACTAGCATTCTTAAGTACACTGCATCAGACTACAACTAATTTATCAATTGGCAATTCTATTAAGAGCCTGTTGTATGTATATTCTCTCATCTATTAAAAATCTAAAAATTAGGTTTATTTTTTAAAGCGTTTATAAGATACAAAATACACTCACCTAATTTTTTATAAGTAGAATAATGAATGTAATTCTACGAAATTTCAATTTTTTAGTCTTTTTAATTTATAATAATAAAGACAATCAGTTACAGCATTAAAAAATGGTAAATTATGTGCGGTAAATAAGTGTAATCTAAAAATAGAAGTAAATAATGGAATACTAATTAATCGTTTCAATGTAATAAATTACACGCGAGACCTACGTAATGATTATAAAACTGTAGCAAACAATTTTCCTCAATCAACGGAGATTACGTGATACCAGAGGTGTGAAATAAAAATGACTCACTCGAGGAAGAAATAATGAGTACCCTAATAGACCAAATGATCGAATATTTAAGCTTCAAAGTCACCTCGTAACTAAAATATTTCCTGATAGAATCTGCAACTTCCTGTGGAGTCATCATCACTCTGATAACACGCACAAAAGGTTTGACGTCAATTTGATCACTCATCTAATGTGACCATTAATTGATTCGTCATAACTAAATTTTAACGTATGTACTTACAGGATAATTGGATTTAAGGTTTATGTGAAAAAGTTATGATATTGGAAAAAACATCGGACGCTGAAGATTCAGGTGACGTAAAAGGAACAAGTTCAATGTATCCTTGATGTTACTGCGGGAATTCCCAATGACGTAGGTACTGTATGATCACATATGACAGTCGGTCCAGTTTGTTTTCTATAAAACTTTCTATTCTCGTTAAAAAATTTATTATCGCAGTCTATAAATGGAAACAATTAAAAATTCAATAATTCAATGGAATTATTTTAGTTTTTGATAACAGTAGACTTCATAGAATAATATGATATCATGAATTCACTTAAAATTCATCATTACTTTTGTTCTTAATTATTTTTAAATTATTTAAGAAATTTAAATTGATTATAAAAAAATTTTTTTAGTCACATAAAATGAAAAATAATTATTTTAAAAATAACAACTAAATACTCTATCACTTAAATAATTTTTTATCTAGGTACAAACAAGCTTCATAAAAAGAAATTTAATCACAAGTTAAAATATTGCAATTATTAATTACTAATTTTCAATAAGAAAAAAAAAATTAATTTTTCAAAAAATTTCATAGTTATTTCTATTTACAAGTGTTTGCTAATTATAATCATTAATAGCAAGGGCAGATGTATATTGATGATTAATAAATAATAAGAATGCTAATAATAAAATGGGAAACTTACAAACCGCAATGACGATCTCGAGCTTGATTTTGAGATAAATATTCACCGTAATAATAATAAAAAAAGTAAGGTGAATGGGTAAATAAAAAAAAAAAACTAACAATGAATCAAACGAGGATTAGCACGAGCATGGAGATGTTTCTGCATCAGCATGTACAGAAGTGTGCGACGTATGAGGTAAGGGACGCTTGAACGCAAATGTATAAATACTCGATCAACCAGAAAGAAGCTCTCAGTCGAGAGTCAACTCCACGCTTCATTTTGCAACCACTTCTACCGACAGCATTCACGTACTGGTGAAAAAGTTTCTACAAACAAACAGTGCTGTGAAAAAAAAATGGCTAAAAATATCATAAAAGTTCTCCGGGTGATTATTTTAATTACCACGATTTTGTGTAAGATTCAAGAGACTCTGAGTAACCAGTCAACTACGCGGAAGAATCGTACCTCAAGCAGCTCACCCCGGTCAGCTCTGAAGCTTCCCGCGGTAGAACGCGCCAGGAAATTCATTTGCACGGAACCCCAACCGCGTGCTTATCACCTGAAAGATTTGATGGACAGTCAAGGTTTGTTACATTCTCAAGAAGCACCAAATCACCCATCTTACCTGGTGGTACGTCGTTGCGATGGATATTCCGGCTGTTGCCCTTCTCCTGAGCTGGTCTGTATGCCCGCAGAAGGTTCAGTCTATTTTGAGGAATTCGATGTTCAGTTCCGGAGCGTTGATATTAAAAAGACCTCGCTCAAACGGATCTCCGTTGAGCAACATCACAATTGTAGCTGCGAGCCGGCTAATCGGACTGAAAGAGAGACTCTGGAAACCCGAAGACCGCAGATTACTGTTGTGTCTTAAATCTGGAATTTATTAAAATAAAATTAGGATAATCAGTGATAATTAACTAATTAATTATAATGCTGATTACAAAAATTACATTCTTATGTCTGTGATAACTTGACTTTTTAATTTATTTATTACTATTGAAAGTTTAATATTAGTCTTGATATTTCTTACTAGTATTCAAAATAAATTTGTAGACATATCATATTTATAAAATCGTGAGACATTTTGTGGGTGTCTGGTGTATGCCTGTAAATAATTTTTACTGCTTACTAGTATAATAGTAAATGTATAGTGTAAGTGTAAAGAAGAATCACTTTCAGATGACGGCTCAACATAAATACCAGGATATTTTATTATGTACCACGGGTGATACAAGATTATACATACGTATGTATGTATGTGTGCAATAAAATGTTTGGCAATAAGCCCAAATAGATCGCATTGACGCCCTCATGTCGCCGTTTTTGATTATTATATCAAATAGATTAAATTATTACGATGATACCGGTTATTAATTTTTTTGTTTGTACACGAATTAATGCTACTTGAGCATGTGCGATGTGGGAAGCTCTGAAAAGAAATACGCTTTATATTAATTATTTTTTAAATTAAGTGTATGAAAAGTAATGTGATATTATAAATTATTAATTTAGTTTTTTTAATGAATAGTAAATTAGTAATTCAATACTCGATGTAATGAAATGAAATGTACCTGTTATACTGTCATGTTTCATTTTATAATTTGGATGTTTGCCTTCAATGCCTTGCCAGCAATGTAAATTCAAAACTTTAAGTTGTATCATTATTTATCTTCATCTCCATCATCATTATCATTATCGCGCTTCTGCAAGTGTATTTCCAAGTTGTATTTTTACTGACTATTTATAAATAATTTATAACTTTAAGAATAAATAAAAAACATTAATAAAATTATTAAGTTACAAACCTGATTATTGCGAGTTGACATTAATTTATTGGTCATTCCTTTGACTTACAATTAATAATACTTATCAGTAATAAATTATAAAATCTATAGGTGGTAGTAAATTAAAATTGTTTATAAATAAATTACTCTTGTATTATTTATATACATAAGGTTTATTCCTTGAAACACAGCAAGTTATCTTACATATCCGCACATGAACTTTAATACATAAAAAAAAAAAAATTTTTAATATTATTAATATAAAAAGTCAGTTAATTAATATTAACATATTAATTTTATAGAATTTTTGGAATGACCCACTCTATTACATAAATGTTTGTTTTAACGTAAATTTACTCTGGTTGGTTAAATGACAATTTCTATTTGTACGAACTCGTCAAGATAACAATTAAAAAAAAAATATATATATTTATATTTTATCTAAATATTTCGTTAATCATAATTATAAATACGTATCGTATACTGTAGATTCTTCAGTATTTTTAACCTTTTCGTTGAGCTTTAAAACATGTACTTAGTTTGTTAATTAGCTATTTAATAACGAGGATAACCGTACTTGGTGGGACGCATACTACGCCGGCCACGAGAACCACGACCACGTGCTACTTCATTGTTGACTCCCCTTATCCCTCCTGGATGACCTCGATTTGACTGACCTATAAAAGTAAATTGATAAATAAATAAAATGAACAATACAATTTCAGTAGAAAGAAAAATTATTAATAATAATAAAATGTAGTTAATGATTGATTAATAAATACACTAACCTATAGCTCCTTGACTATTGTCCCAGATGATTGGTGTAGGTCTTCCAGCGCGACCGGTACGATATGTCCTGTTAGATCTCCTGGCAGGTGAACCGCGTGCATCAGCAGTACCAGAAGCCGGAGTACCAGATGCAGCGGCAGCTGCTGCAATAGACCTCTGTCTTGTATTAATAGAAGGACTGGCTTCAGCTTCCCGACCTTCTTCTTCGGTGTCTTCTTCATCGGCAGGCACATCAATGGAATCATCATCAACATTACCAACCGTCGCGGAAGCTGCAATTTCAGCAGCCTGTTGGTCACTTTCTGAGCTCACACCATCATTTGTCGTCGCAGTACTCGACCCCGGAACCGCTTCCATCTGTTCACTCTCCTGATCAGTAACTCTAATACTCGGCACTGGAGTAGTTTCCATCACATCACTCGGAGCTGTCACCGGAGTGCCAGAAACCGGAGCTTCTTGTTCCTCAGACTGTCCACTAGTCGAAGGAGGCAATTCTGCAGCTGGTGATACCTGAAGTGGCGTTGTTGGTACACTGCGTCCAGTTCCTCCGTCTTCCAATTGCGTCAAGTCCATTCTCGTGTCATCCATTCCTTCTTGAACCACCTGAGCGACTCCAGAGCCCGAAGGTGCGAACATTGTCCTCACATTAACGGCAGTAGGAGTAGCCAGTGTCGGTGTTGATGACGGTGCCGAATCACCGAAGGTAAATCGGCCTTGAGGAACCTGGGGTGAGCTGACAGCTTCACCAAAACCGTCACCACGACGTGGTACAAAAAGAGTTGGAGTACTAGGAACGATACTATCGTCTCCGCCGTCTTCGTAACCCTGCTGTGGGAGTAAAAAGTGCTGCTGTTGCCTTGGCATCGGCGCAATACCGCGAGATGATCTCGATACAAAGGTTGAAGGTTCTCCTGTTGGTCCAGCACTACTGATGGCTTCAGACTGTTGCTGCGGAGGCTGACTAGTTGGAATAGTTGGCTGTGCTTGTCTAGGTACTTCGACATTTCTGGAATCATCTTCTAGAATAATTTCCACTTCATTGTTGTCACCTTCAACTTCAGCTTCAACCCCGTAAGGCATTTCTTCTTCTTCTTCCTCATCCTCGTCTTCTTCTTCTTCTTCCTCCTCCATTTCTTCATACGGATCGTTATCAAACTCTTCTTCCTCCTGAGCTTGATGATGGCTACCACCCTCACCTTCATCACAATCTACTATGACGATACAACCTTCTTCGCCTTCTTCATCTTGATCTCGTTGACTGGAAGTCGGTACTTGATACTCGACATCAGAACCGCTGGTAGTCGCAGTTGAAGCCAGTTCTTGCGTACGAATTCTCTTAACTTTTGGACTTGGCGATTGCTCGGACCTACTGTGCTCAGTTCCTTCAACAACACCTGACCCGGAAGCACAAGTGTCTAGTCCTCGAGGTCGCTTGTGTCCGCTGGAAGCCTGCGATGTGCTCACAGACGGTGTTGAGCTGCTTGCAATGGTCTGTTGCTGCTCACTACTTGTCTGCTGAGACTGTTGTTGCTGTTGTTGCTGCTCAACTCTTGGACTCACCAAAGCAACAGTTTGAGGCTGCTGTTGCTGTTGCTGCTGGTCTTGTGGCTGCTGAGCCTGAGACTGAGGTTGTTGAGCCTGACAAGGCTGTTGTTGTTGAGCCTGCTGCTGAGGCTGCTGCTGACTAATATTCTCGATATTCTCTGGTTCTTCCCGCTGTGTAGATTCCGCAGATTCGCTCAGCTGAGGCTGGACTGCAAGCTGGCGTAAATTAGACGGCTGTTGGACGGAACTACTTGTGCTTGCAGGTTGATAGTCGGTGTGGCTGCTAGTAGGCGAACTGGTCTCTGTAGTATGAACGACTTGTTGCTGTTGTTGAGGGGCGACAAGTACTGGGTTATTCGCGGTTGTTGGTAAAACTGCAGCTGTACGAGATTGGACGACAACGCTCATGGGCCGAATGCTGGCCAAAGGAGTTTCTGCACGCGCAGACATTGGTTTTATATTTGCAGTAGGTGGTTCAGTAACATTAACTCCACTGACTCCAGCAGCCAACTGTCTCTGAAGTTGACCAACTCGCTGAAGAAGTGTCTCTTTTTCGGAATTGGCTTCTGCTTTTTCATGTTCCAATCGCGTAATACGTCCTTCCAACTGTGATTTCAGTGCTGCAAGTCTGGCATCATGTTCATTCGGATCTGAATCACTGCTGGCCGATTCACATTTCATTTTCAACTCATTAAGTTCCTTCTCGCACTTTTTATTTGAATCTGTCAACATTACAATTCTTGTACGTGCGTTTTTCAGCAATTGTTTAGTTCTTTCCTCCTTATCAAAACTCGCTTTGTTCATAGCCTCAATTTCCGCTTTCAAAGATTCAGCTTCAGCTTGAACGGCAGTTATTTGCTGAGTCAGCTCCTCTATTTTCGCTGTCAATTCTTGGTTCTGTCGACGTAACTCCTCACGACCTTCTTCACGCAACTGGTTCTCGCGCTCTTCGGAAACAGATACTTCTCCACTAGCTGCCGCTTGATTTTCATCTGCTTTTGTTTTTTCTTCCTCCATGGTCTTCGCGAGTTCTTCATACTGAGTCTTGTATTTCTTGGCAATTTTACGAATTTGAATTTCTTTATTTTTGACATCAACCAGCACAGCTTCTTTATCTCCCAATTCTTTCTGAAGTTGATCGAGATCTTTTTTGAAAGTCGCTGAATCTTCAATAGCTTGACTGTAATCTTGACCGAGCTGTCGTGCTTCCTCTGTAACCTTCAACAATTGTTCACTTTGACTCTGAATTTGTTTTTGCAGTTGGGCAATTTTTTCTTCCAACTTAGTCTTCTCAATCTTCAACGCATTAAACTCTTCCATACGTTTTGCATGAGTCTCACGCTCGGAGGTCAACAATTTGCTGAGATTTTCTCGTTCCGTTTGAAGTCTTCTCCAATCTTCAGGACTCGCTTTGTTCGCACGTTCCACAAGAGTGTTTGCACGCTGTCTCCAACGCGTAGCTTCGTTCTTCAGGCTAGAGTTCTCCTGAATCATCGCTTCGTTTTTACCAGCAAGATCTCGAGCCTTTTCTCGGAGTGGTACTACTTCTTCGGATAAAGTTGCTACCTGATTACCCAATTCCGTGACCTTAGCAAGCAGAGAGTCACGTTCTTCACGGAGAATTCTGTTGGAATCCGCAATGGCGTTAAGTGTTTCAACTTTGCGCAATAAATCTGCGTGCTTAGATGTCGTTACAACCTCGATTTCAGACTGCTCTCGTTGATTACTCAGCAACATTTCACTTTCCTTGAGTCGTTTCTCAGCAACTTCGGCTTGAGATTTAAGTCTAAAGTTTTCAGCCTTCAAAACATCCAATTTAGTCATCGCGAGATCTTTTTCGCGTCTCAGATACTTCATAACTCTCAACAACTGCTCAGCAGACTTGGAATCCTCTTCAACGCCCGTTAAACTTCGGTTCATCGCACTCGAATCTAAGCTAGTATCCATAGACTCTTGTCCTCCCAACGAAGACCTGTTACTCTGCATAATGGCTGTTCGATCACTCAGCTCCTGGACTTGGTTATGCAGTAGTGAATTTTGGGCATCAAGATCTTCAATTCTCTTCTGCATTTCTTCTATATCATTTTGAAGCTTTTGTTCGCGTTCATGACACGCCAAGCGTTCGGCCTCGAGTGCTTCAACTGCTACATTCTTAGCACGAGTCAATTCATCTATAGTCTTCGAGACATTTGCAGAATCAGCGCGAAGTTTCGCCAGAGCTTGAAGGTCTGTCGAATGAAGTTGCATCTCTCGAGCGTATTTCTCTTCAGCTTCCTTGGCAGCTTGAGACGCACTCAACAAGTCGCTTTTCATTAACTCTAATTCTCCCTTAACTTCATCCAATTCTTCAAGTTTGGCTTCAGCTACTGCGAGTTTCTCCTTCAACTCAGCATCAGTGACCTGTTGTCCACTCTGTGCCTGAGTTAATTCACTCTCCAGATTCGCAACTTTCTTTTCCAATACCAAAACTGCGTTTCGCGATACTTCGAGTGCTGTTTCCAATTCACGCTTCTGTTTTTCATACTGAGTTGTCATATCTTTCAATTGCGCTTCTGTACTGTCGGCAATATCTCCATACTGCTGATTTTGTTGCCGAGAAGTCTTCAGTTGTTCCGTAAGCGATCTGATTTCTGCATTAGCACTTGCCAATTGCATCTCTAGCTCCTGTAATCTCTTGGCTAAATTCTCATCGCCGGTAATCGGCTTAGCCCGAGATTGAGTGATTGTTTCTCTCAATTTGGCTTCCAGTTCATCTGCCCGTTTTTCAGCAGTTGTTTGCGCTGTGCGAGCTGTCTCCAAATCACTGCGTAGACGTTCACCCTGACTTTGCTCTTCAGCCAATCTCTCCTGAGCAGTAGCCAACTGTTTTTCCAAATGAGATGTTAACTCTCTGAAGCGATCTTGCTCTTCTTGTAGACGACGACGTAACGCAGCACACTCACGAATCGAGTCATCCAGTCTCATCTCGGTTCTCAGCTGACCTTCAGCTTGCACACGTTCCAAACTTGCCTTGATCGACTCGACGTCAGCTTTAAGTAATGCATTGGTCTGTCTTTCACGATGTAACATCTCACGCTCTTTTAACAAGCGTGATTCAGAATCACGTAGTAATTGTCGCTCTTGTTTCACAGTCTCCAATTGAACTTCAGCACGAGATAAGCGTGTTTGAGAAGACATAGCGTCATCTTTTAACATAATAATACTCTGTTCATGTTTGGCGATAGTCGTACTATAATTGGCACATCTCTCTTCTAATGATTTAATCTGCGACTTGTAGGTTGAAACATTAGCCTGTAATAAATTGAAACGCTCTTGGGATGAATCAAGCTGCACTTTAAGCCGACAGCAACGCGTAGAATTAATCTCCGCTTCTTTTCTCAGCCGCTCAATCTCCTCACCCAACATTCGTTCATGTGCAGCCTTTTCTTTTTTATAAATTTCATACTCATCAGAAGTCTGTTTCAACTTAATCTCCGTCTCAGCCAATTTACTCTCTAACTCTTTGATCTTGTTTTTGTTTTCTTCAACAATTTTATTATTTTTATCGGCAAATTCTCCTTCACAAGTATTTTTCTCTTCTTGTTCCATAGGTTCTTCTTCCTCATTATCAATCTCCTTGCCCGTCTTATTCAGTGCTTGTTGGTACATAGACTTGTACATGTCTTTTTGTCTCATCAGACTTTCTACCATCTTAGTTTGACGCTCTTGTGACGCCTGCATTTCCGCAATTTGTTCAGCATATCTGTCAAGTTTCTCCTTAACTTCCCCGCTGGCAACATCATCAGTTGCACGCTCAATTTCTTCTTGTCTTGACGACAATGTCCGAACAACAGCTAAGAGTTTTTGGTTAGTCTCCTGTAGCTCTTCGATGTCCTTAAAAGTCACCAGTTTTTTACTAATTAAATCTGAGGAGGCTAGATCTGCATCCATTGAACTGTCCATGTTCATGGGAACTGTATTACCAGTTCGGCTTTCTTGAACTTCTTTCAACAAGAAACAGACCTGTCTTGCTAAATCAGACAACTCAGTCTTCAACTTTTGATTCTCACGAGTCAAATGCTTGGCGATGCGTTTAGCTTCATCATGACTCTCTTGCATCTGATTATTCTGTGCTAACAATTCGTCTAGTTGATTAGTGAGAGTTGCAACATTTGACAAAGCTGCTGAGTATTCTTCTCTCTGTTGTTGAAGTATTGGCGCTCGCTCTTCTAATTCCCGAAGAATAACATCCATCTGTGATTTAAGTCTTTCGTTTTCTTCACGTTCGAGAGTCAATTCATTAACAGTATCTACAAGCGATGTGTATATCTGAGTTAAACTCGAACCCTTCTTTAAAATACGACTCGTAGTAGCAGCAGTTGGCGCTAATTGTTCAACGGCTTGATCTAATCGTTCTTGTTTGATACTTTTAAGAAGCTCATTAGCTTGTTCCAATTCTTTTGTCATCTCAGCAATTTTTTCATCTTTTTGACTCATCAATTCTTCATAATTAAGCTTTTGCTGTCCACATTCAGTCTCGAGGGCTCCATATTGCTCTGTAGCTTGTTCTAACAGATCCTGAAGCTCTTTCACTGCGTTAGTGAATTCTTCAGCCTTTGAATTAGCTTCATCAGCCATACCCTTGTACAAATCAGCAAGTCGAGTCTGGGCACCAATTTCCTCGCGGTACGACGAATGCATTGACAACTCGTGGGACCGTTGATCTTCGACTTTTTGGTTCAGCTCATCACAACGTCTCTGGAGGTTTGAATTAGCTTCACGCAACTGCGTCAAGGTTTCATTGCATATTCTGAGTTCTTCGTCACGTTGTGCGAGACGCGTATCAGTCAGAAGAGCCCGCGAAGATGCTTCGGCACGTGTAGCTTGCAACTCCATCGATCTTTTGGACAATTCAATTTCCAAAGCACTGATCTGTTGCGCAGTCAGTGTCCTCTCTTGGTCAAGTCGCTTTTCTTTGTACTCGAGATTCATTTCACGGCTACGAATTTCTTCAGCTTCGGCAATCGCTTGACATTTCGCCGTTACGGCGGCTTGTAATTGGCTGGACAGCGATGTTACTTCAGTGTGCAGTCTCTCTACCTCGTGATCACGACGTTCCACCTGCATCTGTAACGTATTACGTTCATCAACTGCCTCGTCACGTTGACGACGAAATTCTGATGTTTCTTTTTGCAACCGTTTAACATTTTCTTGTAGTTTGTAAATCTCATTTTTCGCTTCGTCGAGTTTCGATTGTAATTCGTTAACGTGATTCTCAGTTAGTTCTAGCTTCCCTTTGTGTTCTTCTAAATCTAATTCACGTTCTTTGAAATCTTTTTGTAATTTCTCAAGTTTCTTCTCTGAAAAATTAAATTAAAAATTAAAAGAAATTCATATTAATGAAATATTATTGAATATAATTACAAAAAAAGACACCAATGTGAATTAACCAAAATACATTGCATTTTTTTAAACATAAATTAATAAAATTTACCAATACTTTATGTGGAATCAATTATTTATATTGATTATTTTATTTAGAATTCATCAGATCTTTCAACAATAATTTACTACTTCTAACTACACGAAAAAAAATTAACTTGATTCAAAAGAAAAATTTTTGAATCAAGTAAAATTTAATTAAACCAGGAAGAATTTTTTAGTTTAAGAATTTTTCTATTTAAATCAAGGGGATGAAGTTCTTTAAAATTATTTATTTGATTCAAATAAATTTTTTTTTGTGTATCATCAGTAATTTATAACAATAATTTTCGCTTTGATTTTTACATCAAATTGATTATTTATTTTCAATACGACTAAATCCAATGACTCAGTATGAATCCATGCATGAAATATTGAATATAAATAAATATACTTTTTTATTGAAAGATATGATAAAATTAAAATTAAAAAAAAAAAAAACTTTGCAGTTTTTTAATTATTATTATTTTTTCTTGTTAAATATCTAATATTAAACAAAAATTTCTTGATGTTTTTTTTTTCTTTTTCTACCATTCATTTGCCGCCAAAATAATAAATTGCTATCTACAATGGCGTCATTTTAATGAACTATTTCAATAATAATATGTAATATAATAAAATTTTAAATCAAATAGAAAAAAATAAAATGAATTACCAAGACTTTGTTTGCTGTGTTGAAATACGGCTTTGGCCGTAATGTATTCTTCAAAATGTTCATTGAAATACTTCCTAAGCTTGTTGGCGACTGTATCAGAAACTTGGGTTAACTCATCCTCGGTTAAAATTTTTTTCAGCACATCACAATCACTATCCTCAGACTGCTCCATTTTCCCAGAGTATTTTTTGTACTAATGTACGAGTTAATGCTATATTAATTTACTTATCTAAATTAACTAATTAATTAAATAATTGTTAGAATACTTAAATGCCGGATTTTTGAAACCGGTACTTTTTCCCTTGTGTGCAAAAGAAAATGGTGAATGGAAGCACAATATACATAAAGCTTGTGTAGTTTCTTTTTTATTTCTGTCTACCTCTATCTTACCTCTCCCCCTTACTTTCTGTAGGATATAAAAAAAAATAATTAACACCTAATGCCATCTGTTACAATTATTAACAATCACTGTTCTGACAAGCGTGTGTTTTCTAGTTATAGATGTCTCTTGGATTGATTTCTTAGTGAAAACAAAATTTGTTACAAACAGACTTAATTCTCACCGCGTATTGAAAATAAAACTGTTTGAACATAACCATTAATTACTATTTGTAATTTTTGTAGTGATGGCTTAGTTGATATTATATAGCTTTACAAACTATATACAAACTATCCAAGCTTGAATTTGATAAATTATCAATAAAAGTACATAATATGTGTAAATAAAATTATAAATATTATAATTTTTAATAAAATAGAAAATATAATTTTGTAAAATAAAATTTTGTCAACATGGATAGTGTTGAATTGATATTCTTTGACACATTCTCACACGACATAGCTGGGGTATTTATTTTTTAATATTTACTTATTTTAAATAAAAATTTAAGCAAAATTAATGTAATTAATTTTACTTTTTTTTTTTTTTATAGGAACTTAATCTTGATCTTGTGCAATTTATAAAACCGGTTTATATTAGTGAAATAAGAATAATACCTCTTGGAGCGAGAGTTCAAGCCGATTTTCCTGGAGGTGTACGATTGGGGTAAATATAATCTTTAATAATTTATATAATATGATAACGAAAGTAGTAAAAATTAATGAGAATTAATCCAGCAGATATTGATTAATTTTTAGAATTTTTTTAACAAATAAATTATGGCAAAAAATGAATGATGAAAAAAAAATTGACATGTAGAAATTTTAAAAAATTATAAATGCAATTTTTTAAAAATAGTTTTTCAGAAAAGATTTATTTGTTAAATAAAATTTAAAAATTATCAAGTGACTGCTAACTTTAATGTCATAAAAATTAACAAATAATACAATTGATCATTTATTAAGTTTACTTAATAAATTGTATTAATAATCAAAACAAATTTTAAAAAAATCTTTAATCAGTTCATTTAAAACTTATTTTTTTAATTAAAAAAAATTTTTCATTAAATTAAAAATTATTGTCAATATATTTACTAATAAATCAAATTTTATTTTTGCAGGGCTACAAACCCGTCGCAATTTGAAATAGAGTTCTTCGTAAATAACTACAGCAAACCCGGTGCTCCGACGTTTGAATCTCTGGGCGGTTTGGAATACAAACAAAATGTCAATATACAATTAGAATGTGACAAGAAGCAAATATTGACCGACGGTCTGATATTAAAAGGATGGTACACTACAATAACACTCGCGGTGTATGGAAGTCTTAATAAAACTGTAGTCAGTCCTCCGGAAGCCCCAACTCCAGTACCACCGCCAGAAGAAGTACCTGTCGAGGTACCCGAGCAAGAACCGAAACCGTCAACTTCGCAAACAACTGAGCAGCAACCTGACTGGTATTTTGAGAATCATTCACAAGCGCCGGCTACTTTTACAGCACCAGAACCAGCGACGAGTCCAAAACCGGTACCAGCTCCTAAAGCAACGGTTGAGTCAACCGTAAAAGTTTCGGTAAATGAACCGGATAAAAATGAATCCCAGCCATGGTCTGAAGAAACACCGGAAGAGACACCGAAACCGGTCAAAAGACCCTCGTCACCACCCGCTGAATCTCTTGTGTCTCTTAGTCCCGAGTCTATTTCTGCTGAGGAAGAAGAAGTTGAAAGAGAAGTTGAAGAAATGACAACTGAAGCTATTGAACCTTTCGAACCGATTCTTTCGGATGAAGAGTTGATGGCCGACGATTTACCACCGCCGTCAGTTGATTTTACTTGTGATATTCCTGAAGATATTCACATGATTGAACCTCCAGATCTTCTGGATATTGAAAAGCCTCCTCGAGGAATTGAAAAAGATACTGCAGATAATCCTGAAAAGACTCGAGAAATTATTAGATCTCTCGCTAAGTCTGTCATCAACTTTAACAATGTAACTGGTCAGGAAAAAGAAGTTTTTGTGCATAGCTGCGAGACTCTTTGCATTTTGCTTGGATCTTCTTTTCAAGCAGACAACGATGACTTGCAGGATATCACTGAGATCGTCAACGCAGGCTTAGACATGGAGCTTGCACGCGCTCAACCTCAGCCGGCTTACAAAGTTCGTCATGTCAAGGTAGGGGTTAGACTAGCAGAAGCGGCGAGTACTCTTGAAGATGGAGCATCTATTCTCCTAAAAGTCGAAGCTCCACAAAAACTTTTGACACTCTGTACACGCGAGAACGTCGCCTTGCCGGTAAAGTTAGCAGCTTTAAGAGCGCTTGACGCCGCTTTAATAAGTCCTAAAATTGTTGAAGAATTTTTAAAGTCAGATAACAATCTATACAAACTGACTTTGATAATGTTAGACGAGGCAAAACTAGCAAGATTGAAGTACGCGCTGGTTTCTCTACTTAGAAAAATTCATGTCTATGAATTGCTGTCAGAGATCAACGAAGTAGGACTGACAGAAATAGCCGTACTTGAATTGACTCAAACATACGCCTGTGCTCCAACACTTATGGCTCAACCAAAAAGACAGCTGCCGGCTAGAATGCAAATGGAATTCGAACGAGAGCATAATAGGAACCCTCGGAAACATTTGATATCTTATTTTCACCACTACGGTTTAATACGGAGAATTTTTTTAATTCTAGTGTCTCCAGATTCAACAGAAAGTCTCATCAAAGCAACAAGAACATTTTTGAATCATTTAGCTGACACCGAAGATGGTCTGTGGTATCTTTTTAAGGAGTCAGAAGTTACTCGATCGATCCTCAAAGCCTTGAGATACGACAAACCAGGCCTGGGTGCGCAAATAGCCTGGCGTATTCAAGTTGTTCAGTGTCTTGCTCTTCTAAAAAATTCATCGACACAAGACTGGCTAGTTGTGAAAAAACTTCACTCGTTTCTGACGTTTCCGGAAGGTTTACGAGCTATAATTAAAGTTTTATCCATAGGTTCTTGTATTGACATTTTAATTCCTCTTCTGTCAAACCGGGAGTTGTCTGAATTCGTAGCCGAGTTAATAACCGTCATGATCCGTTACTCAGATGAAGTAGAGGTCCTGCAAAGTCGTGCTGCGTCTTTACTCGAGGAAGCACGCAGTCAGGGAAAATTACGTGACGCAATATCTTATTTGACTATTGCAGCGCCAAACAGCAACTGGAATCACGGAGACGTCTTCACACTTGTATCAACAATTAGAAAATACGCCGACAAAGTTCCGACACTTCCCGGAGAACTTATCACGGCTTGCAGAATTCTTCATCACCTGATATTTCCATCTAACTGCGATATGGATCCAACAGAAGCGTATATCGAATTGAAACACAGAAATGCATTAACTCAACTATACGCTGCTGACGGTCTGACGGCTTTGGTAGCAGTAATGACCAATTTAACAAACTTTTACCAGCAGCCATACGTTCATAGAGCATCATTTACTGGTCGTCGTGGTTTGTCGATGTTATCTATTTTACTTCCTTGCGTAAAATTGACTCGCGCTCTCTTAGAACGATTAGTAAAGTGTATGGGAACTGAATTCAAAGATCTAACCCCCGTCGTACCTCTCCTAGGAGTTTACGCGCTGATAGACGCGATACCAAACTCCACTCAATCGACTCGTCTTCTAGCTGACGAAGTTGCTGAGACCTTGTTGTTATTTACCCGAGCAGTAGATTCTGATGGCGCAGGCAACGTCGCTAAATCTCTTTGGACTCAGATGCTCGGTGAAGTTTTAAAAATGATTTCCTCCAGCCCAAGTAATTTTATTCCTGGCTTGAAGTTATTCTCAAGACTGCTACCACCTATTTTAGACCTTGAAGACATGGTAGAGAACGAAGACACAGCACGTGCTCTGGGACTAAGAAAATTATGGTCAGCTCATCTTCAGGCCCAAGCAGTAAATCTCGCCGAAACTTTGAGATTACTCTGTGCCAGTTGGAATGAAACATTGTTGACATTACTGTCTACTGTTTGCAAACAGCTGAGTGATTTAGCGGCTCCTACTGCGTTGCTGGTGGGTCGGTGTCTTCTTGACAGAATTTTAGCAGCTTCTTCATTAGAAAATCACAGACCAACACTGGCACTTGTGAGGGATTTAGCGCTTCACGCTCCAGTAAAAGCCACGCTATTAACTCTATTGAGTCCAACATCACGCGCACAAGTAAAGTCAGATCAAAAATATATTCCAGTGGTTGATATGATGTGTACGGCGTTAAAAAATACCACAGACATAAATGTACAAATTGAAATATTAGATATATTTAATACACTCTGTGATTATACTCTGAGTATTATGCAAGAGGAACATATTGAACCTTTTGAGATTCGCTTGACACACTCAGTCCCCAGTAAGGAACCTCTACTGTCTATTATCACTGTCCTCATTGATATTCTTGCCAATGCCACTAAATATTCGTCGTCTGTTTTGGAAAGCACACTAAGTATTTTTTTATCACTTACTCAGCACAACTACGGTCTGTATCACGTGAAAAGCTGCCTAGAAAATAATCCAGGGACTCTGAAATCATTTTTGGAACATGTTGCGACAATGGAAGATGATGAAGAGAAGAAAATAAATCCAACACTCACAGTTGCCTTTTTGGAGAGTTTAATAACATGTGGAAAATCTTCGAAGCGATCATTGTACCTCCGGCTGTCTCAGTTGGCGACTTTGATCATGTGGGAGAAAAATGAACCACATCCGCTGGAAAAAGTACCTGGTACTTCCGACTTAGTTAGCGATTTAAAAGCAACTGAAGATGAAAAAGAGCCGATTCCAGAGATGCTTGAGCCTCTTTTGCCGACTCCTGACGCTTTATTGAATCAATTCTCCCAAAGGTCGATAAAAAGATCAAGATCGCCGTTACCAAGAGTACGAAAACGTTTCAGTGGTACTGGTACCCTGGAAACTACTGTTGACTTGATAGCGCTAGCTACTGAATTACTACCAGCAGATTTTAATTTATTCAATGCAACGCAATTGCTGTGCTCAAAAACTTTATCGAACAATATCTTGGAGTCAGGACAAACAAAGGAAGAAAATTCTCGTGATAACCGCGAGCTTCAGAAGCCACCGACTGTTCCTACAGCTAAAACGAAAATGCCTTTCGTCTCCCCGATGCGTGGTCGCGCGCAATTCGTCAGTTCACGAGGTGGTTTAGTCTCTGGTGGAGTTGGCCGAGGAGCTGATCCATTCCGATCGAGGCCACCAAATACCTCGCGACCACCTTCACTTCACGTCGACGATTTCGTGGCACTTGAAACCTGCGGAGCACAACCCACCGGTCCTACTGGCTACAACAAATTAAGTGTTCGAGGTACATGTCCGCCTCGAGGAGTTATCACTGGACCAAGATGTCGTCCTTGGATGGATCCACGACCTCCGTACATGCGTTAGATAAATTATTAATTAAATATTTACAATAAGTGGATGATGTTATTTATATCCAATCTTAATCTTTTAATTTTGTAATAATATTTTAATGCAAAAATTATATGTACATATTAATTAATTATATAATTATGTAATTTTATTTTTTACTTCATAATTTCATCTCTTTGTTCTCATGTCGTGTTTAACTCGCCCGAATTGTTCTTGCAAATTTGTATACCGTAAGTTGAATTTTGAATATAGTGTTTTATAACGCGAATCATCTGAATGTTTTGATTTTACCTGAAATGCACAAAAAATATAATTAATAGTTAATATTATAAGTAAGAAAAATAGTATTTTTGTACTCACTTTTTTTAAAACAATTTTTGATATCTTCTGTTGAAATTTATCTAATATGTCATATAATTCTGGAGATGGTTTTATTCTTTTTTTCGACAACATATTCATGATATCAAGAATATAGACAAAATGATTCGTCATCGTCGCATTGGCAATAAGTGTACCAGCGATAACTGCATTCAACTCATGACCAGATAACTCCATTCCATCAAGAAGTGCCATAGCATCGTTACGCGTGTGACATCCAAGAGCGAGTACTCCCCAGGTAATTATGTTTGGAGTCAGACCACGGAGTTGGATTTCATCTAGCACAGCCTGAAATATGAAAATTTAAATAAATAAAAATTTTAATAATTAAAATAAAAAATTAAATACTTTAGCATCTCCAAAAGCTCCTCGCCGATTCCTCTTTTTTATAAGCATGTTAAAAAAATCAATATCAAGTTCAATTTTTTTCCTTTTGGCCAAACTGATAAGATTTTTTTCAATAGCCTCTGAATTTGGTACTATCTCCATCAAAATTGTCATCGCTTTCACATCTGGTATTACATTATCACGCTCCATGCGTTCAATAAATCCTTCGTACCCACCAAAAAGTATCAATTTGTTTTTTTTATGGATTTCATTCAAACAAATATCGTTTACCTCTTTTGGCTTAACTAACGCAGTCGCCCTATCCGATGATCCGAACTCTTTTTTCTTTTTGCCACCAACTTGGCCCTCTGGTGCTTCAAGTAGATGCATAGAATTGATAACAAGGGACGCGACAGTTGGAGGGCTAGCTAACAAATCACCTGGACCGTCATCTTTCAGAAGAACCCGACAATCATCAAGATATTCTACAAATTTATCATTAATTTTGAGATCACCCAGGTTGGTCTCTCTAATTCCACGTAGCAGCAAGTTGTAAGTAAGTAGTGTTGGCTTTATCTTCCTTTTTTGCATCATCTGCCAAACAACTAAAGCATGCTTTAACCCTGCTTCCTTATCAGAATTACAAGCGAATAATAAAGAATTGAACGTAGCCTCTCCGACAGGTATTCGCTTGTCAATCATTTCATCTACCAGCTGAAAAGCTTCTAGCATCCGATTGTGAAAACCATAGGCTTTTACCATCGCATTATAATGTGTTTCATTCAACACAATATTCTTCAATAAAAATTCTTCACGGAGTTTCTCCAAGGTCTCTAAAGCCATGGCACTGTATCGGGAATTAGAGCAAGCGTTTAATATACTTGTGTAAGTTGCCCCGGTTAGTTTCAAATCTCGCTTTTTCATAGAATTATACAAATTCCATGCTTTCTTTAGGTTGCCCTGGACCGCGAACGCTCGGATGAGAAGATTATACATGAAAGTTGTCGGTTTATCACGATTACTTTTCACCAGGTCGAGTACCTTTAACGCTTCATCTAAATCACCGCGAGTTATGTGTTCTTTTATTAAATTTGCATATTGACCAGGACTCAATTTAAGTCTTCTTGGCAGCTTTGATTCATGCTTGTCGAATTCCTCAACCTCACGCTCGTCCTCATCCAGCTCAACTTCCTCATATTGATTGCCACCTATCTCTCCAAACACGTCTGGATTTTTCGGTTCTATCAATCGCTCAGGCTCGGTGGAATAAAATCTGCAATTTTTATAACAAGTACCATAGCTCATACTTTTAATACTTAACTTGGAATCACAAGTGTTGTGAACTAGTGAATTTTTTGCTAATTGTTTATGCCATTTTAGAGTGTAGTAATTACTTGCTCTTATTCCACAACTAAGTAATTTTAATCTTGCTGAAAACATTATGACAGTTATATTATTCAGATATTTTAATAATTTTTATTATATTTTTCCGTTTTAATTGAATATATATTTTTTTAATCACAACTATATAAACATTGTTATTTATAAGTGTATTTAATGTCCGGCTTTTAAGGTTAACGTATCACATGGACTTTAAAACATTAACTATACAATTTTATTTGATGTAACACAATAATTTTTAAATTGTAGCGCTCGAAACTTTGTACTAACTCTCACCAATGTTAAAAAATTTAATTAAACTTTCTCATCAAGATTTTTTTAGTCTATGGCGTCAATGAAAAAAAAAAAAAAAAAACTCAACTGACCGCACAACGTTTCGCAGTTCACATTTACAATGTGATGGTTATGTAGTCACTGTCAGTTTAATATTGAGATAAAATTATTTTTTTGAATAACAATTTTTTAATCATTTTATAAAAAGAAACCATGAATATCCATGAAAAACCTTGCCGAACTTGTGTGGATTTTAAATCTTGGGCTAAAATTCAAAAAAAGACGTATGACTCGGAGCAGGTAATAATTTTCATCATTCATAATTCAAAAATAATTATTAAAAATAATTTATTCAATAGTGTAAATAATATAATAATTTTTAATGATCTAAAAAAAAGACACGTCATAATTATTTGATTTCATAAACAAATAACTCATTATAAAAAAAATTTGGTAATTATTTACAAGTGGGGTCAACCCATGTTTTTTTTTTTATTTTTTTTTAATCAAATTGATCAATTTTTTTTAAATTGTTCATTTTTTTTATGTACTTTAAAAAAAAAAATATTTATCAAAAACATCAAAAAAAGATAAAATATAAATTTTATCCAAAAACATAAGAGCCAAAATTTTTCCAACTATTAAAGGCAAAAAGCTATTGAAATCTTTATTTTTTCTTTATGAAAATGAAGTTAGCCAATATTTCAAAATTTTTAGAAATTTTTTATTGAAAAAATTTCAATTAAAAAATTAAAAAAAAAAATTTCACAAGTAAAAAACTTGAAAAGCTATAAGTGCAATTTTTTAAAAATATCTTTTTAGTTGTAATTTAATTAATAAAAAAAATTAAAAATTTTTAGGCGTCTGCTAACTTCAGTGTCGCTTTTTCCTTTCACGACATTTTTTATCATCAATGTGCCGTAAAAACAAGCAGAATAAAAAAAAAATTCAAAAATAATTTTTCGCCTAGTTATGGTCCAAAATGTGGTTGACCCTACTTGTAAATAATTACCAAAAATTTGTTTAAAAATATACAAGAAAATTTTTAAAATTTATAACGTGTATTTTTTTGCGTCTTTTTTTGTTTTGAATTGAAAAATGAATCATTTGAAAATAATTATAATAATTGATATTATTTACAGGAAAAAAAATCTGCTAAAAATGAAGAGTATAAAGAAGCTCTTGTCTTAGCAGAAAGAAAAATGAAAAATTGTCCCCTTGACAAAGATGAATTGGGCTCGGCGACTTGGTCATTTTTACATACTATGGCAGCTTACTATCCAGAAAAACCAACAACTCAGGAAATCAATGATATGAAGACGTTTTTCAATGTATTTTCAAAATTTTATCCCTGTGCTCCGTGTCGGGAAGACTTACAAGAACAGCTAAAGAAAAGACCACCTGAAGTAGCGTCGCAGGAACAGCTGAACCAGTGGTTGTGCGACACCCATAATGAGGTGAATAAAAAATTAGGCAAACCAATCTTCGACTGCAGTCTTATTAATCAGAGATGGAGAGACGGCTGGCTCGACGGTTCCTGTGATTAAATCAACAATCAACTCTTAATAATTATGTATTGTATATAAAAATATTTTACTTAAATTTAAATTAATGATACCAACTATTATTTGTAAAATCTACTTCGCTGAGTATTATTGCTAATAAATTATCAATCATGTCGATAATAATTTTTGTGTAAATAAACAACGAAATAGCAAGGTATATATTATATTAGTACGCAATTTATTAAATATTTACAATTAAGATTATTATTAAAACGTTAATTTAAGGCACATTCATAAAAATAATTTATTTACACACTCTGTTAATTCATTATTATTAACAATTAATTTTATGTGGGTCTTGCGCGATTCCTATTTAAGTTTATAGTAAAAATTGCAGCAGTACCACCTCTCCTTGGTTCATAATTATTATTTTGTCCAACGGCAATGGGGACCACTTGCCATGTTCTTATGTGAAATGGAAAACGTTCGTTGGAAGATGTGGGTCGTGTCACGTAAAGAAACATTGCGTGTCCAACAAAGATAATCCACAGTGAACAACCTTTTACAACACTTTGTCTTACCCATTTATCAACGGCAAACGTGATTGCAAGTACCTGAAAATATATATTTATATTAATTATTACTTTATTTTATTTTACTTGAACGTTTATTGAAGTAAAATTAAGTCAAACTACCGTGAGAGGATGACAAAGGAACCACGCGGACCCGAGTGACAGTAATGAAGCATAAAAATGAAACTTACTGCTGCTTTTACGGCTGGTTCGGTAGCAACAGGCTACAAAGACACCCCAAGCGAGTACTTTGAGAGCCATAAGTCCGAAACCAGGAGGTGACTCGTAAATATAAAGAACCAATCCAGGATCAAAGACCTCGGCTTCATAGATAAAAAGCACCAGTTGCAAGAAAACAATAGTTCCAATGAACCAAATAAGACACCATAATTGTTTGTTTGATAGAACACTTTTAGTTACTGTGTACCCTAGGGCCAGAAGGAGTATCAACAGAGTAAACAACGTTTCTGCACATGATTCGAAGAGATTGCCAAAAAGTTCAGCTCGACGAGATTCGAATCCTGTTGCACCACGATAGGCGAGACTATAAATTTCAAGGCTGATTCCAATTAATTGGTAAATCAGTGAAATCATAAATAATTTGTATGTTACATGAAGAAGGCGTCGTTCGCGTAGTTGAAATGATACGTAGAGGCTGTAACTTACAAGCAAAATGTAAGCGCTTTCTGCTCCTATTAAAAGCGGTAGTAACCCTAGAAATATCAATTCAAATATTTATTATATTACAGAAACTCATAGTTGATGCACTAATTGGCAATCACTTACAGAATTCATCAGCAGAAAAGTGTTCTCTCCAGAAACTGCCCGATTCACCGTTCGTCAGACTCATGTCATAAGAAACATTAAGTCCACTTTTCGACGAGCAGTCTGCTAAAACGATGAACCACCAGCGTGGTCTCGATGATCTGAATTCACGGTAACTTGTACAATGCAATTTAGCCCATGGGTCGTCGAGTTGTTCGCAACCTGATATTCTTGCGAGACTAGCTGATAGTGGTACTATTTGCCCGTGATCAAGACTTAAAATAGATTTTTTTTGCTCGCATGTTTTGTCTGATGGGTAAACACTGGGCCACTGATTTGGCGCGTCATAATAAAGCAACAAGTTCACGTTGGAAGTTTCATTCGAATTTTCTTTAACGACGAAGTCATAGCGGAACTTCCCTTTTTCAGTCAGAAAACAGAATCTAGCTAAAAACGCCCAATTCTGGAAAAAAAAAAAAAAAACGAATAAGTATAATTTTATTAGTCAGATAATTAAAAATAAGTACAGTTTGATAGTAGAAGCTTTAACAGTTTTTAAGTAAAATAATACAGTGTACAATAGAAATCAATAAGCATTGTATGATAATACGTTAGCTCGTGAATATGTTATTTATTTACTTGATTTGTAACGAGTTCTCCGCGAAGAATTTTTGATTTGACGTTTGATGTAGAGAAGATAAGTAAAAGTACAATACTACTAATAATTACGTTCATTATAAATATTATTGTAATTATATTATAAATTATGATGATTTAATGTAAGAGATTTCGTTGATTAATGTCGTTTGATTAAAGGCCGAATGACATTCACGAGCAGGTGGCGGCAGAGCTATGCACCTTACTACTACTGATGAAACGTGACATGTTATATTCTACCCTTGCCGATAAACTACCCCTGCGGTAGTTTGTGGTATAGGATAGCCACCTGATTACCACATTTTGTATATACACTTCCACCTATGCAATGTCCACCTCTACCGCACAATTGACCTCATTATCATACTGCAGACTTTGCTGTTTGTATAATTATTTTACATATGAAAAATAAATTGATTAATCGATTGGTCAATTAGCTTCTTCTAAGTAAACTATATATAGTCAATATTTTGTAAGCTTTTGTCAATTTGATTTATTAAAGTTAGATTATAAAATTAAAACAAATGTTTATATTTATTCTTACTGATTTCTTTGGCATAATGCAATATTATTTTATGTTCAATCACTGTACTCTAATAAATTAATACACTAAGAGATATTTTATAAGTAAACTGTTAATTTAGTATTTTAATTTTCAATTAAGATAAATTTTCCAAAAACCGTTTATGGAAAAAATAAAAAAAAAATTAATGAAAATTAAGTTAGCCGACATCTAAATACTTTCAGAAATTTTTTTATTGAAAAATTATTACAAAAAGAAGAAAACAGAAAATTTTACTTGTAAAAAACTTGAAAAACTATCAGTGCAATTTTTTAAAAATATTTTTTAGTTTTTATTTAATAAATAAAAAATAATTAAAAAATTGAAAATGTCGGCTAACTTTAGTATTATAAAAAATTATCATTTGATATGAAATGAAATCATTATTATCTGTAATTTTATAATTGTAAAATTCAAATTTCGAATTTAACTCCTACCATTTACTTTGTAAGCTCACACTTCATATAAACCAAGTTTCATATTATTGGCTGGGTGCGAAGTATATGGTGGGGAGGGCTGGCGCTGACTACCACTTTTACGTGTAAATCTTATGAGAAGAGCATGATTTAACGCTAATGGCGACCACTGGAACTAAATTACTCCGTTTGATTTAACACAGAAAAAGCATGAAAAATGAGGGCAGCACCATCGTGCACCTGGCCAATACAAGTATACTTATAATTGCAAGAAGGAAAATATATATATATTATAATATATGTATATAAGTCGTCACGAAATACAACGAAATAGTCGGAACCGCTAGAACTCAAAATTAATGAACTTAAAAATCTAAATCTTTTAAAAATTATTTCAATTATTTCTACTCAGTATTACATTTTGTGTAATAAGCGCTACTGAATCAAGTGACCACTCTTATAAGATTTAACAGTACAAGACAAATACATCAGTATATATTTAGTTTGGTTAAAGTATTTCAGGTTATTTTTATATTTTTAATTCAATATTCTGTTTATAAATATCAATAATTATAACATAAAAATTTATTTTAGATCATACTTTGGCGATTAGAAAAATAAGAAATCAGTTTATCAAAATGACGTCGACAGAACAAGTCTACCCAATTTCTAACAATAATCATTCTTTGAATCAACTTCATGATGCTGTACGTTTGGGAAAGTACGACATTGTCAAAAAACTTGTCCTCGACGGAGTCGACATCAATAGTCGGGGAAGATGTGGTTCAACTCCACTCCACTTAGCTGTTAAGTATGAACATCTGAATATAATGAAGTATCTTTTAAAAAATGGTGCATCGCCTGAATCAAAATATTCATCCCCACATTACGCTGAGTGGACTCCGCTTCATTTTGCCTGTGGATTAGGAAGGTTAAAATCTGCAAAGTTACTTTTATTACATGGAGCGAATGTCAATCCAAATAACGTGGATGATGTTCATCCAATACATGTCGCAGTAACAAAACTCGACCATCGAATGATAAATTTACTTCTAGAAAATGGTGCAAATCCCAACGCTCGATTTCGTGACAATTTTTTTACCCGCAACGGTGGAGTTGTTCCTTCAACTTTAAAACATTTTAATTATGTATTATTATTTTATCCAGTAAGTATGGGTTCTGTTGATGTGGCAAAGCTGTTATTGAAGTATGGTGCTAACGTCAATGGTAAATCTACAGAATCGAATCGAACTCTATTGATGGAAGCTGGACATAAAAACAATCTTGAAATGGTCCAATTATTGTTAGAAAATGGTGCATCTGTTAACGATTATGATGTACATGGAGGAACGGCATTATTTTATACTCTTCTTGATCGTTGTGTTTTACATTATCAATTTGTTAAATCATATGATCAAACCAAAAAATTAAAATTAATGAAACTTCTCTTACGTTCCGGTGCCAATGTTAATATTAGTGTACAAAACCGGACGATTTTGGACATTGCTGTAGTTTCAGGATTAAGGGATATAGTTAGATATCTTTTATATTTTACAAATATTGATTTAAATATGAATAATATTAAAAGTTTAAAGTGTACATATTTGGCGGATAATCGAATAATACCAGAGATTCGAGATGATATTGAGTATTTAAACAAGCATAGAAGAAATTTGATTGAAATCAGATACGATCTGATATCAGAGTGGTATAGAAGACATATGATCGGTATGTCGGTGGAAGATATTTCTTCAGAAATAAATAATCCTGAATGGTTCAATTATGATGTCAGCAATCAGGAACATGAGCGGAGAATAAAATTGATAAAAGAACAAATTCATGAGATTTTAAATGACTTAAAATGCGAAATAATAGACGGCACGAATATTTCATTATTCAATATCCTCACTATCAATAAAAGAGGCTTAGTAAAACTCGCATTCAATAAAAAATTAAGAAGGTTTTGTTTAAGGGATTATAAAAATAAATATTTTATGTATTACTCTATGCTGAAAACTCGTTTGAATTACGCAATTCAAAAAAGCTTATTGATTGAAAAGGCTATTAAATCAATTTATAATGTTTTATGTTCTCAAATACCACAAGACTGCTGCGAAGAAATCGTAGCTTATTTAAATGACGAAGACTTAAATGTATTTGTTGAATAATTTTTATATGTGGTTTTTTTTACTATAACTATGTGTTTGTAGAATACAGATGTTTGTTAATAAGTAAATAAAGTGTTTGTCAATTATTATTTTCAAGTTGTATTTATTATTAATTATTATGTATGCTCATATAATTCATCATATGTCTCTCTCAAGCATTTAATGTGTCTGTCAAATAAAAATCAAATGATACTGTACCGTAAAAAAAAGAAATGTTTCTTAGCGCTGTACGGTAATGCCGTACGCTACGTTTACTGATGATGAATACACGCGCGGCCACAATCACAATGACTTTTGTGTTGATATTTAGTATTTATTTTCAACATATGGGGGCATAAAAAATATTTCGGAGTATCGTCTGGAGTTGATTGTGTGGCAACCGGCACGTGCGGTACTTGGATTGGTCATTGTCATCAATGATCATTTAATAATAATTCACCGTTTAATTAACAATTTTAAAAAACGTAAATAATTTATTCATAATAATTATTCTAACTATATCACCAATCTATATTAATTCATTTACATAAAATTTATACGTTTAAAAATCAATTATAAATACTCAAAATAGTGAATAATAATCATTTGTTTGTTGTGTGATCGTTTATCAATGTTATTAACATGATTTTTAATTTTCAGATGTGGTATTTTCGTATCATTTGTTTATTATTAATATCATCTTGCATATCAAGTGCAGATAAAAAACACAACAAGTATGTGACAACTCTAATAGATGGAAAATGGAAAGATACTCCAATTGTTTTGGAAGTTTCCGAGTATCTTAATGATGAAAATTCTAATTTGTTTTGGAGTTTTGTTGATTTAATTTGTAAGCAAGAAGATGGTTTCATAACTCAGGGTAATAAAATAATAATTTTTTTAATAATTTATTATTTTTAACGATAGATAGAATTTTTGAATTAAATGATTTTTTTCCTGTAGGTACTGATAAAGAAATTTATAACCGAGTAGTGAAGTTGGCTGAAACTTTAGTCACTCCAACTGGTTTACCTGTTCTCAAATTGTCTTTGTCATTGAGAATTTATTCCGCTCGAGTTGAAATGTTTTCTCAAATGGCTGTGAATAAAGAAAACATTCCAGATTGTAACAATTTCATAGATGTGGGTGGAAATACGTTCACATGCTCTGCTGACCAAGTTGAAGAATTGATAAATAACTCCGAAGATAATTTACATACGTATTCAGTAGATCATCAGTATCCAGGATCTAGAGGATCCTCTAAAACAAATAAAAATGTGATACTTTACGGACAGATGGGGTCATCAGGATTTAAAAGTCTCCATGATAAATTAAAATCCCTTGCTGAATCTGACAAAATAACATACATTCTTCGTCATTATGTTAAAGATAGGCCGGATAATAAGTTAAGGTTGTCGGGGTATGGAGTTGAACTACAAATGAAGTCAACTGAGTATAAAGCTACTGATGATTCTGACATCAAAGAAAGTTCTGGCAAAGAATCCGAAGAAATCAATGAAGGAGTTGAGGAAATTGACGGAATTAACTTTGGTGTTTTAAAAAAATTATATCCTGAAAAAAAATCTCAACTCGATGAACTACTTACACACTTGTTAGACACAAGTGACGAAGTAAGTGCTCTAAAAGTTTGGCAATTCCAGGAATTAAGTCACCAAGCTGCTGAAAGAATAATGAAATCACCACCGTCAGAAGCTGTCAAAGTATTTACCGACATCGCTCAAAATTTTCCCATGCAAGCAAAGTCTTTGATAAGAACTAAAGTAAGTAATGAAATGAAGAAAGAAATGAAACGTAATCAAGAAATATTCTTCGGGAATTTGCATATACAACCGACTGAAACAGTATTATTTATAAATGGTCTGTATTTTGATATCGACGTGATTGATATTTTAGCATTACTCGAAGCCTTACGATCTGAATTACGTGTAATGGAAGCTCTATTAAAAATTGGATTTAGTAACAAAAAAATGGATAAACTTGTCGCATTAGATTTGTCAAGTAATTTAGATAATCAAGATTTTGCAATTGATATTAGGGATTCCGCTATTATGTGGATAAATGATTTAGAAACAGATAAACGTTATCAAAAATGGTCATCTGCATTGACATTGTTAATAAAACCGATGTACCCTGGTACACTGCGTCAAATACGTCGTAATTTTTACAACTTAGTTCTGATAATTAATCCACTGAGTGATAAAATAAAGCACTTATTGAACACAATAGACACTTTAAATAAACACTCAGCACCTATACGCGTGGGTTTTGTTTTTGTAACCAATTTTAATACATCAGCAACTGGATTTACTGATCCAAGTGTCGCTGTTAATAATGCTTTCCATTATTTGACAGAGGAAAAAAACCAATTTGAAGCGTTCAAGTTTTTGTTGACGCTACAAAACTACATTAGTGGTAACAGTATTGATGTAACAGACGTAAAAAAAGCTCTCAAAATACGTGATCCCTCTGCAGATATCGATGATATATTTGGTGAAGATTCTCAGTATGACGTAGGACGTCATCTAGCCATGGACTTTGTTAAACGAACTGGATTTAAAACTTTTCCCCAAGTATTATTAAATGGAGTTCCACTTGCTAGTTCTGAGGATGCTGATACTTTCGAGGAAACTGTTCTTACGACAATAATGACTCAAACTCCGATGTTACAGAAAGCCGTTTACAAGGGTGAGGTCGTTGAGTCTGACGATATTGTTGATTTTATGATGAGCCAACCCAATGTCATGTCGCGACTGAATGACAGAATATTGCAACCGGAAAACAGTAAATGGTTAAATTTGATTGGCAACTTACCGAAAAATCAAGAAATTTCTAATTGGAATCAGCAAGACACTGCTACTTGGTTAATGAAAAATTCAAATTACTTGGTAATGCCTCGACGAGTTGATAAACAACATCTTTATACTTATTGGGTTGCGGCAGATTTTGAAACTGTCAAAGGGCGACAATTGTTGCGTGAAGCTTTGAAGTATTTAGACGGCAATACTGATGTTAGAATCACGATAATTGTTAATAACATCGATAAATCGAATGATCCACTTGTTAATATTAATATGATTGTTCTAGCAGCAATGGAAATGTTACCTCAGAAAAAAGCTGTTAAATATATCAATAATATTTTGCAAGAAGATAATGTAGCATTAATAAAAATCGGTAAATTTGATTTTGGTGAGGACAGTATTAATGAAAAATTATCAGAGCAAGAATTTAAAATAAAAGTACACAAGTATTACGCTAAAACTGCTTTGAAATTAATGCCTGGAGATCGAGCAGTAGTTTGCAATGGGCGAATTCTTGGCCCGCTTGATGAAGATGAAGAGTTTACACGCGATGATTTTTCGCTGCTCGAACGCTTCAGTCACAATACTTATGGCGATAAATTGATGAAAAGTTTACAAGTTATTCAGTCGACTGATGACGATGACGACGATACTGAAATTTCAGATGACGTTATAATGCAGATAACATCTCTTCTTGTGTTACGTCCTCAAACACAAAGCCGTTATGATATTCCATACAGCGGAGACGAACACAGTGTTATCAAAGTACCTGCAGCGAAATCTAATGAAGCTGCATTCAATCTGATTGCAATCGTCGACCCAGTATCACGTGGTGCCCAAAAATTGGGTGCTATTTTGAGTACTTTGCAACAGTCGCTTAATTGCAACATCAAAATATTCCTCAATTGTGTGGATAAAAACAGTGATATGCCTTTAAAGAGTTTCTATAGGTTTGTTTTTGACCCTGAATTGCAATTCAATGCTGACGGTCAACTAGTGGGAGCACAAGCTAAGTTTACTAAGCTACCAACGTCTTCTCTGTTGACTCAATACATGCACACTCCCGAGAACTGGCTGGTAGAAGTCGTCAAAAGTCTCTACGATTTGGATAATATCAAGCTAGACAATGTTGCAATGGGAGTTCATAGTGAATTTGAGTTGGAACACTTATTATTAGAAGGTCATTGTTTTGAAGCTTCCATGGGAAATCCTCCCAGAGGATTGCAAATTACTCTCGGTACTGAAAAACAACCTGTTATGGTTGACACTATTGTAATGGCCAATTTAGGATACTTCCAACTAAAAGCAAACCCGGGAGAGTGGTTACTTCGCTTACGCCAAGGAAGATCTGCTGATATTTATGACATACATTCAGTCACTGGACAAGATGTAATCCAAGATAGCAATGAAGTTAAAGTTCTTATTAGCTCGTTGAAGAGTCATGTGCTGAAACTCAAAGTCTCTAAAAAGCCTGATAAGATGCATACAGATTTATTGGCTGACGATGATAGTCAATCCGGAATTTGGAACTCTATATCCAGGTAATTTAATTCCTTTATTTATTAAATTTCAATTCCATTATTTAAGAACTAGATAAAATAGATAAATGGCGATTCAATAATATTTGATAGGATATTTATATCTATTTTTAAAATTTTTTCTAGCTTTTCCGATTATTGGTAAGCTTTTTACGCGTATGTAGTTATAAATTATAGCAAATAGTTTTATTGTTATTAATAATATTGCAGTGTTGGATAGAATTGATATTTTTTTTTTATAATTAATGACTCAATTATATAATTAAATGCAAAACTAAACTCATTGAATAAACTCAAGTATCAGAAATAATTATAATTACAAATTAAGAGGTCATAACAATTGTATAACTTTATTTATAATTAAATAGTAAATTGTGACTATATAATCAAAATTACAATAATAAATTATAGTAAAAAAAATTGATTGCTCAATTTATTCAAAAGTAATTGATTAATACGCATAATTAAGATTAAATACAATTTTAATTTCCGATTTAGATTTGATTTGGTAATTGATTAAAATTTTAATTGATCAATTCTCAACACTACATAGTAGATTAGTTTAGAAAAAAAATTATTGCTGAAAATATTCTTCCATTAATACTTTATTTTTAAGTAATTTTTTTTTTTTTTTTATTCTGTAGGACATTTGGCTCAGACGACACAGAAGAAAAGGATGAAAAAATAAACATATTTTCGCTAGCTTCGGGTCATCTTTACGAAAGATTCTTGAAAATCATGATGCTCAGTGTTATAAAACACACAAAGTCACCAGTTAAATTTTGGTTCCTGAAGAACTATCTATCACCAACGTTGAAAGACTTTTTACCACACATGGCCAAGGAATACGGATTTGAATATGAACTAGTACAATACAAATGGCCAAGATGGCTTCATCAGCAAACCGAAAAGCAAAGAACTATTTGGGGTTACAAGATTCTCTTTTTGGATGTACTGTTTCCTTTGGATGTCAAAAAAATAATTTTTGTTGACGCTGACCAAGTTGTACGGGCTGACTTGAAAGAACTAGTCAATTTGGATCTGGAAGGCGCTCCGTACGCTTACACTCCATTCTGTGATAGTAGAAAAGAAATGGAGGGATTTAGATTTTGGAAACAGGGATATTGGAGGAATCATTTACAAGGACGTTCTTATCATATTAGTGCGTTGTATGTTGTTGATTTGAAGCGTTTTAGGCGTATTGCTGCAGGTGATAGACTAAGAGGCCAGTATCAAGCGCTCAGTTCAGATCCAAACAGTTTGTCAAACTTGGATCAAGACTTACCTAACAATATGATTCATCAAGTTGCTATTAAAACATTACCTCAAGAATGGCTTTGGTGTGAAACTTGGTGCAATGATGCATCTAAAAAGACTGCTAAGACTATAGATTTAGTTAGTATTTACTTTCTCAATTTTTATTATTTATTGTAAGTGAATTTAATGATTTAATTTTTCTTTTCTTTAGTGTAATAATCCGATGACTAAAGAAGCTAAACTACAAGCAGCTATGAGAATTTTACCAGAGTGGATTGGATACGACGAAGAAATAAAAAATTTGCAACAAAAAGTAGAGAATGAAAGTAAACAGCTTGAGAAGGAAGAAAGAGACGAGCATGGTAAATTAATTATTATTTTTAAAAATAATTTTGCTTCATATACTAAAGAAATAACTACTTTTTCTTAATTATTTCTTATCTTTTATTTCTGAGAAGTTTTTATAATTATTTATTTCTTTTGCAGATTTAGAAGATAGTTTGAAACATGAAGAGCTGTAAATTAAAATTGTTGCAATGTAATTGAAGAAATACAAAGGTGTTACGCCATAAAAATTGTACAAATTAAAATTTTTACACCCCGATTTTCAAGTTCACTATACAACAATAAGTAGGATCTGGTCTTGACAAGAACTTTTATAGACCGCAGCAAATGTAACTCAAGGTAATAAGAGTATTTAAAAAAAAAAAAAAACATATATATATATAAATCAATAAAAATTTTGTGTTCTAATTTTTTGTAATTTTAATCAAGTTAGGTATAACCATCATTGTTAATCTTGACTATCATTACATCGCATTGTACAATATACGCTTTAGGTTTGTAATAATTACAAAAAAAGAAAAAAAAAAAAAAAAAACAAAAAACATGATTCTTACCAAAAAAAATAAATGAAAAAAAAGAAAATAAAATAATCTTCTATTTATTGGTGTGCATAAATTGTATTTACAATTCTAATAATAATATTATAATCTTTTTACTGACATTATTGAATGGCATTCATCAAACAATGCGGATTTATTTTAACATGCATAGTATAAACCGGAAAGAAAATGTAAACTTGGTTTATTTCATTCTTAGTTAAAGCATCGTGCCATTCACGTGAAATTTTAATTGTTTCATCAGTGATCAATTGATGAGACTTAGTATATAAAAGTATTTTTAATAAGTGTAATATTAATTATGTCTTCAGATACTTCTTATTCAGATCTGGATTCGCACGAGAATAGCCCTATTGCAAAGTAAGAAATAATTTAATTAAGCTCTCGGTTTCAAACAAATTAATTAATAATTCAAAACATGTCAATAATACAATATCTTCATTCATAATATATTTATATATTCATTGATCTTTTAAACTACTGTTAATTTTAAGATTATTTTTTCTAATTAATATGAAAATTAAGTATTTGATAACATTTATCTATCATAATTTTTTTTAAGTGATAGACTAAAAAAATGTAATTATTTGAATTTATTTTCGTATTACGTGACTCATGTTAAAAGAGTGGAATATTGTGTCTAATACATTTCAATTTTATCAGTTTATTAAAATTTTAAGCTTAAACACAATCAAAAGACACAATCTTGTGGTTGTTATCAGTTTATTTGTAACGCAGATTGATATTGTTATTAAAAAAATGAAAAACAAAAAAAAGCCGTTTGCTCACACCGTGATATTGGAGTTAAGGTCTCGACTAAATAGTATAAAGAATATATTTTTTATATAACTGAAAAAAAATATCTAAAATTCAATCCCACCAGTTACGTTATTCAACCGGTGTTTAGGTTTTAAAAAACATAAAAACTCTCAGCAGACTCGTTGGTTTGCATTCTAGTATGATTGCTCAGTACGATTATTACAGTATATCGATGATATTCCCATAATCAAGTTGATTCGACGACAATATACACGCAATTTCAATCGTGCTATTTATACTGAGCGATTAGGTTTTCTCGTCTCAGTCAAGCAAATGCTTTCCATCTAGACGCGCACAGTTTTTAAACTATTTTTATCTGTACAATTACCGCTAATCAGTTTTCTCATTTCATAACATAAAACTCACATTAAATTATTTATAAACTATAAAAATTTATTTAGTTTTGTTAATTTAATAATTCCATTTATACAAAAACGATATCAATTAATGTTGATAATTTATGAATAATGTTATAGTGTTTCGGACACATAAAAATTAAACATGGAAAATAATATTGGGTATGTATTTTATTAATTATTCTATCTACTATATTTTTTGGCTTAAATACTTTTAATTGATTAATTATTGAGTCTTTGAATATTTATTTAAAATATTGATTTTAATTTTCAATAAGATAGCAAACATTTCTTTGGATTTTTATTTAATAGTTTATTGATTAAAATTTAAAAAGCAAACAAAAGTAAATTTAAAACTGAAAAAGAAAAAATATTTTCTCAATTTTTGGATAAGCACAAAGAATGGTATCCTCAAGAGATTAAATAACTGCGATGAGTTCTGTTAAATGATAACGCCAGAGAATAGCATTGGTTGAGAATAAAGATTAAAAAATAAAGAAAGCAGGGGAAATAGTATCGAAAAAATGTCAACTTAACATTTAAATGTATATCTTGTTTTACTTTAAACTGAGAATATTCTCCAGTGATTTACTATACTATTTGTTTTCTTCTTTTTTTTATCTTATTGTTAAAACGAATCATTGGTCATTCATCGAAGAAAAAGATGAAAGAATACCATGTCTTCGTTGGATTTTATTTATCATTTAAGTGACGTGTGCACTTATCCTCACCTAACAATTCAAAACGTTCGTCTTAAATCACTTTGTGAAAAACGCTCTCGTTTAGGTACGTGTTACTTCTTCTTACATCTAAATAACCGATAATGGACAGTGAAAAAATCAGCCTGTAAGTTGTTTTAAAATTCATAATTAGTACTTAATTGGAATCCTTGAAGATAATTATAATTATAATTGTTTTGCCTATATTAGTTTTTTACAGGCTTACCGTCTTCTGTTTAATTTAATTTTTTATTCTTCTTATCAATCCAATTATTTCGCCTTATTAGTTCCAATTATCTCAGTATAATTCTGTAAAATTATAATCTGTTGCTCTTTCCGAGTGAATCTCAACACTCGATAAGAGATAGAATGAAATCGCGTGGGAGTCTTCGGTGCGAAATAAAAAAATTGTGGGGATTTGAGGCAAGTCCTCTCAGATCCTCTCTATCCTCTCTGACCCCTTCTAACTGACTGTTTATAAGTGAATGCCAACTGGTAAGTCCGTATGCAGTACTCAGTTAAAAACTTTCCATATAGTGATGTGCTGCTGTGTAGTAAGGCTGTTAAACTTTCTCGCCTGGAAATTATTTTCATCAACCTAATTACAACTGTACATATCTATATATAAATAAACAAACATTGTTAGTTATTTATTTTATAAATATTTACTACCATAAATGTTAGTCTACTTGCTAACAACGTAATTACTTAATTGATAAAACTAAAATCGAGTGCTGAAGATAAGTCAGTTTGTGCGCGATGACACAGGAAGCTATACAAAGATAAGAACTGCCTCGGAAAAAACGGCATAGGCGGGTATGCATGTAGGCTAGTTTTAATAAACTGTGTTGTGTCATATTCTGAGCGTGTAAATAAATTTATAAATATTAATTATTAATTAAGTAAATACAAATATATTTTTATAATATTATTGTTATCATATTACTTGACTGTGCATACTTACATAAGAAGAAAAAATGCCTGGATACTCAAGACTCGAAGTGGATGTTAATGAAAACGAATCAAGATCGCGAAAGATCAACAAACTCGATAATTCAAAAAATCTGGAAAAGCCGATCCATATGGCGTTGGTATTTTATTATTCTCATATTTTTTATATGAAAATTAAATTAGCCGACATCTAAAAATTTTTAATGAAAATTAAGTTAGCCGACATTTAAAAATTTTTAGAATTATTTTTATTGAAAAAATTATTAAAAAAAAAAAATGTCACTTGTAAAAAACTTCAAAAACTATAGGTGATATTTTTTAAAAATAGTTTTTCGTATTAATTTTATTATTGAAAAAAAAATTAAATAATTAAAAACGTCGGCTAACTTTAGTATCATAAATTTAAAAAATTTTTTTTTCACTGAAGAAATGATTACAAAAAAATAAAAAAAAAAAAAATTTCACTTGTAAAAAACTTTAAAAACTGTAGGTGCAATTTTTAAAAAATATTTTATTGTTCTAATTTAATTATTAAAAAGTAAATCAAAAAATTAAAATCGTCGGCTAACTTTAGTATTATATTTTTTATATATTGCTTTTAAGCTGAAGATTACTTTAAATTCTGTCTTCGAAGAATACTTAAAATTTTTACGAAATCAAATACATTTTAATATCAATCGATAACGATCTTGGCATAAAAATTCAAAGGCACTCGTGACAATTATTTTAAATTAATCCTCTGTTGAAACCCGAAGTCAAATAGAAGCTTCTGATGCCTTTTTTTACGTCTAAATAATTTGTTAGATTACCTTGACTTTCGTCCTTGAAACCAACAGGTATTAGACCGTAATATTAATTCATTTTAGATATATCTTTTGCGAAGATGGTCTATCATACTTGAGAAAAAGAATAGTCGTAATTATAGATTATTAAATAAACTGAAATAATTATTTCAGGAAGATTGAAAAAAAAATTTAGTTTTACTTACGTTTTATTCTCACAATGATCTGGTTTTCATTCTTCTATATACATTTATTACGTAAAATTACCGAGAACTCTCGGCTCAAGTAAAAGAATGAAGAAAAAAAAAACGACATCATCGTGCTGTTAATCTATTATTCGTTTACTACATTATTACTTTTTAATGGTGTCCTTCTGATTAATTGCCATATAATAATGTTTAGAAACAAAAAAAAAAAAAATTTCTGCTTAGAATCAAGTAATTAGAAAAAATTTTTAACAACAAATTCAAGTCAAGGTTGGAGTGTTGCTACCGTTATCTTTATCGGAAGATGAAGAGAAAAAAATAAATAAACAATAAAGACAGACGGCTATAATTTTATGTTTATTATTGACATTTGAATGTGACATAAAAATATTACCGTCTGTTGCTAGTATTTATTTATTCTCTTTTAATTAATTTTTTGTATTAATCGATTAACTGAAATGTAAATATTTCAGCGATTTATTTACTTTACAAACTATTGATTAAATGTTTTTTTTTTTTTTTTTTTTTTTTTTTAGATTAATGTGTATAAGAATTGATAATTAATAATTAAAGATTATGATAATTGATCAAATTACAATGATTGTATGTTAATACTTGGGTGCATGCAATCGAATTAATTATTTTAATTTGAAATATAACATTGTTGCATAATAAAAAAAAAAATATTCATTATTTATAGTGATCATAAAAATGAAACTTTAATGCTATCGTAGATATGTTTTATAAATTTCATTGTTAAAACTTTTCTTTAGTTCATATTCTTAAAGTTATTTTACGTTACTTACTAAGGATAAAGTTTAGTTGTGTTGTCATTATCTGATACCGCATACAATAATTTTTTTTAAGTTTTTTATTTCCACTGATAACAATGCATATTAAAAACTACAAGAAAATTAATTGTTTTTTTTTTTTTATTTGTTTGTTCAACTATTGAAACTTATTTAGAATATGATGAAATAGAAATTATTATTCAATTGTTTTGGCTTGATTGATCGCTATCAATTAGTTATCTTAAAAATATTGATAAATAATAATAATTTATTGTTTTTTTTTATAGATTCAAAGATCAAGCCGCTTTTGGATACGGCACAAGTATTCCACCCAACAATAATGAGTCAATTTCTACGGATACATCCAGTAAAAGAGTAATTTTTTGTGTGCATGGAAAATTATCTGGATGTTGTACAGTTATTAAAAATACTGATGATGAAGTTTCTGTAGGCAGTTACTCAAGTCGTTCTCAGGGTAAGCAATTTTTTTATTTAATAATTACTACCAGCTAAGCAGTAAATACGTGACTACTCAAAAATTTATTATTTCAATACTCATGACATTTATAAATAACATTTTATATTATGCATAACATTCTTTTAGAATGTTATAATTTGTGCTTTCGATTATGCAAACATTACGAGCATAATTCAAGCAAAAATAAAAATAACAATACATGACACATTTTTTAAATTAAAATTTATTTGTTTATGTTAGTATTTTTATAAATTAATGTATCATTAATTGATTAATAGAGTATTTTTCAGCTGAAGATCATTGTCATAGAGAAAGAGATGAAGCTATTGACAAGAAAGCTAGACGGAAATTAATAATTGCATGTGTATTATGTGTTATATTTATGATTACTGAGATAGTTGGTGGAATATTATCGAACAGTTTGGCAATAGCAACGGATGCAGCTCATTTACTTACAGACTTTGCATCATTTTTAATATCATTGCTTTCGCTATGGATCGCGAGTCGACCTGCAACGAGAAAAATGCCATTTGGCTGGTACAGAGCTGAGGTAAATAGCGGCTACATAATAAAATCTAGTAACTGATTTGCTATGACTAGTTATGTAATTAAAGAAAATATTTTTTTAAGATTATTGGAGCGCTTACTTCGGTTTTGTTGATATGGGTAGTAACTGGAATACTTTTTTACCTCGCTGTTGAAAGAATAGTCAACAAAGACTTTGAATTGGATGCTGAAATGATGTTGATCACTTCTGTCATTGGCGTTGCGGTAAATCTCGTGTTAGTTTTATTTAAAATTATAATTAAATATTTTTAAATGTTAATGAGTTTTTTGCTCCGAAAAAAATGTCTTCTCACGTTTGTTTTGAATGTTTTCTTTAGAATGGGGTTGACACTACATCAACACGGCCACAGCCATGGCCACGGTCATGGACATGAGCACGGACATGGTCACAACCATGAAAAAGATCAGAATATTAATGTCAGAGCTGCTTATATTCATGTTATTGGCGATTTTATTCAGAGTACTGGCGTTTTTATTGCTGCCTTGATTATTTATTTCAAGGTAAAACCTTTTTTACTTAATAAAGTTACTTTGAATATGTAATTAAATAATTATAATTTATAATTGTCAATAATATTTCATTTTAGCCAACTTGGAGTATTGTTGATCCCATTTGTACATTTTTATTCTCCGTGCTTGTATTGTTTACGACAATAGCTATTATCAAAGATGTAATGAATGTTTTAATGGAAGGGATACCCAAAGGTTTTGAGTATTCAGAAGTTGAAAATATTTTCATGCAGATTGAAGGCGTCGTAAAAGTTCACAATCTCAGAATTTGGGCTTTGTCACTCGATAAAACCGCACTCTCAGCTCATCTTGCCATTAGTGAGTCAATTTTTGTACTTTCATTAAATTTTTTTCAACTAAAATAATTCTATTTATTTACACTAATAATTTGTATTTTTTCAACAGATCCTGGTGCCAGTCCACAACATATCCTTCGTACAGCGACGAGGAATATTCACGATCGGTATAATTTCTTTGAAATGACATTACAAATCGAAGAATTCAATGAAAAAATGGAAAATTGTAAGCAATGTAAATCTTTACAATAATATTATAATTTAAACAAATATTAAATAGCTACTGTGAATTTATGTTTTTTTGAATGAAGTGCGTAAGTGAATATAAATAAATATATGTGATGATAATGATATTTAATCTTAAGTCTAGATTCAAATGATCAAGGTTGTTTGCTCAATACAATACCTAATTTTTAGTTGGGTAGTATTATTATTGTAATATTTATGTTTATATATAAATCAATTTTTTTTTCTTACATAATTATGTTTAAATCAACAACGTAAAAATTAAATACGCTGTGTTAAAAATAATTAATCACTTAATTATCCAATAAAAATTTGTCCAATTAATCATTTAACTATATTTACTGTAATGCAATTGATGTAAAACAGTAAATAGGCAGTATTTTTGGCTTTATTAAATATAATTATTGAAATCAATAATATTTTTAATTCACTAAAATTACCACACTGTTAATTATTTGTTATTTCAGAAGTACCGCCTTCTTTATCGTCTATTTTTAATTTGTTTATTTCATTTATTTCATCATTTTTTTCAACTGTATCTTCTTTTTCTTCATCATCAGATTCACTTTCTTCACTCGGAGGAAAATCAGGCATCGCTAATAAAAAATAACGTGATATTAGTAATTGATAAATTGAGTAATTAAAAATATTATTTATACCTAACCGGTCCAATCGTTCTTGTCTAGCGTCAGCTAGAAATTTATCCTGCGCAGCGATTATGTCTTCACTGTTTTTACATGCAGCATAAGCAGTTAATAATTCCGAATTGAGTTCTATGAACGCATGACCCCATGAAAATTTTCCAAGATAGAAATCAGCTTCTTCAGGGAAACCGGTTATTATTAATGTTGCTGCAATAGCTTCCACACAACTTAATTGACATGGTTTTCCATAATTAATTGGATTTGCTGCTACTAGAAATGGCAGTAACCGTGGATTTGGGCTTTTCATTCGGCTGAAAGGCGTATCATCTAATTTTGCCCAACTGCAATCTACAACTGCACATCCATTGTCTTTTACTATTTCGCGATCAGTTGGTGAAACACACTGTAAAAAAAAAAAAAATATAATTATCATCTTAAATTAAGTAACATATATTGTTAGACTTATTTATAGTTTTATACACATACTTTTGTTCCCACTGGGGTTAATACTAATCCTGGAAACCTAGCATTCAATTTTAACGTTTTAATAAGACCATGCCTCGATAACTTTCTTCCTGAACATTTTTTTGGATCGCAATGTTCTAAGTCCCACATTGCCACTGGAAAAGGAATTGGTGATTCAACTTCGAGATCTGAAAGGAAATATTCCATTTGAATGAAAAATATTCATGTAAATCTAGAAATAATTTAGTTTTATATTATTATCAGATTTTATTACTCCAAAGTTTTATAAATTTGCTCAATTAAAATACTTTAAATTTAATTGAAATGAAAGCCATAAAGATCTCCGTTTTTTATTATCAATTTTAAAAAATATTAAGGCATAGGTAAACAAATAGTCCAACAAGAAAAGACGTCTGTTGTTATTATTTTAAAAATAACTCTTATCATAACTGGATAATATTTATTAACAACTTAATAATAGTACAATTTATTGAATCTGTTAAAAATTTTAACTATTGCATTAATTTTTGAAATAAGCAACAGCTGTTCCACTAATAAAATGTTTATTATTTAAATGACATTGAATTATAATAAATGATTAAAAACACATAGCTTTATTTTATATTTTCTACGACCTAGTTTAAAAAATTAAATAAAAAGATTTAATTCTGTCCATGAATATTTTTATGTAACAGTTATAAATTATAAATAATATTATGTGCATGTAATATTTAGATGAATAATAACTAACCTGTCTGGTCATCTTCAGGATCAGATTTGTCTCTTTCTTGTCTATATCTCTCCTCCTTTCCAACAACCTGTCTTTTACGTCTCTCAAGGATTTTATCCCTATTTTTCTTCTTACTCGACATAGCTAAAAAATAAATATATAAAAAATAACAACTATTTACTGATATACTTGCGAATTGATGACTCAATCTCACTTTGTTATAATTTGAAGGTTATGAAATTTCAGCACTAATCTATATTTACTAAATAACAATAACAAATCAGTCACGTGTTTAATATTTTAGTTTATGTATGTTGTTACATCAAAAATATTTTCAAATTTATGAAAATTGTAGCAACACAATTAAAAATATTAAAAAAATTGTTTTTACTATTCAAATTGTTATAAATTTGCAGCCTGGAAAATAAAAATTGTGACATTTATCATTTGACTAAAAAATAAAAATTATAATGTAAAAATATTTAAGTAATAAAATGTGAACATAAAATCTTTTTACTTAAAAGTAATTGGCTCATAAATTTGGTCAGAATATTATGATACATTTTTTTATTTAGTTTCCTCCAATTTTTTTTTTTTTTCTGAGCTTTTGCTTGAAATGCAAAATAAAAATGATCATTAACTAATTCATTTAATATATATTCAACAATTGTTATACTTACTATTCTATGTATATGTTGTAAAACTAAGTAAATATTTATGAATATTATTTGGCAGTTTAAAAAATAACGAATTTTAGAGGGCGCGCAGCAACGTCTTGATATGTTGTTTATCAATTTGTGTATAACACATGTGACATTTACTTATATAGTCTATTCTGTGTTAGTGCAAACCACTTGTAGAACATGTTCTTTCATATGTGTCTGAAACAGTAACGTATAATGATTTACTCTACCCAGTTAATATTTAATTAATTATTAATAACTAATTTACTTTTCAGATTTATTTTATTAACATTATATGTATGCTATTAAACACTTTTCATCCATAATAATCATAAATATTTCTTTTTCCAGAATACTGTTAACTGATAACGCACATTTCAATATTTTTTATAACCGCCGATAACAAATTACGAGTATGTCAAAGACTTTAATAATGTGGGGGGAATTTAACAAGTGGCTGTTCCAGTCTCTCAATAACTTTGCGCACTCACAAGTCATTTGGATCATATCATACACATATTATTTTTTACATTGTATTAAATAAATAAACAATTTTACAACCATCACGCAAACTAGTTTTGAGGACACTGTAGATTGATATTATTAAGGTAAGACAATTTTTTGATTGTTGTTTAAATATCATAATTAATTTATTAATTGAAACCAATTAAAAATTTGTTTTTTTTTTTTTTTTTTTTTTTTTTTTTACCAAGGCAATATGAATAATAAGTGAGACATTGTCCTACGTGACTTTTGACATGTTAGAATTGACTTTATTTTGTGTGATTTTTTATGTTTCATAAGTTTTATTTTTTAAGATATTTACATATGTTTGTGCAGCCCAGGATATGATAGATCCAGGTACAATATCATTAATGAAAGGTGTAGATCTATTAGGATTTCAATCAATGTGTGTTCCTATCACTTTCACTCTAATTAATCACAATGTCAACTATTCATTATTTACACTTAAAGTGTTTATTTGTTAATGTTTTTATTTTCAGAAGATAATTTAATATACTCTTGCACTGCACAATCTTATACGTTATCTAATAAATGTATTTAGTATTCTTTAAGCTAAAAAAACATCTCTGCCGTATTTATAACATTTATAGTTTAGTTATAAATATTCTACTTTAATTTAAGTTTATATTTACATAATTTATGTGAATTTTTATTTAAATTATCATCAATACATCAAACTCGTTTATCATATCATAATGTGTGTTCAGTGTAAAATTATTTTTAAAAGAATTCAAACAGTAAATATTGAAATTATTTATGATTAAAATATAAATGTTTAAATTTGATTGTGTGTTTAGACCATGTGTATTAAAAAAAAAAATAATAATTTATGAATTAGCATATATTAATAGGCAAACAATTATCTGTTTTTTAGAAAACGTTGGCAAAGAGGCGATAATAAGAGTAACAGACTGGCTTAGAGGAATTTGGGAGATGAGAAGGAACGGTGGACCAGTACAGCAATGGGTTGACTCCATTCCATCTCCCACAAAATCTTCAATCGACATTCACATTGAGTCTCATGACAGTTCATCGTCATTAATACCTGAAGAACACCATCACTTGAAAAAAGTGACATCACTCAAGAATCCAATTATGACTTTATCAGCTCCCAGTTCACCCGCAATAGCGATGTCAAGTATTCCAAGGTTTGTTATTATTGAAAATATTATTTCCTTAAACAGTTATTCACTTAAAAATTATGATAATTAACATTTAAGATAATAAACTTCAGTTTCCCACGCAGTAGATTAGTACGAGATCCGAGTTTACAATCTGACAGCAGTCACTGCAGCAGCGTGGAAAGTCTTTTGGAGTTACGTAAACCAGATCCAGAGGCTATTCTCTTAGGACTGGGATTTGGCGGTGGTTCCAACAATTCACAAGCAGAAGGTCCACTTTCAAGAATTCCAAAAAGATTTTTACAACCGTCTAAATTACGCGGTATCGCCATTGATGAGTTTATGAGACAGCAACAAGAGACTAACGAATCAATTGATACTGCGTCTTTGGGATACCGCGGACTCACTGGTAATAAATTATTTAAATAATCTTTTAATTTATCAACATTTCTACTATCAATCAAGTAGACTTTAAATAAAATTGAATATAACCTTGAATTTCAATAGAAATAATTAAATGTAGGTCTAAAAATAAATGTAGGATTATTAAATTATAACCGGAAGTGATGAATAGTCATTGGGCTATTGGTCTGTATTTGTAAGCTTTATGGTGATTTTATAGGTAGCAACGACGCGCTCAGAGTGCCAAAACGCGTGCAACGTCGTAGATACTCTGGACCTAATGATTTAGTAAGTCTCTTTAATGATGTTGGACGTCACAATATTTACAAAATAAATTTTTTTTTTCTCTTTCTCAATTGTTTTTGTATTTTAGTTTCTTTTACTTTACTGTGAGATTAATCGTCATAACGATTTTTTATATATTATAATCACTTGATTTTTATTTTGACCTTATATCCATTGATTAATTTTTTTTTTTTACGCCCAACATATGAGAGATAAACTATAATCTTTATTTTATTAAGTTAGTGAATTAAAAATTCCAACCAAATTAGTACTTATTTATGTTTGTTAAATAGATTACATTATTTTTTGGTACTATGCTTATTTTAGACTAATAATAAATTTTTTTCTACTTTATTTATTTTATATATGCTTTGGCTTGGGCATGTGAATTTTGTTTTATTTATAAACGTCGATGGAATTTTCCATGAATCTTTAATGCTGAATGTATATGATTGAATTATAATTGTAATTCTTATTTTAATTTAGGATCGCCATATGTAGCGCCATCAGAAATAGTTCAGAAGATTATGGAGCGGTTACGAGAACACGAGAGTCATGAATCCGACGTACAATCAATCTGTAATAACAATAATAACTGTAATACGGAATCATACAACTCTCAAGCAATACCGGAAGTTCGACTCTCTGTACTATCGCCCAACAATAGACAATTTCTGGAGCGAGAACGTTCACGAAGTCCTGACATGCGAAACAAACGAATGATAATAGGTAAAGTCATATTTTAAACAATAAAATATAAAGTTTGATAAGGAAGTTTGAAACCTACTTTGTTATATAAATTTATATGAATAAGAACTTAATGCATACATGCGTATTTATAAATTGACATTGACATTTATAATCAAAACTTTAAAATTAAAATATATTTAATATATTTAATGTTTTAGGACAAAAATCTTTTGCTTTTAATGGAGACGGTGATCTTATAGAAATAATAAATTCCAAAAATCACCGAGATTCTACTAGTGAAAATTCAACTGACTCTAAAAATGATCTAAAAAATTCCTATACACCAAGCTCAATTACTGCTCATCCAGATTATACTTTTCAAAAGTATGATAATGAAAAAACAGAAAAATTAAAAAGGAAAATAACAAAACAAAAATCTGTTGAAGAACTTTTTGATTCTTCGTTATCAGAGTCTGATTTTAGTTTGATAGAACCTAAGTTTTCTGAAGATGATTTTAATTCTAATAACAATTTAAATACAGTAGAAAATAATTCAAGACAATCGCGGAAATATATACGTGGAGTTAGAAGTAAAAAAGAACATGAGGAAACGCCTAGTAACATTCGAAGAGCCAGCGACGGTGCTCATATTGTCGATGAGAAACATTCGAGTCATAGCAGTGAAGAGGGCCGACGATTTAGCGATGGAATTATAAAGTCAACTTTAAAACCAGCTTCTGACAGAAGACGCAGTTTTCGACGACAAGCAAGAATCAATGACGTCGAAGCAGCGTCTTATGAAAATGATTGTAATCATTGTGAACGATTAGAATCAGAAGTCAAGTCAGAACTGTCTTGTAATTTGGAAAGACGTGATCTTTGCTGTGAAAGCGATGAATCAGAACAAGTTTGTAGGCATGACGCAGAATCTAAAGACTGTTGTTGTCACGCAAGCAATACTAGTTGTTGGAGAAAAATGCGTAAGATGATGAAGAAAAATCAAAAATTAGAAAATATGGTTGTAAAGAGTAGACAAGAAATGGCGGAAATACGAGGAATGCTTAGCACGGTTTTATCAGTAAGAATGGAACCTGGTTTTTAATTGCTCAGAAATTTTAAAGCCTAAATACATAATTACTATTAGAATGACCTGAATTGCCTCAAATATTCTGGCTGTTTTTTTTTTTTTTTTTAATAGTTTATTTATACTCACGTTATTGCGTTTTACATAAATTCTTTATCGTCCGTTAAAAGAAACTGATACCAGTAAGTGATAGATTAAATAAGTTGAAAAGAAAAAAATTATTTAATTGGAATGTCTTCCACTAATTTTGTAGCGTTTACATAATCTATAATTATATTTGTTATTTTTTTATTAGAGGTAGAAAGTTTATTACATAGTGCCTAAAAACAAATTATTAAATAGAATTATTTCATTAGAAATGGACAAATATTTTTATTAAATTTAAAAGTATATATTTAAATATAGAGATAGACATATAAAAAAATTTAATACTGAGCTATTGAAGAATGATGATCATTGATCAAGTTTGTTGAATCTCTTGGAATAATGTAAAAAAAATTTTCCAATTCCATACATATCACATATTTCTTACTCTACTTATTACAAAGATACTTACAACCAACTTTACATATTTTAAAAATTATTTGTTACTTACCTTTATGATATTTCAAAGATTTACATTTTTAACTTTTATTAGTAAGATAAATAATATATTTAAGACTTGAAAGAAAATATTTTAACGAAAATTATATCTTTAAAAAATTTTTTAAATCATTAAACCTTTGGAATCTTACTGAAAATTTTATCTCAATAAAGTATAATTAAAAAAAATTGAAAAAATTTACTTGCTTTGGTAACTCACTATTCATAAATTATATAAATGATAATCAAACTTAATAAATAATAAAAATATTGTATTATTAATTTTTAATACAATTAAAATCAACATATTGAATTCATTGAATTAAATTTATACAAGAAAATTCAATTGTTTTTTTAATGTTGAATATTGAGGTTACTTATTATTAAATGAGAAATCAATGCATACCAATTAAGTCGCCATAATTTTATTTAAATAACCATTATCATAAAGATCCACAAAAAAAAAATCGAAGACCACACTGTTCTTTTTTTTTGCACTTACATTAAATATCATTATAATTACAAAACTTTGTCAGAACTTAATTACATAGTTTGGTTCAATTATTGTAATTTTGTTTAATAATTATACATTAGAATTTTTTTTTCAATGAAAATCTAATTACCGTTATTTTTATATTAAATAATTAATATATATTTATATACGTCATATTTTATGTTAATGTTTTAAAAAATTTTATTTATATTCTTGTCAGCATTATTATTAATCATCAAAAATTTATTTATTTACTAAAGTGACAAATATATCGTCTTAAGTATGGTCTTCATGTATACACAATTTATACTTGTTAAAAGAATCGCGATATCCGACTATTAATTCTATTTTTGTCCCGTAATTTTTTTTTTAAAGAACAGCAAAGACGGGATCAATAAATGCATTCAAAATCGCAATTTTTTATCGTACTCGGATTAACTTTACACATTTGAATAGTATTTAAAAAAAATTCATTTTTTTTATATTTAAAGACAAGTGAAAAAAAATATGACGTTATTTTAAACTGTTTAAACATCTTTTTTAATCATTTTCCAATTTCAAAATCTACAAAAAATAAAAAGTAAAAAAAAAAAAAACAAACAAGTTGTAACTGAGAAAAAAGTCTGAGTTTAAATTACTTATAGGAGATATCGATAGTTATGAATATTTTAATAATTATGAGCCTCGAATTCTCTCACAACTTACGGTTGATATAAATATGGGTATCGTTTGATATCATTTTAAAATCAAATAATTTCATTTTCTTAACTTTTGTTAATCACGGATAAAAATAAATTACAAAATTTAGTTACATAATCCGTAAATCGAAGACAGAGAGACTGAGGACTGTTAGTAATTATTAGCTATCGAGCTTACTTTACAACTTCTTGTTGCTGTTGCTGGTTAAGATGAAGCTCAACGATGGTTTCGTTTTTTTTTTGCACCTTAAATGTCACTTGAGCAGCCAAGAATTTTTCTTTGTGATCCGCTGACCAACCGGAGTACTGAAATTAATATTCACCGTAAGTAAGTCAGTAAATATAAAACAAATAATTTATGCTAATAACAAAAATGAAAAAATTCGAATTTCTTTCAAAATAGTGAAAAAGACTTTGATTATTTTTACCGTGGATGTGCTTTTGTACAAGGTCTTGCCTTCTTCTTTAAAGGGTAAATATTTTTGCAATAAAGCCTTGCCATCTATCCTCCATAAAGTTGGGTCACTATCACCACCAACATCTGCTTTAGCTACAACGAATGCTCCTGACTACAGTAAAATAATAATAAATTAATACAAGTACAGATAAAACAATAAATAATGAATTTGAAATAATTCAATCGACTTACAGTGTAATCCTTAGGTGGAACACCAGATGACTCATTAAAACTATTATCAGAGTCTTCATCTTCGTCTTCATCTTTTTTAGAACGTCGTTTCTTTTTAGATTTAACAGGTGCATCTGAATCAGAATCCTCATCCTCATCTTCTTCTACTTCATTGTCATCATCATCCTCTTCCTCTTCGTCTTCCTCATCTGAGTGTTGTCGTTTCTTATTGGCAGCAGCTCGTTGTGGCCTCTTTTTAGTTGAATGCTGTTAATTTATATTTTTGTAAGTGAAAATATTATATTAAGTCAATTTATCAATTATAACTAATAAAATTTACGCCAATGGTGACACGCGTTGATTACTACTTATCAGATAAAAAAAATTACTATAGATATTTTCAATAAATATAGTCATAACAAAAAAATTTATTTACAAATTATTTCATTTAAATTAATTTGATAAAATTATTGATTAGTATTAACCATAAAAAAATATTAATATTAGTTTATAAATAAATATATTTAAATATATAAACGGCGCCACTGTACTGCCGGCAACTCCATCTTGCCGCTCAACTTTAGTTGTCCAAAAGAAAAGTAATAATCGCTCTATACTACAAAATATGCATTAACTAGTACAAGATACCAAGCATTCGATGCCTTTATAATCTAACAATATATCTAACAATGGAGCCTTCGCCATTAAACTCAAAATTAAGAAAAATAAAATTTACTTTTCAGAAAAACATCAAAAAAAAAAATATTTGGAGCATTCTGAAGCATTGGCGAGCACTACTATTTTATATCATAATTTACATTATTTTTATCCAAGCCACTATATAATAACTTGGCAAATAACAAATATGAATAATCAATAATTATTAACAACGCAATATAAATGTATATTGATTAATACTATCACTAATATCAACGCTAGTAGTGCGTTGAGATAAAATTCTCGGAGCGAACAATAATAAATATTCCTTAATCGCTAATAATAAAATAAATATCCGAACTCAATAGATCACTATTGGACTGAAATCAATGAATTAATATAACAAGTAATACAAATTATCAAAAGTATCCAAATATAAGGTATTAGTATAATAGATATAATAAAAGCGTCTGTACCTCTGCCCCTTCTAACTCTTCCTCGGATGCTTCTTCACCCACTTCATCCGGGTCATCCGCTGAATATTCGTCCTCGTCGGACACTTCTTTGTTTTTCTTCATATTATTTCCTTTTCGCGAAATTTTTGCGATTTATATAAAACAATTTAGTGGTATATATGTTTTTATTATTGCTGGTTTGGTGTGTGTAAAAAAAAACACTAGTCGACGTGCGTTAATCACTGCAAACAATATGGCGGTCTGAAGGCGCCGAACGCGGCGGCTCGTGAATCGTTCTTATGCGCAATAATTACTGCGCATTATTATTGCGCTTGCGTAGCCATTTTTCAATTTTTGAGAGCGCGATCTTCAGATTCTTTTTTTTAAATATATTTATTTTTTTTTATGTTATTACAATTAAACTACTAATTACTTTTATTATAATTTTCTTCAGTTATGGTTAATTTATTTTTATGTTAAAATTAATTAAAAAACTAATTATAAAAAAACTTTAATTTTTATAAACAAACTACATGCAAAATATTTTTTTTGGTTGAAGGTAAAAAAAAAAAAATAAAAAAGACTAGTATTGATTAAGGAGAAAATTGTTTTTTTTAGTAGTTAATAAAAATAAACATTTAGACAATAATTAAAATAATAAAATTATGTGAGAAATAAGAACAAAAAAAAGCTACATTTTTTTCGTACAATGATCAATATATATGGGCCATCAAGCGCTTGCGTAGATAATGCCTATGAACATAATAAACGCGGTTTTAGTATTTAGAGGGCTGTTGGAAGATCGACACAAGAGGAAGTGGTAGATAAAGTAAGGGTTACCAAGAGACAGGGGAGGAGAGTGAGGTGAATTGAATAAGAGAGAAAGCTTAACGCAATTTCACTCTTAAAATAGTAAAGCCATAAGACAATGTTTGAGTTGTATGGGGTGAGCAGAGATGGTATGGTTTTTCACTCTCCACCTCCTAGACGAAAAGACGTTGACATACTCGAAGTAAGTATAAAAAAATTTATAACACTGAAGTTAGCAGTTTAAAAATTTTTGATTTTTTTATATTTCTAGAAAATTGAACTTATAGTTTTTCAAATTTTTTACATGTAAATTTTTTTTTTAATTTTTTAATTGAAATTTTTTCAATAAAAAATTTTCAAAAATTTTGAAATGTCGGCTAACTTCATTTTCATAAAAATTTTAATTTATCTAAAAATGACAATTTGATTATTTCATAAAGCAAGAAATAAAATTTTTATTGTACTGCAGACATGTCTCCAGTTATCTTCACCAGAGTTAATGAGGAAATTGCCAAACGGTGATACTTTGCATCACCTCAAAAATAATTCACGAGTCTCTACTTTAGTTGCTGAGAAAGACAAAGAACCAACGCGAGAACGAGGTAAATTTAATAAATCATTCGAAAAAAAAGTACTGAAGATTTAGAATCAATAAATATTATAATTTACTTTCCACTTTTTATTTATGCAACTGTACTTTCAATATTTGCAAAAAAATAATTTATTCAATTGTTGACAGCAAAATTTTCCGGTAGTTTGCATGATGACTATTGACCACTGACTTACATAAACAGAAGCGTGACACCACGGTGAACTTAAGATTTACAGGGATTTCTTTTTACGGATGATTACTTCCAATTTATTCCGGTAGAAATGTCATTGATATTAAAGTTATTTCCTTCAGTTATACTTTAATCTATTAACAGTAATTTAAAAAAACATTGTAAAAATAAACAATTCTCAAAACAAATAATTATTTATTAATAGATGTATAATTATTTTCTAGGACATAGCACAGGAAGACGTTGGCTCGTAATGTGTGGAGTATTTTTTCTAGGATGTGCATTGGTAGCCGGAGTAGGTTTACCTTTAGCTCTGGAGCTACGTAGTTCCCATTTACTCGAAGCAAGACTTCAAGTAGTGAAAAGAATATTGAGCGAAACTCCTTTGATAGATGGTCGCAATGATTTTGCTTGGAATCTTCGGAAGCATCACGGTACCCGTCTCCGAAATTTTCCATTTGATAAAGACTTATCTTTGAATTCCAGTTTTAATAATTACTGGCAGACTGATTTAGTGAGACTGTATCGAGGTAATATGGGAGCACAATTTTGGTCGGCCTACGTTCCTTGTGAGTCTCAATTTTTGGACGCCGTTCAATTAACTCTTGAACAAATAGATATTGTAAGAAGATTGACGAACAAGTATCCAACGAGGATGAGACTTGTTACTTCAAGTAAAGAATTGGAGCAAGCACACAAAGATGGTGTGCTTGCCAGTCTTGTTGGTATTGAAGGTGGTCACAGTATTGGAGCTTCAATGGCTGTGTTACGAAGCTTTCATTTACTTGGCGCACGATATATGACATTGACACATAAATGTAATACACCGTGGTAAGAAAACTATTATTATTGTCACCATTATCTATACAAGGTTTTATTAAAGCAATAATTTTGTCTTTACAGTTAATATGATTTTTCTAAAATGTACTTTATAATTTTTATTTCTAGAAAAATTCACTGGAAAATGAATTATTTATTTTTACTTTGTGTATTTAAAGGGCCGACTCTTCGTCAGTTGAGGATCCAAATGAAGACGCACCGCTTGATTTTCACAGTGACGGTCTGTCAAGCTTTGGCAAATCAGTTGTGAAAGAATTAAATCGATTGGGAATGCTCGTAGATCTTTCTCATGTTTCTATTCGCACGATGAAAGAGACGCTCTCGATAACCAAAGCTCCGGTAATATTTTCTCACAGTGCTGCTCGAGCACTTTGCAATTCTTCCAGCAATGTTCCTGATGACGTACTTAGAAACTTGGTAACAGCCTAGGCGCTTAAAGAAATCGTTAAATTATTAATAGAAAACAATAAAAGAGGTCAAAAAACTTTTTTGTGTATTTACTTGAGTTTTTTTTAGTCATTGAACGGAGGTCTGGTGATGATAAGCTTCGACAGTGCTCATCTCAGTTGCAAAAATGAAACCTCTATGCACGATGTAATAGGTAAGAAAAAAAGTTTAATTGAAAAAACAATTTATGGCCAATGGTTTTTTGTTAATTTTTATCCAAGGTATTTTTATATCCTTTTTTAGCGCACATAAATCATATTCGAAGAACCGCAGGGGTTAATCATGTAGGTCTTGGTGCTGGATACGACGGTATAATGAGGTCAGTTAAATTCTGCAAAACAAAGAAAACCACAAACAAATGCATTTTAAGTATTGCGATAAATTTATACACTTTTTTCTTCGGAATTATCATAGCGAATTAGTATTCAAGTCGGAGTATTTTATTTGTTTGTGATTTTTTTTTTTTTTTTTTTTTTTTTTTTTTGAATTAGTAAAACAAATGAGATTTCATATCTATTTGATATTTAAATATGCCCTTCACAGTCCACCAGCAGAACTTCCTGATGTCTCTGGTTATCCTTTATTATTGGCTGAATTAACGCGGGATCGTCAGTGGTCTGCATCAGACATAAAGAAACTCGTGGGTGGAAATTTGATTAGAATAATGAAAGAAGCTGAAAACCATGCCGTTTCTTTGTCCAATCAGTCGCCAAACGAAGAGTGGATACCTCAAGAGCTCATCGAGGACACATCTTATTGTCGTTATCACGATGAATAATTTTTTTTTTAAATAAATCAATACTTATCAATTATATTCTGTAAAAAAATAAATATAATTTTTAGATTAGTCAAACTGTTTACCATTTTATAATAAAAATTATAAAAATTATTTACACTTAAAAAAGACTACTAGTTATTACTTTAAATACTTCCTTGTACTTACTTTTTGAATATCTCGATTATTAATTAATAATCCTTATAAGGTACTCTATAAAATATTAATCGGTATCAATTTAAATATTCAACTAATTTGTGTCAATAATCTGGTACGCTCTAGTGAATTGAATCGATCTTATAAATGAAGCATTAAACTTGACAGTAAACAGACTTTGAATAATGAGGTAACGAATTCATTTTCAATTAGTTTTTAAGATAATAAAATTCTCTTATAAATTTTAATTGCCATTTTTTATGTGTATGTTTATTTATTAAAATTTTAAACATACTTGTTTGTTTGTCTCTTGTAAATTATGAAATATTCAATAGTCTTAGCTTCCAAAATGATTTTGGCATCACTCCAATTTAAAATTGTCTACTTTCTTCACATTTAATTCACACGTGAGACATAAACGTTCAAGAAAGCCTTACCTCGACTATATTTAATTTAATAATTGATGTTGAAGTGGATGAGTAAACTACATAAATCTTAATCTAGCTGTAAATAATATAAATAAATACATACAGTTTTATTTATTGTAAAGGATAAATAAATCACTTAAGCATAAATAAGTATCCAGACACATTATCATTATATTAATTAGTATTTGACACTATTAATTAAACAATTAATTAAAACTGAGAAACTTTTGTAGTCTATCTTGCAATTATAATTTAGAGTTCATAATATTAAATCAGATAATTTTAACACGGACGATTAAATTAATCAACTCAAAGTGCTTGGAAGAATTATTTCTCGGTATAGTTTTTACACTCGTGAAGCGATAAATTTGTAAGATGAAAACCTAAAACCCACGCGCAGTATCATTAAACCTATTGTACAAAATAAAATTATCTAAGTACCTTCTGGAGATTGGGGATAAAAAAAATATTAGGAAGGACAATTAAAATTAATGATTCCCATATTTACCTGTGCTAACTAATTTTTAACATAATTTAAATCCAGAATGAAATTAAAAGCTGCGCAGAGTGTTGAACGCGTTCTTCACGTGCCAGAAGGGGATGCAAAAGTTGAGGCGGGAGTGTGTAGCTGAGTGGGGGCTTTTGAAGATTACAGACTCTTTACTCCTCCGCACATCCGAACTTTATTGCAGTTGACAACCGGTCCATCGGACCGCATTGACACGTGCGTGTTGTAGTATCAATCTCCTTCTTACTACGTTATTATTTACCAGTTTTTTTCCAATTATTTGTTTCGTTTTTTATCAAATAACATGTATCAATCGTTTTTGTAACATGTCAGTTTGATCGTGATGGAAAAAAATAATTGTAAAATAAAGAAGTCGTAAAACTTGAAAGAAAAAAGGAAAAAAAGATGTAAACATAAATTTTGTTAACATACATATTTAAATTTCATATTAATTTCCAAGTTAAAAATTTTATGTGAAAGTTTATTGTCACCGATACCGAAAACGCTTAAAGTTTTTATGGTAATAAATAAAAAAATAGTGAATATCACGCATCGTTATTGTAATTTAACTTTGCAATTAGCGTTGAAAATGTAAGTCGATGGTTTCTCTTCTTCAGACTTGATCTTATTTGCACTTTTGTATTTTATTTTATGCTCCGACGAAGTCTCCGTGGAAAGTGTGTACGATAAAGTATATCACATCGCTTTATTTAGTTTCATTTAATTATTAATTTAATAAGAAATAATAATAATAAACGGAAACGTTTAATATCACACCAGTTTCACAGATTGTCTGATAAATAAATGAGTATCAGCTGGTTTTCCAAGCTATGCGAATCATTCTTTCCGTCCTATCATTCAATCTTGTACTGACATACTTATAACCGAACTTTAAATGTTTGTTTTTTAGAGAATAAAATTGCATATAATGTCTAATTAAACACACTTATTTATATATGTATAGACTATTCTAGATATAATAAGTTGGCGTAAATATTAGTATTATATTTTATTTAAACGCACTAATGCTTTCGAGAACAAACTCATATCATCGACTCGCGTCGTTGATTATGATCCTCATAGACTAAAGTGAAATTCTATAGACTGTTTATGTAGGTATTCATTCAATAGAGTACAACCATTTCCAATTGAATAGAAACACTGATTAAGCATATTAATGACGTAGCAAATTAGGTTTTTAAATACTAATATGTATACTCTAAGTTATTCATTGCTTCCGGATGAATTTCTCTATATTGCTTCAGTAATTAATCCGGCTAATCCGTCCCAATTAAATTTACCATCTGAAATAATGAATAATAAAATAATTGTAAAATCATGGCAGAAAATCAGTAAAAGTAATGTATAATGTTAATTAATTATTGTTAAAATTATGAATGAATGTGAAATAGTGATGAAAATTAAGTTGGCCGACATTTAAAAATTTTTAGAATTTTTATTTTTATTGAAAAAATGATTTAAAAAAAAATTTCACTTGTAAAAAACTTTAAAAACTGTAAGTGCAATTTTTTAAAAATATTTTTTTGTTCTAATTTAATTATTAAAAAAAAATCAAAAAATTAAAATCGTCGGCTACCTTTAGTATCATGAAATAGTGACAGCAATACCTCAACTTTTAAAATTGCATCTGATCCTACTCTTATTGTAATGACATTAGATGCAAAATAAATTCACGCGTGATTCTCAGCGTTCGAGAACTAAACCCAACGTAATAGAGTCAAAGACTTATATATTTATATAAGGCTACACATCAAATAGAATTATACTTACTAAAGTGTACTGGTGTGTAGTCTCAATAGTTAATAGTTGTGTATTTGCTTTTGTTCTAGCCACGTGAGTTGTACACAACTAACTGCAGATACAACAACAATACAATAGCAATTGCATTGAAATTTAAATTAAGATCGAGATTGATAGACAACACTAAGACACTAAGATGCGATATAAGGTGAGTTATTTAGATTATTATTCTTGTGATCTTCTTTTTCTTCTTCTTCTTCTTAGATAGTATAATTTAAAAATTTTTTTCAACTTTGTTGATAGTCTTGGACAACTGGAACTTGAATAATTTAAATCTTATTTACAATAAAATTATACATTCATTCATTATAGTATAAATATCATTTACTAATTTTTTCCACGCATGTAATAACCACGTGGACTTTGTGACAACGTAAAATATGCGGTTTTTTATAATTTTATTTACGTCTCATGTCATCTCATATTTCTCCGCGTAGATACATCTCAATAATAAATTTAAGTTTTTTTTTTTATTATTAAATAAAGACCTGAAAATAAAAATAATAAAATAAATAAATAAAAAAAAAAAACATTTCTTGGCTTATCCGAAAATATGATTCTTTTACCCTTGATAAAATTTGATTGAAGTTGCGATGTAATAGCAAATAATTTAATATGAGTTTAATATATAAATTGTAATTGACCAGTTGTTATGTTTAGCACAACTAAACTGGTACGTCTACCCCGATATACGAGTGTCGAGTAGGAAGTAGAGTAGATACATCAGAGAAGAGGTTTTATGATTGATATAGTAAAGAGAGATGAGACAATGAGATATGCACTCGTGGTGCAATATGTACGCAACACCTCATTCTAAGGCAAGGGTTCATCTAACGAGAATTACGTTATCAGAGGCATTGACTCTGATTGCTATTCTACACTGTGAAAATTTACTGATGTTACAATACAACAAAATGTTAGAACAAAAATCCACGGAAGATTAAGTTAAGATTTTGTCTTTCATATCACGTTCCTTTGCTTTTTGTATGATAGACACATCATACATACATTTATATAGACATAAATATAAATATAAATTTAACAACTGTTATTTTTAATATTTATTTAAGGCTTGTACTTTTAACTCATTTTTATTTTTACTGTCTCTCTCAATCTCGTGTTCTTCATATTTAAAACCTCCGCCTAATATTATCTCTCGGCTCACTAACTCACAGGAAGTCATCTAGGCACTACTCTCTGAGAGAAAAAGAGTACGATCCATCTCTGTCTCTGATGAATTCTACGACTCATTTAAAATTTTCATTTTTCATTTCCTACTTACTCCACTTAACTTTTTTTCCTGGGTTTAATTTGACAATTTTTTATAGAAAAAAAAAAAAAAAAAAAAAAAATTAATTCCACGGGTTTAAAAATTGTCACATTTTCATTTGTCCAATTTTCTTTTTTCCTCCTGCAATTAGATAATTAAAAAAAAATTAATTTAAATGTCTGCATTAGAATTTACGCATGAGTAAATGAAAACAGAGTTCGTGTACAACATAAATTAATTTAATTAAGAGAAGAAAAAAAAAGATATAAAATATATACACATTGATAGCTTTTAATTGTTGTCTGATGATGAGATGATATAATTATACACGGAAAATAATAATTTAAATTTGACAAGACCATATATTTATAAACTTTAGATAAAACAATCAATAATAAATACGGATGATACTTTGTGATACGGAAATAAATCAAAGATTGAATTATTCATTTATTCTGCTGGTTACGTATATATAAATATATATATTTCTGTGTGATTCACCTTGAAAAGTATCGACGGGAAGAGAATGCTCCGATATCAAGATTATATTTATTGCTAGTTGATACCGAGTGATTATTAACAATAGAAAATAATTACCCGGTAACAATCATATAATTATTGCAATTAATTATCAACGCCTCCAAATGAGTATTAGAAAACAATATTACTATTTATCTTTTTTTATTTTGTTTAGAAATCTTCCTTTTTTTTTTTTTATTTTTAATAAGTAATAAAATATGATAAAGAAAAGATGAAAATCATTAAAATTCTTTCTCACGAGTATGAAAAACAGACGACGCATTAAAAATGTTTTAATAGATTTTTTTGATTATCCACTTTAGATGAGTTCATCAGCAAGAGGTTTTTAACCAAAAACATATGAAGAAACTCCATAACTAAAATAAAAAAAAAATATATCTATAGCCACTTGTCGGAATTGAAAACTCTCAGCGAGCTGTCGGTATTTAGTGGAGACTAATTTCGTAAAAATAACAATCGATACTTATTTCCATATAAATTTAACTCCAAGGTTCTCGTTATAAGCAGTACATAGTAGTATGGAAAATTAATTACCTATTATTTTATCATAGAGATGTTGTTGGTGCTGCTGGCATTGATAAGTTCATAAATTTTATACTTATTAATAACAACAATGTTGAAAGATTGATAATTGGCATAATCCTTATACACGGAGAAAAATTAATTATACTACCTACTATACAAAAATAGTAACTCCTACTATCTAAAATAGTAATAAAATTAATTAGTAACAAAATAATCGATGGTATCATTGACAATTGTAATAGTTACTATTAATAATGGTAACGATTACTATCGAAAATAATAATTGTAATTATTATAGATTATAACTGTTACAATCGAAGATGGTAACTGTAACCATCTCAGATTGTTAAACTTCTGAGAGAAAAAATAATATAAATTTACTTAATTAAATCCTTTATTTAGATCCATATTTTAGCTAATGTACATTTTTTTCTTTGAAATATTAAAATATTTTAAATTCCCTTCAAAATTTTTTTTTGAAAATTTGATTTTTTTGATTAAAAATTTTTTTTTTTAAATTTTAATTTTTTTTTTTTTAATTTGAATTTTATTGAAAATTTTGATTTTTTTGGAAATTTCAAATTTTTTTTCAAAAATTTGACGTTAAAACTTGTTTTAGACAAATAAAAATTTAAATATATAATTTCAATTCGAATTTAATCCCAATTTTTTGTGCACTACAGCTGCTTTTAGTTTATTCAGATATGCATCCACGGCAACGCAGATTCTTAATTTTTTTAATATTTTTTACTAGCTTAGATAAAAGTTATTATTATAACTGATGGTAGCTACAACCATCAGGTTATATTAGGAATTACGATTTTGATAATAGTAGTAACTAATTAAAATAATAACAGTTATTATTACTGATTATCATCACAATAGTAGTAGTTACTATCAGGATAGTAAATACTACAATTCAGATGGTTTACTTAATAATTTAAATAATATTTACTACTATCGAATTCAGTTAATAGATTTTAACATAAATAGATGATAAACTCTACTATAAAATTTTCTCCGTGTATTCATCATTATCATGGGTTTCATCAATATCATTTAATCATCAATAATCATTATTGTTTTTTTTTTCTTTCGATTCTTATTATCTTCCTCTCTTGGAACACTTACTTGTCATCATCTTTTATCACAATGGTATCATTGTCTAGGGACTAGTACAGGATATTGAGGGCAATGGTTAGTTGTAGTTGATGACATCGTGATGATTCCAGGGCGAGGTGAAGCCTTCGATCATCGTTCCAAATACACTTTGACCCTGGTCTACATATTTTATTTATTACTATTTTTTTCTTACATATACACACAGGAAATTGATACACTGCACCTACGATTATATAATCATGTGATGATTATTCAGCAAAATTTTTTATTTATTACCCATTTATCGTTGATACTATTATTATCAAATTAATACTAAAACCTATAATTCTATTATACTCATTTTAAAAAAATGTTTCTTCAATTATCCATCAGGTTTTATTTATTATTAGACTTGTCGGATGTTAATCTCAATATTCATGTATTGTATTGATAGGTAAACGACCCAGAGAACAATGAAAGGAACCCCGAGGAAGCCAAACAGTCGGACGTTCCTTGGTATGTCTTCCTGAAAATTTATTAAGTCATTAATTATTAATTTACTGAATAAATTTTTGAATTTATGTTTTATAATTGAGACAATGTTGTATTAATTTAATAAACATTATATTTTAGGTACACATGGGACGAGAAAAAATCACGGAAAGAAACCCGATTGGTAATAGTGGTAGGCTTGTTAGTAGTTGCGGTGATTGCATTAGTCGCAACGTTGACCTTGCAAATGGCAGTTTTCCGTAAAGAAGAATATAAAGAGATGTGCCAGAGTGATGAGTGTATTAAAACAGGTAACGGTTCATTAACTTATTAATTAATTAAATCATTGTTTTAAATGTGCGATCATTATCAGTAATTTCATTGATTACAAAAAATAATGGTTGAATAAGAAAATATTTAAAGCAAATGTATTATTAATTGCAAGAGTATAAAAACATTTTACTATAAAATGAATCCTTGAATTATGTAATTATTTGACTTTACAGCCGCAAGGATAATCGAGGCTATAAATAAAACCACAGATCCGTGTGATGATTTCTACAAGTTTGCATGCGAGGGATGGATTGCGAGGCATCCTATTCCACAAAGTCAAACTTCTTGGGATCAGTTAAGCCTTCTTCGTGAGGATTTACTTCAAAACTTGAGGGTACTTTTAGAAGAACCTGACAAAAATAATGATCTAAGACCGGTTAAGCTTGCTAAAAAACTTTACAAAACGTGCATGGACACAGGTATTGACATTTTTCAACTCTTGAACTTCTATTTTTAAAAGTAACTCGTGTGATATTGATAAGAGTTCAATAATGTGGTTTATATTTCAATTATAAATATCAGGTCAATTATTGTAAATATTTTATTTCAGCAAAGGTCGAAAGTCTTGGATTAACACCAATGTATAAAGTTCTAAATAAACTAGGACTGCCGAAAGAGCCGATATTTGATGATGAACTAATTGACCTTGACTGGTCTACTATAGCCGGTACTGCGCAGAGATATTTAGGACTCAATCTTTTTTTAAATTTTTACATTAGCGAGGATGTAAGAAATACTTCAAGAAACCGCATGATGATGGAACAAGTATCACCAGGGTTTAGCGAACGTTATCTTTTAGATCCAATAAGATTTGAGTCCGAATTGACTGAGTATAAGCACTACGTCAAGTCTATGGTAGAATTAGCGGGGGTTGGAGACAAAAGTGTTAGTTTTGCCAATGAAATTTTAAATATAAGCACTAAGATCGCTAAAATAATGGAAACGCCAGAAGAAAGGAGAAGCTCTAATCATTTACTTCATGACGTTAGTATTGACGAACTTCAACAATTGACGGATCTTCATGCCGTCAAGGTAAAAAAAAAAGGTTTTTTTATTTGTATTTTTTCAAATTGAATATAATTTTAATTCGTGAGATGAATATTTATAAATTATATATTTTTCTGTTAATTTTTTAAAGTGGAATTGGACGCGATATGTTGATGCTGTTTTTGAGAACACAGACGTTGAAATTGACGCTACTACGGATCGTGTTATCATAATGGATTTGCTGTACTTGCAGAAGCTACCGCTGCTTTTAGATGATACACCTCCTGCTACCATTGGTTAATACTTTTTTTATTTTTGTTTTTTTGGAAGGAAATATTTCTTTATTCATTATTTATTTTTTAAGTTTATTTTTATACGATAAATTCATAGGGAACTTTTAATTTGTTTATCAGTATCTTTAACAAGTTAAAAAAGTACTTTGCAATCAAAAGAGGCCATATGGGTCATAAAAGCTATCTAGTCTAGTATTAATTTACATAGCTAATATTTAATATTGGTTGCTATTATTCTTTAATTTATTTGGTGACTGAGTTAACTAATTTTTTCGTTAAATTATGCAGCTCGTTACGTCTGGTGGAGCGTGTATTCAACAATTGCGCCTTTGACATTACAAAAGTTTCGTGACCTTGGTTTTCAATTTTCACAAAAAGTATATGGTCTTAAGGAAAAAACTCCAAGATGGAAAGGATGCACGGGGAATGTGAATTCTAATTTTGGAATGGCTCTCACTTATTTATATGTACAAAGACACTTTAATGAGCAGGCCAAAGAAAAGGTTCATTATTGATTTAAATTTAAAATAAATCAAATAATAAATTCAAAATATTCAAATATTTTTTTTATAGGCATTAGAGATGTTATTAGATATTCGAGCGGCATTTGATGAAATGGTTACTGAATTGGAGTGGATGGATATCGGTACTCGAGCGAGAGCACATAAAAAATTAAATGCAATGAGACCTTTCGTAGGATTTCCTGAGTGGATTATGGATCCTCAAAAGTTGGATGAATTTTATGATGGGGTAAATTTGATTATACTACTCAGTATTTAAATAAATATTTTAGTTGAGTATATAAAAAAAAACCCGCAAAATTTTATTGTAGGCTGAAGTAATTGAAGGACAACTATTTGATACATTTCTAAAACTTACTGACGTCGGCACGAACAAAACACTTAGTAGTCTGAAAGAAAAACCTGATAAAGACCGTTGGATTTCCACTGGCACAACTGTTAATGCTTTTTACAGCGCAATTTTAAATTCAGTCAGTAAGTATATATTTTGTATTCAAAGTAAGAAACATTTTAATAGTTAAAATATTTACACAGCATTCCCAGCCGGAATCCTTCATCCACCTTTCTATGGAAATGGATTAGAGTGAGTTAAAATATTTATACAACAATTTTATGAACATTAATTTAGCAGATATTTTATAATTTAAAAATTTTTTTTAACAAATAAATTATGTTAAAGAAAATGAGAAAAATAAATTGACATTTAGAAAATTAAAAAAATAAAAAATCCAATTTTTTAGAAATAATTTTTCGGAGCAAATTTATTTAATAAAAAAAAATTAAAAAATTGTCAAGTGACTGCTAACTTTAATGTCATACAATTTTTTTATGCTTATAAAAGATGAATTTTTTTTTCTTCTTTTTTATTATAATATAGATCTATCAATTATGGAGCGATGGGAGCGATAATGGGTCACGAACTGACACATGGATTCGACGATCAAGGTTTACTCCGATATTAATACTAATACTAATAATCATATTAAAATATATATATATCAGACTATTTTAATGACTAAACTAAATTATCATAAAAGCTAATAATACATTCGGTTTTGTACATTAGGTCGTAGATATGACGAGAATGGCAATCTACGTCAGTGGTGGAGTGATGAGACATTACAACATTACCACGAGAAAGTTGAGTGTATCATTAAACAATATAGTAACTATCATTTGCCGGAGCTTAGTAATAATTTTACGGTAAGGAGACATGTCATCTCTTGATAAGAACCTTGATTTAAGATGTCAAGAGTATTTTATTGTTTTTTTTATTTTTAAGGTCAATGGAATCAACACCCAAAGTGAGAATATTGCCGACAATGGCGGTATCCGCGAGGCTTATCGAGCGTACCAGAGATTGAAAGCTAGAAATTCAAGCCCTCAAGCTCTACCTGGCCTAGCTGATTATTCACAGGATCAACTATTCTTTCTGGGATTCGCTCAAATATGGTGTGGAAACTATACCAACGGCGCTTTAAAGTCTAAACTTATTGAGGGAGCCCACGCACCCAATCATTTCCGTGTGATTGGTACACTTTCAAACAATTTAGACTTTGCTAAAGCTTGGAAATGTCCTTTGGGGAGTCCCATGAATCCTCCACAGAAATGTGTGCTTTGGTAATTGTGTTTTAGAAGTTTATAATAAGGACCAATTGTACATAAACGTGATTTTACTATTAATTACTTTTTTTTTGTAAATATTTAATAATTAATGATTAATAATAAATGATAATGTAGATAGAAAATTTTAGTTAAAAATTTGTATTATATAAATAATATCGTAAATTTACGATTTAAAAATATTATCAAATAAATTTATTATAATTGTGTCAATGTCATACAAGTTATTCTCGCGTCACACGTTGCCTTTGTTAACATTTTCAATTTTTGTTTTACGTATTTCCAAACTTTAACTTCTCCAGAGCTTGACGCTGAAACAATAAATTTCCCTTTATGTTTGAGACATTTAACTCGTGAATCATGACCAACTGTTTGTAAAAGTTCTGACTGTTCCTCTATGTCATAAATTCTCAATGTGCCGTTTTCATGTCCAATAACAATGACATTGTCGTTGATAAATTCAACGCAGACAATTTTTACGTCAAACGTCACTTCAGCACAGATACCAGCCGTAGAACGAGAGTAAACATCCAGTTGATTATTTGCTGCCATTAAATATTTCTCACCATCTGGACTCCATTGTAATACGGTAATATTTTTAGCTTGCAATTTCAGTCTAGGGACCAAATTAATCGCATAAGCGTGATGTCCATTTACGAGATTCCATAAACGCAATACTCCATCGGTACCTACTGATAATGTACATTTACCAGTCGGATGAATTGCTAGAGTATTTACTTCAGAATTTTTGTGAGCTGATGTCCAATGCTTCTCCAACTGCCAATTACCGCATCTTACGACTGCAATACTTCCATCGCTGCTACAACTAACAAGATGAGTAGCATCTGGTGTGAACGATACACAATTTACTGTACCTACATGTTGAAAATAAAAATAAATATCAATCGATTTGAGGAAAATATTTATTCAATCTGCATGAATAAGAGTCATGGAGTTGTTTGCAGGTATAATGAAATAGTGATAAAATTTTATCTATAATGTGGATCAAAAATTTAAATCACGCAATATATTCACAGTATATGGTTATCCGAAATTCTAATTACACTTATGAATTTTATCTAGATACAGATACCACTGTTAGTATCAAAAATAATTATCAGAAATACAATAATTACCATTATGATGCATTAATTTTCCGGATTCAGTACGACGTTTCATGTCGTATATATTGATACAATCATCAGCAGCCCCTGACGCTAGATAATGTTTCATAGATGATGTTGTCCTGATACTAGCAACATGATCTTTTGTTGCAAAACTCCGCTCTAATCTGTATTTCTAAAAATAAAATTATATTGATTAATTCCATATCGACATAAAAAATCAACAAAAATTAACCTATCAATAATATAAATTTTTTTTTATAAATAATTATAAATAATTACGCACTTTCTCTTCTTTTATAACTTTATAACCAAGTAAAAATTGCTCATAAGTCCCAACAATGATTTCAAAGTCTTCTGTCATTTTTTTTTTATTTATTGTCAGTAATTTTATTTATTAAAAAAAAAAAAAAACACTTTATACAATGCACGTGGTGTTTAAAAGTGAGTACATCAATCATATGTTGATCTAGTAACTTATTGCAGGTTATAAAACTTTTGAAAAAGTATTTCTAGTAACTTAATATTTTAACTAGAGAGTTGTCAGTCCCTTTTCGGAATTATTTAATAAAGTTCGGAAAAAGTTGACGATAAAATGGTAAATATTATTGATTAATAACTGAAGACATATTTTTAATTCATATTATTAACTATTGTTAAACATTTTTTATTATTTTATGAATATTTAAAATGGTTTTTTCGATTTAAATATATGTGAATTGGAATTGTTGTACATGAAGGAGGTTATGTTCTTATGGTTTTATCCTCATGGTTAAACATTTCTCATTTTTGTATATAATTTTATTTTTAATTATTTAAATAATAAAAATATGACCCATCGATTATTATTAATAAACCAATAGTTCATGTAAAAATAATTTTATTTTTTAATAATTATGATGGTTTGTACTTGGAAATATTTTATTTTTTTTTATTTATAAGATAAATGATGAAATTTATTGTCTTATATCAGTAAGAATTTATACGACAATCAAGTTAGCTATCATTTGAAAATTTTTTAATTTTATTTAACAAAAAGATTTGTTCCAAAAAATTATTTTTAAAAAATTGCATTTTTTATTTTTTTAAATTTCTAAATGTCAATTTTTTTTCTTATTTTTTTTTTTTGCCATAATTCATTTGTTATAAAATTTTTAAAATTATTAAATATGTGCTACATCAAATGACATAGAATTTATTCAAAAGTCAATAATTAAAATTTAATTATTACAGCTCCGAAATCTGATAGCATGCAGGGCCAGTCTCGCAGGTCTTACAAAGGCGACGCAAAGAAGAAGAAAAATTTATTGTGGTTTCAAGGAATGTTTATTGATACAATTACCTGAACGAACAATAACACCGTTTGTTGTAGGATCAAATAATCAATTGAGGTATTACAGTAATCAAGCTAGAAGACCAAATTTTTTTTCCCAATTTTTGGATAATATTAAGCAAGAAATGCAGAAAAATAAAGAGATGAAGGAATCGCTTAAAAAATTCCGCGAAGAAGCTGAAAAGTTGGAACAGTCAGATGCATTGAAATCAGCGAGACAAAAATTTCATACTGTTGAGTCTGAAGCTTCCAAAGGATCAGAAGTATTAAAAGAAAAATTAGATGTACTTAAGGAAAAAGTTCAAGGAGTGATAGAGGAAGCTAGCAAAACGGAGCTTGGTAGAAAAGCGGGTCAGTTGGGTGAAGAAATTTCAAAATCAGCCAAGGGTGCTGCTGAGTCAATTTCCGAAAAAAGTCAAGCTATTAGTAAAACTAGTACGTTTCAGACAATTTCCCAGACTGCTGAAGTTGTACGCAAAGAGTTGGATAATAATGGTATGCGGGATCATGTTTATGTTCCTTTAAAAAAATTGAGAAAACGTAAAGAAATTTTAGAGAGAGAAGATACAATAGTTGAAGCTAATGATCAAGATAAGAATGTAGAATTACATAAGGACTCAAAATTTTCTCAATCTTGGCAAAACTTTAAGGTACTTTGATTTACTTACTATTTTAACAAAATGTTTTTGTACTTTATAAATTATTTCGTACTTTTTTTTTTTTTGTAGGACAATAATCCGTACGTCAATAAAGTTTTGGATTGGAAAATGAAGTATGAAGAGTCTGAAAATCCAGTAATACGCGCCTCAAGGTTACTGACTGAAAAAGTAACAGATATGATGGGTGGTTTGTTTCAAAAAACAGAACTTTCTGAAACATTGACCGAAATATGTAAAATAGATCCGAATTTCGATAAAATTAATTTTTTGAAAGACTGTGAAACTGACATAATACCTAATATACTGGAGGCTATGATTCGAGGAGACTTGGAGATATTAAAAGATTGGTGTCACGAAGGTCCATATAACATAATTTCACAGCCCTTGAATACGGCCAAAAAATTAGGTTACCGATTGGACAATAAAATTCTTGGTAATTTAATATTTACAATTGAGCTTTTTAATATTTATTAAAAATTTATAACTTATTTACAATATTTCTTTTTATTTTTAGACATCGATAATGTGGATCTCGTGATGGGAAAAATGATGGACCAGGGGCCGGTATTAGTGATAAGCTTTCAAACGCAACAAATAATGTGTGTAAGAGACTCCAATAATAATGTCGTAGAAGGTGATCCTGATAAAGTGATGAGATATAATTATGTTTGGGTACTGTGTCGTGATTCAACTGAACTAGACCCACGGTCATGCTGGCGGTTACTTGAATTGAGTTTCAGTAGTAGCGAACAATTTCTCTAGCGACAATTTCAACTGACTTACGATTTTGTTCTTTTTAAAAGCCAAGAAATTAGAGAAAAAAAGCTTTTTTTAGTATCGTATGTTGTAAATTATTATTAAATTTTTTGTAAAATTTAAGATTTATCATTCATGTGACTATATGCCGTTTAAACGTTCAGTACCATCTGTAAATTCTGGAACAAATTTATCTACTCAAGTTCAACTTGATGTTTGCATTAGGACAATTTAGAACTGTGTACTTTTTTTTATTAAAAATATTATCAGTTTTATAGACGCATATATTTTTAACAATTACATATGGCGTAATTTATATGTAAAATATATACGTAAATATATGTAAACATTTAATTTCCACTGTATATAAAAGAAAAAATGATTGATCTGTCAATCGTACTAGCATAATTAATTTTATAATGTACAAAGTAAAATAAGACAAAAATAAATATGTTCTTGAAAATAAGTTCAAATTTTATTATTAAAATGATACTAAAGTTAGCCGACGGTTTTAATTTTTTTTTAAAATTAAATTAGAACAAAAAAATATTTTTAAAAAATTGCATTTACAGTTTTAAAGTTTTTACTAAGTGGAAAATTTTTTTTTTTATTTTTTTGTTTACAGTTTTTAACGGTTTTTTACAAGTGAAAATTTTTTTTTTTATTTTTTTGTAATATTTTTTTCAATAAAAAAAAAATTCTAAAAATTTTTAGATATCGGCTAACTTAATTTTCATTTATTAAAATTTATCGATATAAGTACTTTCATGAAAATTAATGTAGCAGATATTTAATAATTTTAAAAATTTTATAGCAAATAAATGATCGCGAAAAAAAAAATAAGAAAAAAAAAATGGACATCTAAAAATTTAAAAAAATAAAAAATGCAATTTTTTAAAAATAATTTTTGGAACAAATCTTTATGTTAAATAAAATTAAAAAATTGTCAAGTGACAGCTAACTTTAATATCATAGTACTTTCAGTTTAAGTTATATCTAGAAAAATTTTGTAAATATAAATGATAAAGTAGATACTAATGATAAATGAATTATTTAAAAGCCCGCCGTTTCGCAAAAGTAACTAGTAGCTCTGTCTGGCGGGGATAGAACCTCTGGATTTTAAAATCAACGAATGGGAGAGCGTGTGTAAAGGACCGTTACAAGTTACGGCGTGGTTGGGCTTGTGACAACAAAGGAATCGCCGGCGAGATTTCAGTCAAAGCTGGTTTCAACTCATTTTAACAACTCACACACGCCAAGACACATCATCCTACAGTTTTGTAACGGTCATTCAAATACCTCACTTACATTTATTCTTATATTATTATAAAAGTCAATCAATTAAATTAATATGGACGTGTTAGAAGAAACCACCGATCCAAAGCCAGTTACACATCAATCAGACAATGCATTAGTATTTCGTGCAACAATAACAAGTATAATGAAAAATATCTGCGAGTCTGTGAGGTGAGTCATACACAATTCAACTATTTTATTAACATAAAGTTTATTTAATGTTTGTTCAAATGATATCGGGAATCTCATGCTTTTGTCGAAATAAAGAGAACGGGACGCGTAGTGTCATTTGATGTCATTGGCCTTCGTGATTTGCATACTAATGTGCTCTATAAGTTTACGCTTGTTTACTCACGTGGCCGGTATGTAAAAATTTAATCAACAATTAACTGATACTAATTCTTTCTCCCACAGTTTCATTACAACATACAGCAATCTGGACCAGTAATTTCCAACGAATTCAATTTTATACACACATGTATGATATTGTGCGAGCTGGTTTATACGTTACATATAAATACGTATAATATATGTATATGTATATAATAATTTGTCTGTCTTGAGGCTACCGCGTTTCCGTCGTTCACGCCTCACCGCATTCTTTTTCTTCCGCTCGGTTAAAGTTTGGCCCATTGTCCAATATCAAGGGACACGCGAACCTTTACATTATATTAGCTGGTTCGTCGGTTGGTTGTTATATATTGTGTTGTGTTGGTATATATGTATAGATATATATATATCCGTAGATATACTAGCAATGAACGAACCTAAAACCTTCACTCTCCCCATGCCACTGCTGCACGAACGGATCTTTTGACTACCGTGTCGGGGACTCAGGACAAAGAATCCAGTTGCGAAGAGTAGAGGCTCTCAAGCACGTTCGTGGTTTAAATTTTTGGTCTGCTCTCTCACGATCATCAACACAAGAGCTGGTTAGTTTAATGTTGAATATGGTACAGTAGTTGGTTTGTTAAATCTTGATGCGGCCGTCGCTGTTAAAATATAACGTAGAAGATGTAGAATTGAGAAGAGAAGCCGAGAATGAGAAGAAGAAGAAGAAGAAGAAGAAGCCTCATCGGTGGTTATCAAACGGGTTTAAACTTGGTCCGTTACTTGGATGCCCGGAAATTCAATATCTACATTTATTTTTTTTTTACTCAAAGTGTACTCTTCCTACGCAATCAATTGATTTATAATCATCCATGTCTGATTACATTATGTTACATTGCATTATGTTACATTACATTAGCTGGATCGAAGAACGGTAAATTTTAATCTGTAAACTGTAAGGGAAAGAGAGAAAAGATAGGACACTATTTACGTGGTTTCATAATATATATATATATATAAGTTGGTATACATATTAGATTGGATTGGAAAAATATATACGAGGTCTTCGGCCTCCTTCGATCGTGTAAGCGTGCTCGATTAGGTCTGGACATATGCAACAGTGTTGTTTTATATCACATTGCACCTGTCCCGGCCTGACCGTGCGCACACATTCATCAAATCCAAAATTATTATTTTTTATTTTTAAAGTTCATCTACCATCAAGAATCACTTTGTTTTCGGTACACTGGTAAAACGGGTAGCTTGGCTCAAGACAAAGATTCTTGAACCAATACTAGTAAAAGGAAAACAATAAATTTTATTAGAGAAGAGAAAAAATTCTTGAGCCAAGAAATTTTTTTTTAAACCAAGAATTTTATCTTAGCTTAAGAATTTTTTCTCTTCAGTCAAGATAACCATTCTATCTGTGTATATTTGTTTCCGTTCAAATACAGACGTATTTGCTGGAGAGTATAATGTAACAATTTTGTAGATCGAGAAAAAGAAGACAAAGGAAAAGCAAGAGGAACAAAATTAAGAAAAAAAATAGTTGCTTTGAAGCCAAGCTGAATTTTGCTGGTTGACTGGGAGAGTAGTAGTCGAAACCGAAGTTCTTTTGTTTGTATTTGGGACAAAGAAAAATTCGATCCCAGCGATTGTGTTACAGTACAGACATATTGAACTCAATATAAGAGAAGAATGAATAACAAAAGAATATCACGATACGATCTATTTATATTTTTTCTCTTATTTATTCATTTTATTTCATCGATAGTAAATAATTCTATGAAATAAACATATTTATTTTCTTTTTCTCTTCTACAATGTACACAGATTGATTACATTCTTTAGAACGTTGATAAGTATCGGGATTTGATTACAGAAAAATATTTTATTACCTTATACCATTGATTTGTAAATTACATTTAATATTAACTTATTTAATTAATATATTTATTTATTTATGGGTATACTTTTTTTGTTTGATTTAAGTGAGGAAGAATTTTCAAAATGTCTCACGTACTTGAGCTCAAAACCTGCGATAGTAGGAAAATTACACAAAATTCTGATGAAAGACATGTATGAGAGTATGGAGACAGAGTTGGAAGAAATTTTATCAGATTTAAACCTAGCCAGTGGACTTGGGAAATTGAAGGAGTTAACTGCAGAAACAACACGTCGTCCGGATGAAATAGCATGGTACGTATTTAATTACTTCTTAATTTAAGCCAACCATTTGAACTGGATTTATTTTAATATTGTTAATCTATTATAATTTTTTTTCTATTTGTTTACTAGGAGACCGCCTGGAAACGTTAAAGAGCATTTAAGAACTCTTGATGCAATGAAAATTATAGCAGAAAGCAAGAAACTGGAAGAGATATTGAGTAATTTAGAAGCTGAGAATACTTTACTACGTGAACGAGTTAAAGAAAAAAGAAGCTTAGCTCATAAAGTTGAAGACCGAGTGACTCGAGCATTTAAGTCCGGTTCTCTTTCACTTTCACATATGGAAAAAACATCTGAATCTATGCAAAATTATTTAAAAATACTTGGGAATGATTAAATTATTTTTATTTTCTTATTAAGAATCAATGTAAATATTCGTATTCAAATATTTTTATTGCATCGTAAATGTATGATATTAATCTGTCATATTTTATCAACTAGTCTAATGAAACTCTGATTTGTACAGTATTACCTAAGTTTTAATTACAATTTAGTTTTTTTTTTTGTTACATAAATTTGTGTTATTTATTGAACATTTTTTAAAGATAGATGAATTAAAATTCATTAAGCATAGATAATATTTCTTTACTACATTCCTGTAGTTGAATGAACTTCTTCTTGACTTGCAAAATAGCCTCTTTTTTTATCTGCTGTAAATAAATTCTATTTTTATATCATTTAAATATGAATTATTTTAAACTAAATTAATTAACTTACAAGATCAATAGCTGAATAATTAATTTTATCAAATTCATTTCGGTAATTAATTTTCTCTTTCTTTAAGCTTTTAACTTTCACAAGTTGATTATCAACAGATTTATTTTTCTGACTATTAGAAGTAAATTCACTCAACGCTTTAAAGTCATTACCAACTTTGCTAATTTTGTTATAATAATCCTCATTCTTTCTCTCATTAGTTTTAATAATGTGTAAAGCTTTCTCAATTAACATTTCAGTTTCGCAAATCGACCGTTCTATTTCCAAACGTTTCATGTCATTTTCTTCCATCTTTAAATTATAAATATTAACATCGTTTTCCATTGAATCAATCGATTTTTTAACATCCTCTAAATTCTTAGGCATCTCCATATTTTATTTCTTCCAACTGAATAAAAAGAAAAAATTAAGTTAAAATAAACAAATTTTAAAGATGGCTCTGAAGTCGCTTAATTTTTCCCGCGTAAGCGAACGAATTATTTGATTGGCTTCTACAGAGCCAATGAAATTCCCTGAAAAATCATAATTTAAAAAAATCCGTTAGATGGCGTCAGTGTGTTGATAGAGACGCAGTAATACAACGCATTAAATAATTCGCCATTGCGCCGTGATTGCTGTCGTTGAAGTTTTGGTGTTTTTGTGAGTGAGAATTTACCTGAAATCATTGAGCTTCAACCCCAACATAAATCATACGTAAGTTTTTATTTATTTATCAAATAATTGTAAAATAATAAAATGATAAAATTTTCTCGAATTAGTGAAAAAAAAATTTCGATAAATATATCGCTTGTAATGATGTGAATGATTTAGGGGTTAGTTTTGTTGCGCTTGACCGGCCCTCTTTCGTACGCGTGGTAAAATTGCTATTCAGATGCCACTGCCCTTGCTGCTGTTCTCTTTTTATTTATTATTTAATTTTATTTATTTATTATTTATTATTCACTGTATTCTCTCGAGTTTTAAAGCAACAAATCTATGTCGACCTGTTAGCTATATTTTTCATCTAGAATTTTATTTCCAGCTAAATGGTTCGTATTTTAGAAAATGATAATATGTAATTTAATTAAAATGTTTATATATGTTTTCTATTTTTATTTAACGCAAGATTGATCATTCTCATTATTATCTACATAAGTCGCTGATAATGGCCGTGCCGAAGCAGAAGTTTATAAGTTCGATGTTGGATTCATTTGCTCCGTAACATCTTCGATCTCTTTTACTGAGTGTAACTCACACAACAATCCTATCCAGGGATAGCGGACATTCTTGTTCACTCATTTTCGTTCTCCCTCGCTACACTAGAGTATTATATAGTATGCTCAAATGTGTGGAATAGAAGGACGCTTTACTTCCCAGCACTACATAACAATGTCGTTCGACGCGTATCGAACCGATAACGCTTCGTTTGTTCACAAACGCAAAGCGTTGGACGAATCACTATGGATTATCCAAGATAAGCTTTGTTAGATAAGAGCAATTTATTTACGCTCATTTAATACCAAAGATTTGTTTGACTTATTATATTAATTTTCATTATAATTATATCACGGAATTGAGATATACTTTTATTAAATAAGCCTTAACTAAACTACGCTGCTTATTTATATGATAAATTTTTATTTAGCAAAAATATTTATGCCGAATATAAATAGCGGAAGTGTTGAATTGATTGTCTGGTTATGTAAACATCCGTTACTAAACGACAATTAATCATGAGCAAACACGAAGCTTTAATGATAGTTGTTTAGAAGTTACACCTCAAGCTGATTAATTTAGTGGTGAATTTTCTCCCCGCTCTGCTCAGTAATTTCATTATTTATCGAGTTATCTGTACTAATTTAGTTGAAGACCTGAGTGTTGCTATAAAAAGTCATTTTTATTTATCCGTCAATTAAAATTAATAAGTATAATTTTTTATTGTTTATAAATTGAAATTTAATAAGTAGCTTATTGAATTAAAAGATGAGTCAAATGTTAAGACAATTATCCTGACAACTGCATTTAGCTATTACTCCACCTCTTTTTGTTTCCCTCTCTACTCCTCTTTTACCTTTTGCTATCTCCCTTTCTTTCTTTCTTTCTTTCTTTGACTCCATTTCTCTTTGTTCGACATTTTACGTCGCGACGGCACAACAAAGCGTTGCCAGGACGACAGAATAGCACGCGGTTGCCATCACAAAACTTTGAACTTGTACTATAGCGAACATTTACCGGGCATTGCGTCCATGCGAGGACCCACTGTTATATACACACGCCCATTTAACACGCTACTTGATTTCCCCAAATTTGCAAGTTTTTAGAAATTATTTTTTTTTCCACAAAAATTTAAATGATTTATGTGGAGAAAATTAATCATTTCTCAATACACAATTAAATATTAATTAATATTTATACAAAATGAATCTGATAAGATAAAAAATGTCACTTTTATTGACTGATGAATAATAATAAAATTTATTGAGAAAATGAAAGCTAATAAATGATTATTGACGTCGTTGTAAATTGTTTACGTTTTAAATGGATTCGATAGAATGTGTTGGTAGCACGTGGATAATATGCACATAACTTTACCTTTTTTGTCACTCTCTTATTATATTACATTACATTAGTGACTTTGAGCACGTGTGTGCAATCGCTTCTTTCATTTTCTCAACCCACACAATTTTCAACAACTTCTTCATCATTTATATGTATTTATGAATATATATTTGCAGGTGGGTGAATGTGTGAACAGTAGATACGTAGCGAGCTTAAAAGAAATAAATGATTACAAACATCATACATCTAATGTAATATAAGTCAGTTTAAGATCTTAAATGACAGTCGGAGTATGTCGCACTTATAATTGAAAAGGAGATCGAGAAATCCTTAAGAACGCACAAGGTCACATAAGAAATCATTAATGCTATTGCACAAGGTAATTGCAACAGCTGTGGTCTCTTTTGCTTCATTCCACATATATTTATCCACACAAAACGCTTTTTAAAATTATTACCATTACTTTATTTTATTTTGTCTCCATGTGTTTTTTTTTTTTTTTTTCTTAAATTAATAATGTTACATATATCTATATATAATGAACATTTCATTAGAATTAAACCGCTTTTATGATGACAGTCCTTGGTACAAAAGAGTGATCCCGTCTTCTGAGGTATACAGACTTTTACAAGTTAGGAATGCGAGTTACCCGCGGTTCATCCGCGTGCAAAGTACTCGTCCACCTGCTTGAGAAATTAATCTTCAAGTCACGTAAGCGTAAAACCACTTTTCCGACATTCTTTATCTTCTTGGCAGTCATTAGGACTAGACGGTACTTTTTAAAAACCTAAAATAAGTGACAAATTTATTGGTGTAACCAGTCAAGTAGACGATTGAACGTTGAGATATGGCGATGGTGACCTAAACTGCATCTTGATTGTCGGTGTATATAAATTAATGACTTTTTTTCTTTACTTACTTTTTTTTTGTTTTCTGTAAGAAAATATTTTTAAGTGACTATCAACCTTTTTGTTTACGTAATATCTACATTCCAGTCTTAAACTTTATTATACTTGATGCATACTAAACAAACAATTTACGAAATCCCATTGGGGTAAATGCATTATTGATAGAAACTGGCGCTTTAAGTTAAGTCAGTTTAATTTAACCAATTATTTTCAATTTACATAGTAATATTTTGTAATTAAATAATAACTATTTATTTTTAAATTACAAACCATTAAAGTAATTCCTATCAATTACACAATAAACTCAATTTGTACTTTGAGGTACGAACGTTAATTGATTTTATTAATTAACACCCTCCATTTTATTATTCATTTTTTAATTTATTCCTACATTTTATATGTTCAATCTTGGTGCCTGATTAAATCTGACAGTTTAGTGACGATAATTGAAAAAATTAATTCTCTATATAATTTATGAAATTCGAAGATCAATCAATTGATTAGTTTTTTAAAAATTCATCAAACAATTTGTTTAATTAGTGTTAAAATTTTAATTTATCTAATTATTTAAAAAAATTTTATAAATTAATATTTTTTTTTCATTAATTTTCTGTTAACAAGTTGGTATCAATTATTCAAATCAGTTTCGAAACCTAAACGATTGAAAAAGTCTTTAAAAGTTATTTTAATTGCCACTTAATTTATTCCGCTCAATATGATTTAAAGTTACCATAAACCTGTTAAATAAGAATTATTTTTTCGTAACTTTTTTTTTTCTTTTTTTCAAGTCCAGACAAACGAAAGCTTTCGGTTTTCAGGTCGATTAGTTTTCACATAAAAATTTAATTTTACTCATTTATATAATTTCATTTTTATTAAAATTTTTTTCAAACTGGCCATCTTTCATGAATTATTAGTTATCTGCGCAAACTTGGTAAAAAAGTTTCTTATCGTCCATGAATAATTTTAGTTAAACTGTTCAACTAAAACACTGGAATAATATATAAATTTTTTCATAAATAGAAAAAAAAAAATAACTGAATTAATACAAGTTTTTCTTATTTAGTAAAAAAATTTAATACACAAGTTTTTATTGTTGAATTTAATTATTTTACTGTATTTCCAACAGATTTAACAACATTTTTCGAATAAAAAACCAATTATCTGTTTTATTCTCAACATATTCTAATTAAAAACAAAAGAAAAATAAATTATTATATTAAAGACTATTTACCCAAACATTTTACATCTTTGCGTCAGACTAATTAAAAAGTTTAAAACAAATTACGTGTTAATTGATCAATTTTGTTAACGAAGCCCTCCAATGTTCCGTTTCATCAGTTACATTTCAATTTTAATTAGTCGGCTATTTGCCGTCAAATTTTCCAATACACCAATGTTCTTTGCATGAATATCTACATCAACTATCTATTTTCAGATTCGATGATAAATCAATATCGAATCGGAGTTAAAAATAAATAGATAAAACTAAAATATAAAAAAAATATTGAGTATGTACGTGAAGGATAAAGGTTAGGAGCCGATGTCCTGAAACCTCAACGACCACCTGTGAATAATTCGTGGTGAAGACGACATGCTGGGGTAGTGAGGGCTGAATTCCAATCAACACACGCGATCTTGGCACATTGACCACGTCAATTGATTTTACCGTTAAATATAATTAATTTACTTAAACTACTCCTACGAAATTTGAAATTTTTCTATTCAAAAAAAAAATCCCACAAACTTTCTTCTATTCATTTCCTCAAACAGAAAGTTAACCAAACCAAAATATCAGACTTTTCATGTCTTCAGTTCTGTCTAACTTCCATTTGTTTTTTTTTTTTTCCTTTTCATCGTGATTGTCTTTTATAAAACCTTTGTACCTTTTATAAAGTTTTTTTTTTTTTAGGTATCATACTATCG